AGGACTATTGGCAATTAGGAATATGTCATTAGCGAATCTTAGATGATTAAGATATTCTCCATCTATTTTGAATCTAGTTGACTGAAGATTTCTTCTAGTGCGTTGTTGTGGATATGTTTGGGATTGTTTTATATATCAATTAGGTTAGTTATTTGGTAAACAAACATATATTTCTCTTATTCTTAAGGAGTATAATATGAAAAATATATAAGTCCAAGATGTCTGTTCATTTGAGAGCGAACAATAAATATAATTATAGGTCTTTATCGGCATTTCACTGATGCCTTTCCATTTTTTATGCTACCTTGTAAATTACTCTGATATTGTTACCTTTAAATCGAAATACCAGTCAGTTTAGTGTACCAGGAAACTACTAGTTTGCCTTCATGAACTGTATAATTTTTGGACGTCCCTGACATTTGTGGTTGTATTGTTGACGCCCGTGATAATGTCAACGTGTGTTATGTGTGGAAACGCTTAAGAATCTTGAGGTTCTTAAGAAATTCTCGTTAATTTTAATAGACGTCGTTATTAGTAGGGGAGCCCAGGCGGGAATTTTGATATTTACTCAAGCGCTGCAGGATTGGGTTGATCTCGCACTTGGGTTGCCAACCGTCCTCTATTCCTTTTTGATCGTATTGTCCTCTTTTTTCCCACATATTGAAAAAGTCTTTTTGTCAAACCAAATCAAACACCAAACTAAAAATATAAAAAATATTTGTCTATCGCCAAAATGCTTAATAAAATTGTTAATTTAGCCAACAATGTGTCTTTTGCTATTCCCACTTATTCGCACAGAAAAGAAATCTTTGTTGAAGCGATGTTAGTTTAGCTTTTTTATGTTTACTTACTGGTAGCATGTTTTGAAATAAAAAGTTTAGTATAAAATCGTCTGTTTTATTAACGAGTTTTGAGGTTAAATACTTTTAAGAAAGTAAGAAAGACCACCGTATAACGTTTACATAAATTTCGGGTAAATTCTTGAAACATTTGGAGGAGGTTTCAAAAAATGTTGCTGACGGCTCTTTTTACTCTCTCGTGCTCTATTTTTTAATTTGAAAGTTGGCAACCCTATCTTGTGCACCCTGTTAAATCGCACGCCCACCATACATGAACCTTTTATACAGGGACGTGCATGTAGGAAGAAAATTGATCATTAGGCGTAAGAATTGATCATTAGAAAACTAGAGCGACGCAGACTAAGGCAAGATGAGTTAATTCCATGCAGAAAAGTGTCCATTTAAATAATCAGAGGATTTAAGTGTGCTATAAGGAAATAGGAGAGTCAAAAATTTGCAAAAAAAAACGTCAACCAGACATTCTTGAGCGCGGTTAACTTTTTTTATTATAATCAAATATCGCTCGAAAACTAGAGTTCAAAAAATTAATTTTCCCACAACATTAAAACATTTAAACTCTTTACAGTATAAAATTTACATAAAATATTCTATGGTATGTCTACTTCGCCTTCCAACTCTTTTATGCATATATATAATTTAAAAAAATAATATTTGTTTTATCTGACATTTGACATACCCCTTGCCATAAAAAATACATATAAAAATTAGTATTGTTTTATTATTCTTGGGGGATTATGTACTGCAGACAGAAGTTTAAATGGCTACTTCTATTACAGTATAAAGCTCTTGTAAGTCCTTGACATATAAGCAAAAAAAGATCTACAAATCGTTTCCACTGTTAGCCTTGCTTTCTACACTTTTAAAGCAACTGAGAAAAAAATGTGCCCCTATTAATTTCTCTTCTGTAGAATATTTCACATAAAACTTTTTTTTTCTGTTAGCTATTCCTACTGGAAGTTTTTTTTTCAAATGAAATAATGTGGAATATTAATTTTAATATTTCGAATGTTAGTTTATGAAAGAAAAACTAGTATTACCGTTTGTTATTATGTATTGTTTCGTTTAGTATGTAAATTATACAGTTAGTTTTCACAAAGAAACGCACATAGATATCAAACCAGGTTTTTATGTTAAATGAGTTTTTTTTCAGTCCAGCAATTTATTAGAACATATTTTAGTACATAATTATGAATTAATTGTCGCAGTCCTTTGTTATTCCATCTCATTCTTTCACAAATAACTCCAATTATTCTAGCGTAGCGTTTCTTAATAGTTTATGAAACGGAAAATGAGGTTAAAGACATTTTCATATATTTCAAACGCTCAACTTTTACTTTTTGCGCTATCAGATTTATTTTTAAAAGCCAACATTTACTACCACATTAACATTTTTAATATTAGTACTGTTATATAGACAATAAACAAAATACCTTCAAGGTTTTTTTATAACAATTTTATGTAGTAATAGGTATTCTGTTTAGTTGTAAAACTGTAATATAATAAACAATTTGTAAAATAAATTATAGGAGTAATTATTTTACAAAAAAACTAAGGTAAATAGTTTGTCATTTTAACATACAGGGTCCAGCAATAGTGCGTCGGGCATCTGTAGCTACTAAAATAAAAAACTTAGGAATTTTGTTGAAGTGCAAACCTAAAGTATGCATTAGGATTTAGGATGTATTTCAGGAAAATAATTTAACCTCTACAGGGTGACTCAAAAAAGTCTGAGTGGATCAGGATAATTTTTTTTAAATGGAACACCCTGTATACTGTTACATTTGTGGCTTCCTTTCTGATCACTTTACATAATCTTAAGATCTTTTTAAATAAGTTTTGACAGTTTCAGAGATATTAGTAAATATATAAAAAATATATTTTTTCAGCCTTTTTTAAAAAAATTATTAAAAATACAAGAACTGTCCCGAAATGAAAACTATATTAGGTGTTTGCTTTAGATGGTCTGTACTTACTTTGCTATAAATATAGTCTTAAATCATACAGGGTGTTCAAAATTCTACGCCAAAATTTCTAAAATATAAAATAATTTTTCTTCGTTATTTTAAATGGAACACCCAATAGACGTATCTGGTCAAAAAATAGTGTTCTTGAATGATTGTAGTATTTAGATATTTTAAATACTTTCTACTAGTTCTTTGTGTTTTTTTGCTTATATTTTTTACTTAATTATAATTATTTTATTAATGAAATAAAAAGGTAAATAAATAATTACGCGACTAAAAACATAACTAATCAAAAAATAAATAATATTTAAAAAAAATAACGTAATGAATAATAAAAGTAAGAGTTTTTCTCGTGGAAACAATTTCAAGTCGAAAAAAGAATACTTATGAACTTGGCTTTGTCTGAAGTAAAAGTAAAAACACGAAATGTAGGTTATTCACTTTTTTTAAATTCTAGCAAGATTTTTGCGCCTTCCGGTTCTACAGGAAGCCATAATACAATAGATCCTTTAATCAGATATTCTTAAAACCTAAAATTACATTTTGAAGAGGTTCTAGCAAAGGAAAAAAATAAGATAAAATGGTTTTGTACGGTAACAGTAAATATTTTGATTAGTTTTTGATTTTGGAGTATTTAAATGGTAAACATGTTTTTAATTAGAATTAATTCCTTAATTAATTTCTATGCTTTTAATTAGCCAAGTATTTCCTAACCAAAGGTAACCTTATTTTGTCAAGGCGATGCTACAAGCTTTACCTTGGCTGTTTTGTAATAGGTAAGTTTAATTTGTGTCTATATCTTGATTTTTTCAACATTTTGTCCATATTTACTAGCATAATAAATATAATTGTATGGCGCGAACCTCTTTAAATACAGATAGTTATATACCTAATTATTATTACCTTATCTGGCTGATATTTTTCTTCAGTTAAAAGCTGTTAATTCTTTTACCACTCTGTTTAAAATTAATATGCAATCTTTCATGAATAACGAAGCATACTTAATGCAGTACAATAATCGACCATTGTATGCCGAGCTTTAAAATGAAGTAAGAAAACATTATATAACAGTGACAGTCATCTTAAGTAAAATAAAACAAATAAGTTCTTGAGAGAACGCCAACAATTCTCACGAATCGATTCAATAGATGCAAAACTTAACAGCATCGCTAATTTTAACTGCTCCTTTAGGCTTTTTAACACAATCTATCCATAATTTACCAGTTAGTTTTGATTATGAAACGTTTTCATTAAGCTCATAAATCGCAAATGCGTAATTGACTTTGCCGTTTGATTAATTCTCATTGATAGATCAATAAAATTTTATAACAAAATTGATTATTTTCCTAATAGTCTTAAAAAAATTTCTACTTTTTTCATACATAATAAACAATTTTTTACTCGTTAAACAGCTTATAATTAAAAAATATATTGTAGCCTTAACGTTATCAGAAATCTCTCAGAAGCAAGGCATCAAAAAATAAATTTTCGCGCAATACCAAAATATTTAAATCATTAAAGGCATATATTATTCTAAATCTCCACAAGATTTTCTACAATATGCTGAAATTTTTTAAAATTTATGGCAACGTTTACTATTTATCTCTGAACCTTGAATTTGTATTAAAATTAGCAAAAAATGGCTGATTTTTAGATAATTTTCTACCGAAATTACGGATATTTATTAATTAGAAAAGGAAGAACACGAAATGATAGATCATTATGGCTTTACCTTGTTTCTAGATGTAGATGTAATTCATGACAAATTATAGTAATTTCGAAGATAAATAGATAAAATAAGAATAAATAAATCTACGAAATATCTTACTTCATTTCTAATGGTGTCATTGAAATGAAAATGTCTGTATCTCTTCAAAAACGTATTTCTGTTCAATAATCACTTAGATATTTTTGAATTTATAGATTAACTTTAAATATTTTATAAGGCATAAAACTCATATTTTTATACCAAAGTGAGAGTCTTCAGAGAATGAAAAAATACATTCAGATTCACTCAGCTAATTACTTGAAACACTGACCTAATTATATTAACACATATAGCACTGCACTTGAGAATGTATGCGTGCTTAGTCGTTAATATTTTTACACATACATAAATGAACGATTAAAATCGAAAGTAAACAAAAAGGGAAAATATATAAACAAACAAACTTACCAAAGAAGAAAGTGGATAAAAGTACAAGAAATACGACGTGAATTGGCAGCATGATTTTTCTGTTCGATTTTTTCTCTCTCTCTATTTCACTAAGCACTAATATAATCCGTGTAATCACACGCAGGAGCTAATGCACTTTACCCATAAATAATTCGTTAAAATTCTCCTCAAATGTGATGACAGCACAAAATCGCGGTTATGCACTAACTGAATAGCCGAAGAAATAAAAGTGGTTCTTGAATCTTTAGTGAAATGTACAAAGGAGGGGAGCCCCAAAGAGAAAACTTAGCTGAAACGCTCCCCCACTAACCAATTCAAACAAGCATCGAATTCAAGGTGATATCAACTTATTGCTTTGCAGGTATCAGTATGTACCCGATTAGTTTACGTCTTAAAAGAGACCGCGTAGCCATCTAGACCAATCTCGATTAACAGATATTAAAACACCAAAAAATGAACACCCAAAACTCAAAAAAATCAACTTAAGAATTGAGAGTTTAGAATTTTTCCCTTGATAAAAAGAACCTCTAACTAAAATACCTTCTCTTAAAATGAAATTAGCTAGAATAAGAACATAATTAAAATATGCTAAATCTGGCATGTTGCAAAGTTGCAAATCTAACTTTAATTTATTGACTTTAAAAGAACTGCCTGTGAATTAGATTAAATTTTATTTTATTTTTAGACTTCTTAAATAAGATCTGCAAATCGAACCAGACCAATCTCGATTAAGAGGTACTAAATCACTGAAAACTCAAAAATGAAAAAAAAACATCTTAAACCAGTCTAAAATAATAGACTTGAGAATTAAGAGCTTTAACAGGGAGTTAAGAAAGGATTGTCAAATGTGGCATGTAATTTGCTTTCGAAAGCAAATCTAACATTAGTTTGTTGATGTCAAGCATTGTAACAGCTATCCTCTGAATGTCAGCATTTTTTCTATAAAACAAAAGCTCTACCGGGTGCGTCTCAAAAGTGGCTCACCCCTATAACTTTTTTATTTTTTTAGATAAAAAACGAGATCTGGTATATTAGTATATGACATAAATTAAGATTGATTGACATATTCAATTGGTTTTGGTCACTTCCGGTTTCACCGGAAATTACAACAACTTTTGATTTTTAAATGGCACATTGGGTTTTTTTTACTTTATTCGATAGAAAATGACACTCTGAATAGAATGACACATCATATGTCAACTTCTGACATTTTCTCATATGGTTTATTTGAAATTGTAACATGCGGTTCATAACGACAATATGACTCGAAATACCAAGTGTGTGGTACCAATTATACGTAAAAAATGTTTTCTCCAAATATTCTAATGAGCCACTTTCGTTCAATTTGAAAAATTTGAGATATGATTAAAAATACGATTTAGGCATTTTTTAACTGGTCAGGGCAAGAAACGGAAAGCATTAGACGATCAAATTTATTTTTCCAAGGCTCCTTGATTACAAATTAGTGTTTTTAACAATGCCATGGCACTCTAGATTGAAATTTAAAATACGGTTTTTTTTAAAGCGAAAATGTCAAAAGTTGACATATGATATGTCACTCTATTTAGAACGTCATTTTCTATCGTATAAAGTAAAAAAATACCGAGGGTACCATTTAAAAATCAAAAGTTGTAGACATTTCCGGTGAAACGGGAAGTGACTAAAAACAATTGAATTCGTCAATCAATCCTAATTTATGTCATACAATAACATACCAAATCTCGTTTTTTTTATCTGAAAAAATAAAAAAGTTATAGGGGTTGAGCCACTTTTGAGACGCACCCGGTATAGCTCCCTTATTTTATTCTTTATAAAATGTATTGAGTAATGGGTGAAAAAACTAAAAACTTTTGGTTTTAACACACAAAATAAAACTAAAATCACAATGCTAACCAATAAGATTTCTTTTTTTTGTTATTAATTATTTAATTACAGATATTATGTATTTCGCTTAGTTATTTTAGAACCTTTTTGGTTTAATACTAAACTCCAACTATAATAAATTAATTATTATGTTGTACAATAATAAGTAATGGAGTAGAAATAGTAGAAAAACTATTATTAATTAAATTATTTTAGTATTGACCTATTCGCATTACTTTATTACAGCGGGGCATAATTATGAAATAAATGGAAAAATTAAAGGATAATTAATAATCCGTAATTACTTCTCAACAATTAGTTTAGTTTATTGCATGATCCTATCCTTAAATATTTATGTTGTTTTGTTAAAAAAATATATATATCAGAGGGAAAGAGTAATATAATACTAAGAAACACGAACTTAAATAAAATGTCGTCTTACAATGTATACTTTTTATTATTAAATTATCTTAACTAGCATAAATCATTTCATATTCCTGGTACATCTGATAGCTTCCACTAAGACTTGGGATCCTATAAATCTTCGTACGTAACACATCAAATAATTTGTAGCTATAAAGACACGCCCTTGCAAATAGTTTGAATATATCTTTCCATATGTTTTTTTTGTTATTTTCTTTGTGCGCGTAGCACAAGATACATACACCCATCATTCGTTAGCATAATGAATTTAATCTAATTATATGGCCATTGTTTTATATAAATCTTGCTCAAACGCAAACACACAATTACGTACCTACAGTATGATTTACCGATACAAGAGTTTGGTTTTGTAGGCGTTGGTCACATATCAGCAGCATTTATTTTCATATCATTGTAATCGTAATTTGATTAATAGACTGGCCAGCAAAACAATACAACCATATGCCTATAATTGGATATTTCGATGTAATTGGAAGTTATACACAATAAGAACAAAACTGTGAAGAACAATATACTGAAAAAAATATAGGGCCATCATCAATACACAATCAAACAACCTTGTATATTACTGTAATATATTTTTCTAATATATTATTTCTTTCTTACTATACAGGGTGGTCCGAATTGTATTCGGGAAACTTCGACAGCAGAAAAGTTTTGAAGAATAATAATTTTTTGTACATACCTGTATTAGGTACACTACTGAGTAAAAAAATATACATTTCCGTGATTTTTAACATAAAAACCGTTTCTTAGTAAAAATCGCTAAGAGTGATGGTTCTCAAGATATTTGGAATCGAAGTAGTCGATAAATGTCATAACTGACAAAAATGATACATGTTGATAAAATTTTAAAATACGGAAATGTATATATTCTCACTCAGTAGTTTTATACAGGTACGGACAAAAAGTTATTACTCTTCAAATCAGTTAAGAAACATGTAGGTGGCGCCTCCTACAAGCAGAGGAGTCATACTGACATCAAAATCAAATTTCTCATGTCAAAAACTCCCAGACACCAATTTTCATCCAAGTATCGACGTTAGTTCAGAAATTATTTGGAAAAAATCGAAATAAAATTGAAACTTCTACAACCAGTATCTCCAAAACTAAGGACCATGTATCCTAAACCCCCCAATTTAGGACACATATTTATATAAACTCTCTCATTTATTTCTATCTGTAGAATATGCTGCCTAAGTTTCCCGAATGCAATTCGGACCACCTTGTATATCGTAAAAATACCGTATGATCGAAAAAAAACCGGCGTCCAGTTGGCTGGGAAATGTCGATCAATGACATTTCTTATATAATTTTACATATAAAATGACAGCTATCTTCATTTCATAGCCATCGCTGACGCCGTTTTTTTGATCATACAGTATAATATAACACAAGCTCTGCAAAAAAAGTACTACAAAAGCGGCTTTGTCGCAGTAATAAAAAATTCTATCGAAGTAAATAAGCTAATTGCTTTGTCTGCCAAGACAGAACGTCCTTGAGAGGTACTCCACCTAGATACCGTACCACCCTTTTTAAAAGTACCACACAACTATTTAACATTCAAATGTCACTTCCTTCAGTCCATCTTCTTCTTTTTAATCATTTTTTTGTGGTATACTTTTTTTCAGGTGTGATTTGACACGTATAAACTTAATTTGATGTTAAATGTCATTTCCTCTTTCGAATATATAATATACAGCACTATATTTATCAATAATTATTGACGAAAAACGTTTGGTATTTTTTATTATGATGCCTTTTAGCATTCATATATATATATATATATATATATATATATATATATATATATATATATATATATATATATATATATATATATATATATATATATATATATATATATATATATATATATATATATATATACATCATAATAGCGTTCTTTTGAGTTCAGTTTCAGTGTATTAAAGGGGAAGCTGTGGTAAATTCAGACACAATCCAAGTACATATACAATGTATAAGAATGCTTTATTCATATATATACAAAAAAAATATATCTTTTTGAAAATGGTTGTAGTCCGTGTGTCTGAAATTGTTAGAGAAGTAGTCTAAACAACATAAGAGAATGTTGTTTGAATAAATACCATTCGATCGAAAAAAAAGGCGTCAGAGCTGGCTTGGAAATGAAGATATGGGGAGTATCATCAATCGTTATTTCAAAGCCAATTTATTAAAATCTATTTTGTAAGTTTTGAAGTTGAGAAGATTAATTTCTTCAAATTTAATTAATATTTAAATTTATTTACCCCATTTTTGTGTTTTTTATACTAGCATTACGTTTCACGTATTTAATATTTAAATTTTTCGAAATTTGCGATATATTATAGCGTAACCAGATTGATTTTGTAATAAAGTAAAGCGAATTATTTACATTAATTACCTGTTAGCTTCCAATTAACCCATTTTAATCATTATTTATCTATATATGACGATATTCAATTAGTGTAGAAATGCAGATGGTCTTGGTATTAACTTGGCTTGTTTTAAAGCTAACTTTACAAAGTTGATAAGTGTTGAGAGCCGTGTACTTTGATTTATATTATGAACTTTGACTTTTCGGTAAATTACTTCTTTCATAAATATTTCTTTATAGTTTGTTCTAACTTCAAGGTGAATTTAACTAGGCTGAATTCATTACAATCTTTTCTTTGTTTCCTCTAAAATGTATTATATAATATAAATTTAGTCTTTCTGAGCAGTACTTTCTGTTAAGACTAGCCAATATGTTAATTTGATTTGAATGAAGTGCGATGTAAAATAAATACACAATAAAAAAATTCAACAATATTTATTAAAAATTAATATGAAAAATAACAATATAAAAAAATTACATCAACAACTGTTTAAACTTTTTGGATATAATTATAATAAATTTTATATTCACTATATAGTTAATTAATTCCTTGAGCTTTTGAATCTATATTCCTTAGTGCTATTATCCTAAAAAAGTTCTTCTATGGGGGCGTTTTTCAACCAAATGTCATGAATAAACTGATAAAGTTCGTCGCTCACTGCTACCTGTAATAAAAAAATATACATTAATAAAAAATAGACAAAATATATTAAGACGGATTCTCATGACTCGTATACTTGACAAATATTTGTATTGGTATACAGGGTATACAAGATGGGTCGGGCATCTATACAGAATTTAATCCTAAAGCATGAAAATTTACTTCCTAGCACACAAGGTTGGTACAATATCAAGTTTGTTATAGTGAATTTCTTAGCCGCGTATGACACAGATCGTTATTCATTGTTGCCACAAGCTTATTATTCATCGGGGTAGATTATCACGAGATAGCGGGGTTAAATTGTTTTACAAAGTTGTAGATCTACCCCGAATGGGGTAGCTCTGGCAACACTGCCGCTATCACTTTTCCTCTCGCTAGCTCGCGCATGGCTCGCGCGTCACGGCCGTCTCGCGGCCGTCGTTCAAGGCCGAGTGTCAGGGCCTTGAATTGTTACTCCCAACGCGCATAAAGAAGTTTCAATTCAAAAATACTTGCCAAGTACACGAGTCGTCAGAGTCCGCCTTCAAATAAATAGGTACTAATTTTGGTTAAAATTGTGCTAAATTGTTTTATATAAAAATTTAATTATTTCGATTTAACAAATAATATATATGAAAGAGAGTCAAGGATTTATTATAAGATTTTTTTTATGAGAAACATATCTAAGCAAAACAGGATTATAAAAATTTTGGAAAAAAATATGGGTAAAGGTAATATATTTATTAGTTAGCAGCAGAAAAAATATTCTCCATTAGCATTAGCAATATAAACAAATTATAACAATTCATTATCTGACCAGCTGTTTGGGATAAAATTTTCTCATTGACAAATAGATATGTTATGTGGTGAATTTCCAATTGTATTAGTAGAAAGGAAAACAAGATACAATTTACAAGTCATTGCACGTATTAATTTATATTTCATAAAGTAATTAACAATGCAAACGAATTTGTAGTTTTAAAAAATCGAAAATCTCTTTTGAAAAATAATAAAAAGAGACTTAAATAATACGGTCATTATTTCTGAGTTATACTGTTCCATGGATTCTAAATAAAGAATAAAGACATAGTTTTTATTGATAAATCTACTGCACGCTTGATTTACAAATTTACTTTATTGTAAGAAATTATTCGAAATATTTAAATTGGATTTTTTTCGAATTATTTTATTATTCAGTTTCAGAGAAATGTTATGCATAAATATAATTCAATTTATGAAAATATTGAGAGTAGGTAACAATTTTCTATTGTCTGATTTAAAAATGCCTGTACCAGGTCATTGACTAACTAACTTAATATTTTTATATGTTAATAACAAAATGTACTTGTAACGAGTTTTTTAAATCTTAAAAACCTTGACTTATTCATGAGAAAAATTCTGTATTTTATGTGAGTCATGATTAAAGCTTACTTTATAAGGCGTAGGATTCATATTCCTTTTAATATCACTTCTTAAAGCTTTGAGTGAATTGTTTACTTTTTCTTTGATTTCCTTTAAACTGGGTAGTTTCTGTACAATCCTGCCATTCTCCCAGTACAGAGTTAACAGTTTTTCGACCTTCACCGGCATCATATAGGCTCTTTTCGACTCTTCAAGCGGATGCCTACACAGAATTTTTTCGTGTAATTTAGGAGCGGGTTCTGTGGATCTTTGTAATAAATCTACCAAAGCGTATCCACTATCACTGTAAAGTCTGTAAACCTCTTTGCTACCTGGCATGGTAACTTTGAACGGATCTTGACTTAGTTTTAGCCTAGGACAATTGTTCAGTTCTACCAGCTTGTAGACGCAACCTAGTGCAGGCTGTTTTTGGCACGTCACTAGATATGGACCTATGCCAAAACAATTGATTTTATGGCTTTGCTCGTTCAAACTGATGATGGTGTCTTCGTTTATGTCGTTCGTTGCCATAATTGTCAAATTTTCAAACCATGGTATGTTGTATTTTGACTTGATTTTCGAAAAATAAGAATGGGCTACTTTGGAGATGTAAGCCAGGTCACCGCTGGTCAATCTGATTCCTGAAGCACGGTAGCCAAGCTCGTTTAAAGCTAGAGCTACTGCACAAAAGTTGATCAATCCACTTCTGAAAAATAAATAGAAAAATATATAATTTTCTCAATATAGATATACCTATATATACGTTCTGATATATGTCAAACTATATTTCAATACCGTTTATTAGAGAGTTATCCCGTAGTTTAAAAATAATTTTTAAGATGTCAATTATAAAATTGTGTATAGTAATAAAGCACAACAACTATTATTCACCGAGACAGTTGTAGATAATAGTTTAATTGTAATCATCTACTGATGATGCTGACATTAGCTGGTTAGCGAAACGCTGGTCCAGTGTTAAAAGTAAAGTGGTGAAAAAAAAACAACGCTTTATTGTACAAAAAGCCAAAACAGCTTCATCGACAAAGCATTCACAAAACAAAAAAGCACAAGAACAAATATACAAATAATAAAAAAATGTCATACAATACAAATCAATTCAAAAAAAAATACGTCATAAAATTACAAATAAAACATATATGGACATTGCAGAACAAAAGGAAAACTGTAAATGGATAAAATCATGTTATATATCATTAAATCAAGAGTTATAAAATATTAAATATTAAATACTAGACCTTTAACCAGTGTGTGAGATGATCAAACATTTTAAAATTCAAAATTGTTCATGATTAAACAACAACAAAAAAGTCGTTTACCGCATATAGGGCTCTCTCCAGTAAGTATGATTTCAGAGCTTTGCGAAATGCGGGAAAGAATGAAAGTGACTTGATATTCGAAGGCAAATGATTGTACATTTTCCTGGCATTGTACAGTATTGAGCCCTTAACTAGTTCTGAGCTCTGGGTTGGCAGAAAAATATCGTGCTCCGCATTCCTAAGTGGATAGTTGTGAGAAGGCCTTTCCGGAATAGAGAATATGTGCTTGCGGATTAAGCAAAGGGATTCAAAAATGAATAAGGAAGGAAGAGTCAGTATTTTGAAATTTTTAAAGAAATTCTGGCAGTGAGTCCTGTTTAGTCCCAATAAGTATCGAACTGCTCTCTTTTGAAGTTTGAAAATACGATCAAATTTTGTCGCGCAGCAAGTACCCCAGAATGGAAGGGCATAACGAAGATGCAACTCAAAAAGGGCATAATAGACCATTCTAAAGGTTGATGAGTTAAGTTCCTTAGAAACTGATCTTAGCGCAAAACAGGCAGAGCTTAGTTTCTTTGATAAAGCATCGATGTGCAAGTCCCATTTTAACGAGTTGTCTACAACAAGTCCTAAGAATCTCACAGAGTTCACGATGTCAATACTGGTGTTATTAAATACAAAAGGTTGTATAGTACTTTTATATGACAAAACTTTAGTTTTTGAAAGGTGGAGGCATAGGAGATTAGAGTCGCACCAAGATTTAATGGTGCGTAAGTCACTGGATATAGTATTACATAGTGCCGTAACATCTGGGCCGCTCCAAGTGAAACTAGTATCGTCCGCAAAGAGGCAGATTTTACCACTAATGTCTAGATTTGCAATGTCGTTGATAAACACCAGAAATAAAATAGGGCCAAGTACTGAACCCTGAGGGACACCATATTCTATAGGCTTACAAGAAGACATAGACGTATCAATCCTCACAAGCTGCCTTCTGTTGCCAAGATACGACTTAAGCCATTCGAGCGGCACTGAATTAGTATTTTATTTTTCTATCCGTAACAATCAAGAAAGTATCAATAATTGATGATTTATATCAATAATGTTTTATAGATACATCCTGTGTTGTCTGTCGTGAAATAACATTAGGTAAGGTGTTCAACTGTGTAGGTTTTACGACTAGATTCAATAGGAGATCAATAAATTTTACCATATCCACTTTAACGACTGCACAACAGAAACAAAGCATAAGCACTCTCTATATCATATTGAAACAAAAAGCTTGTTTTGAACATTAGAACATAAAATAAGGGTTTACTTTCCTAATCAGAACAGTTTCAATAAAGGTCAATAGCTTCATACATGTAATCGTTGCGTTTTCTGTCATCTAACAAAAATTAATTGTGATAATACAAATTATTGTAAAATAATCTTTACTAATAGATAAAATCCTTAAGACCTTAATCCTTACATACTGATTAATCACGATCCTGCTCAAACCACTCAACGTAAGAAGCTCAATTTTGGCATACAGGTTGATTCTAGGGTGTAGAGGTTCGATAAGAAGGGCTTTTTCGAAATTCCAGTTCCAAGAGGGTGAAACCACCCCTCAAATATTACAATATTTTTTTATTTAAAAAAACGGCAGTTTCCGAAAAAAACGCTTAAACACGTATATTTTATTTTGTTTTTTTACATATTTTAAGATTTTTTCTATTTCTTTCTAAGAGAAATAGAGAAAAGGATTATTAATGCGAAAAAAATAATCAGATGTCTAAATGGAATCTTATGGAGCAAATCAATAACAAAGCGAAGAAAATTCAATATACATGATACAAGCTGTCAAAAAATCTTATATATATATATATATATATATATATATATATATATATATATATATATATATATATATATATATATATATATATATATATATATATATATATATATATATATATATATATATATATATATATATATATATATATATATATATATATATATATATATATATATATATATATATATATATATATATATATATATATATATATATATATATATATATATATATATATATATATAATAATAATAATAAACGTATATTTTATTTTGTTGTTTTACATATTTTAAGATTTTTTATAAATTTATACAGGGTGTTTCATAAAATATGCCCATTGAGTAATCACGATTCTGCTTAAACTGCTTGACATTTAAAGCTGATTTTTGGCAAACGAATTGACTGTGGGGTGTAGTTCGAGAAGGAGGGGTTTCTCGAATCTCAAATTACAAGAGGGTAAAAACGCCCCTCAAATATTAAAATATTTGTTATTTCAAACACGGTTAGTCTTTCGGGAAAACGCTTGGACAAGCATAATTTATTTGGTTTTTTTACATATTACATTTGAATTTTTTTAAAAAATCATACAGGGTGTTTAAAAAAGTTGGCTAATTTCTTAACCACGATTCTGCTTAAACTGCTTGACGTAAAAAGCTTATTTTTGGCAAACGGATTTTTCGAAAGCCAAATTTCAACGAGATGAAACTACCCCTCAAATATTACCAAGTTATATAATAATATCGCCATATTGTTTTTTCTCATGCTGACATAAATGTGAGAACATTTTATCCAGTTTGTATGTTAATGGAAATTCTTGCTTTGCTTTATCATCATCATTACAAATGATTAATTCGACGCGAACGAAGTCGCTGGTAAACGCTAGTAATAAATAAATTTTAGTCGAGGAGCCCAAGTAGGAATTTTAGGATTTTCAAAAGCGCTTGCACCCTGTTAAGTACCCTCATCAAACCATGAACCTTTTATACAGGGTCGTTCGTGTAGGGCAGCAGGAAATAGAAGAGTCATAAAGTTGCACTTGCATATAGGTATTAAACCCTGAAACGCCCAGGTATTTCTTTGTGACGTTGCGTTTTTTCCCATTTTTAAAAACCTGTACACTCTCCCTTTACCAGTAAAAGAGCATACATCATATAACTTTTGTTTCTCTTCAGCATCTAATTTTCACAATACAATAGTTCCCCTAAATTCTCATTTAGCATCTTGAGCTCCGCTACTATTAATATTTATAGGTACCAATATTTTTGTTTATTTGATATTATTAAATCTAAAAAATATATATGAATTTCTGTTACCTTTCTACATCACCCGTATCAACAAGAGCTATAAAACCATCAGGAAAAGCTAAGGCGTAAGATATAAGAGCTGCCAATTCTCCATATTCTGTTTCATTGTATCTCTCGTCAAATAAATTCAACAGCTTGTCTTTCCAGAACAAGACTAGCTTGAGTAACTCCCGCGGTTGGCCCCCATTTTTCGGCTCCAAAAACGTGTCCCCCAATTCAGAAAACGAGTTAAACGGGATTAGATAGTTGTGAGCATGGACTTCTTGGACGGGTATGCCAAACCATTTGCCTGCTAGTACATTGCTAGTGGCGTCTAAACCACCTAAAAGGATTAGTGTACGGATTAAAGGATTTCTGTCACGGTATATTACTATAAAATATACTTATATATGACTATTATTAACGTAAAAATCCAAAGGAGTCGGACAATATTGGTAAGCTGCAGAAATACTATAGATTTAAAACACCCTCTACACTATGCCCGAAATGTTTCACGAAATATTTCTGGAAATATTTATATTTATAATAAGAGAACAATGCTTTTAAAAAATGCCCGTGGCCCATATTTTTGTTGACATCGGGTCAATCAATCGTTTTTCCAATCAGCTAGTAATCAGAGCAATCTCGTAAATACCCTATATGCGTGCGTTAACTAGTAATAATTATTGCTACTCATCGAGCAATACTACTGTTGTATTAATCAATTAAGGCCGTAAACAAACATAACATATCAAATTTCATATACTAATTTATTATTACAAAATGAAATTGAACGAGACAAGCGGAGATAGGTTTTTAAGAACTGAAAGTAGGTCAAGACAACCGGAGATAAGCTGAAACGAGACAAAGTTAGACGAGGAAACACGACCTTGACTTGGTTCGGACTGTTTTCCGCATAGTGTAGTAGGTGTATAACGACTTTGCCCGGGCATTGACGTTACTGCCTGTTCTAATGTGGGCAATGTTTTTCTTTATTTTGTGTCTAGAGGCTGGTATTTCAACCACGAAGTAGCACGAATGAGTTTTGATTGCTTTGGTTTCAACCTTTTTTCGTGACCCTCTGTTTTTGGTCTGATTTGAATGTAATTTTAAAATTGAATGTCAAAATCAGAGTTGAGTTTAAAGGGTTAACAGAAACATTGAAGAAATGTTAATAATTATGTTGTTCTTGCTGCTGATAGCTGTTGTATTTCAGCATTTCCCAATATTATGTGTTAAATATTGCCATTTCCTGACAATTGACTGACAACTGCAAATAAATAAGTAACATTTTCAACATCGCCCTTAATTCATGGCCATCTTCGTAATAATCCGGGCTATGACGATATTATCCGATGGAATTGGTACTTACGTTATTGACTGAGTATTATCGTAAATACCAAAATACGAGCATTAACTAGCAATAATTATTGCTCTTCTTCTAAAAAAATATGTTTTTCCTGTTGGAATGGATTTAAAATTGGCAAATTTTCAGTTATTAATGTAAGTAGTAATAATCGAAGGCTGGGAAAAGGCTGTGCATATTCATTATCGCAGGAAGGGATTGAATAAAGTTCCGTGCCAGGCGCGAACTTTCTTCTTAAATACTAATTTTAAACGTTAATAAAATTGCCAAAAAGCTTTTCGAAGCTTTCAACTAATTTATTGTACTTAATTTTGCAGCTTTAAATGCCTGGCACGGAACCTATATATTTTTTTTAATTTCTAATTAAGTCTATACCAGAAAATGAATTGATAGATTTATGTTTGTTGTTTTCAGCACAAAAAGTATGGCATAATTTATCAAGTATTTCTTGATTGTATTTATTTTGGGCATATGAAGTACAAAAAATATTAAAAAGGAAAAAAAATACACAGAGACTCAAAACTAAAAAATATATAGCTAAATAACAAATTATAGAATACTTTTTGTTCGCAGTGTATATTTACGAAAGAAAAAATAAATATAGATCGAAAACAAACAGTTGCAAAACTTAACGATATTTATAGATCGTTTAAATTTATTTTTGTTACTTTGTTATGTTATACTAAAAATTAGATATTATGGATTTGGAAATAAATCAGCAAATTTATAATAATAAGCGTAGGCCCCCACACCCTAAGCCTATAATTGATATTAAAGCTGCAGAATTTGATTATTATAAAATAACTATTTCCTTAAATGGATGTTATATTAAATTATTTATGACCGGTTATAACATGGGAAAATATCCAATCAAAATTCTATTACCATAATGAAAATGCAAAAAAGCATAGAAAAAGCATTATATAAAAGAAAAATTTAACATGGCTAAAATTGAACCTAGTTTTAAATATATATTTAAAGATAGATAATCTAATTTAATTTTGTTTGTGTTAAAACAATTTGTTACCATCAAACTAAATAAATTGTATCATGACATAATAATCAAGGCTGTCGCAGCTTTCAAAGATTCGAGATAATCATTATGTATTTTACAACTTCGTGTAATCCCGGGTAATTATAGTAAATCCCATTTAAAATTGTAATTATTTTCATTTTTACTCTTGTAATATTGCTTCTTGATTTTTTTAATTACTACTTATACATTTCAAACCAAAAGGTCAGATATAAAGTAAATGATATTTATCAAATTAGAAGGCGTATGTATTAAATTACGGTAAAATGTGAATTCGCATTGTTTAGTTTCGTATTTTCGTATTCTGAAAGTAATATTACTGAACGCAATATGGATTCAAGCTATAATCTCAAACATACCTATATAAGAATACTTCGAAGCAGATAGACCTCCATCTGGACCTTGAGCTCGACTCAAACCACATTCAAATAATTTTACATTCCCCGACACTATTCTGTATCGAGCAGCATTTGTGGCAACTAAACTAAAAAAGGGTTTTAATAAATAATGTCAATCGTAGATAATAGCAACGCTAACTAAATTAACTAACTAATTAAACTAACTAAATTGTAATTTATATGATATTTCTTTCTTCTTCAAAATAATTATGATTTGTTGAAGTTTACCCAGTTTAATCTGCAGTTTTCGTCATAAATTTAGATAAAATAAATATTTCACAATAATTTAGAGGAAATAGATTATTCAGGGTTTCTAAAATCTTTTCTGAAATTCGAACGTTGAAAAATTAAATTATAGTTATTTTTAGGTTTAGATTTCCCGGATATTTTTTTCAAATCCCGGACCCCTTAAAAACCCGGACATGTAGAAATCCTAAGTTTATTTTAACTCACCTAGAATAATTGACCAGGGTCAATAACGTCGTTTCTAGTAACTGCACTATAATTAGTGGGCCTTCAACTCTAATCAGCGGTACTCTAAAAGAAAATTCATCACTTAATAAAATTCAGTTTTTTTTAAGAAATTGCTATTCAAAAGGCAGAAAATTAAAATTAATAGATTACGCACTAATAAAAAAATCTAAAATCAGGAGGAATTCTACTGTACAGGGTGTCATTGAAATGGTGTAAAAAATCGGGGGGTGATAGTACTCCTAAAAATAGTAAAAAAAGTTCCTATAAGTATTGGGCGCAAAATGCATATTAAGGGAGTTAGGGGCACTGAAAGGGTGGATTTAAAAAACGGTTGTTTTGAAATTGTAGGCTTAAAAAACGAGATTAGACTTCGAAAAAAAATTCTCTGCAATAAATTTTGACCCTAAATCAAATGGTGATACTGAAAATTTATTTGGAAAAGCGGAAAAGGTAGTTTTTGCAAGGGTAGGGGGTTATTCCGTGAATAACTTTTTTGAGGTTATTTTTTTGCAACGTGGGTTCATTTTTTGAAAACTACACACTTTTTCCTACAAAAAAGGTACTCTTGTTGCACATCGCCCAGAGCGATGGTTTTCGAGAAAATTGAAAGCAAAAAGATTGCTCTGATGGGTTGCTAACTGGTTAATCAACCTTAACTTATGAAAGTTAAGGCGGTTCAAAAGTAACTAAGTAGTTATTAAATAATTAATTGGAAAATCAAAATTTCATGATTTCTAAAACATCTTATTGCTTTAAAAACGAAATAAACTTTTTTGGTTTTAAAAAAATTTGGTTTGCTCAGTGCCGATTAATACTGAAAAGCAACTACGGCAACGCATTATTGATTGTTCCAATCAAATTCGGACAACACCAAGGATATTCCACAGGGTATCTACGCAGATCGTGAAGAAGAAGATCAGGTCACTTTGAACATTTACTATGAATGAATTAAGGAATGCATTATTTTAATAAGGAATTTTGGTAATTGGATTATTTCGTTTTTTAAAGCAATAAGATGTTTTAAAAATCATGAAATTTTGATTTTTCAATTAATTATTTGATAACCACTTGGTTACTTTTGATTCGCCATAACTTTCATAAGTTTATGTTGATTAACCAGTTAGCAACCCATCAGAGCAAACTCTTTGTCTTCAATTTTCTCGAAAACCATCGCTCTGGACTCTGGGCGATGTGCAACAAGAGTGTGTTTTTTGTAGGAAAAAGTATGTAGTTTTCAAAAAATGAACCCACGTTGCAAAAAAAAACAACCTCAAAAAAGTTATTCACGAAAAAAACCCTATCCTTGCAAAAACTACCCTTTCCGCTTTTCCAAATAATTTTTCAGTATCACCATTTGATTTAGGGTCAAAATTTATGGCAGAGGATTTTTTTTCGAAATTTTATCTCGTTTTTTAAGCCTACAACTTTAAAACAAGCGTTTTTTAAATTCACCCTTTCAGTGCCTCTAACTCCCTTAATATGCATTTGCCGCCCTATACTTATAGGAACTTTTTTTACTATTTTTAGGAGTACTATCACCACCCGTTTTCACACCATTTCAATGACACCCTGTATATCTATTATTAAAGTGAATGTTGAGCGTGTGAACTCTATATCTATTCCTCAAAAAAGAGTTGACATTGCTGTACCTCGGAAACACAACAGATCCTTCCGCTATGGCATACACTTTAACGTCTTTCGCTGTTAAATTGCTGAGGTATTCGAAGAAACTTTCTTCGACTGAAGAGGGAAGGGTCTGTTTCAGATATTCTATATCTATAAATTCGGATTATACAGAAAAGAAAAAAATCCTGACACTTCATCACAAACATCTTACCCGTCCGAGAGTAACTAAAATTTTCTAAGAATTTTAGACACTCTTCTAAACCAGCGAATATTGTGAATTCACCTCCGAAAGGGTTTTTGCGGAAAAATAAGTCAAACACTGAATAATTTTTCGTTTTTCCCGATTTCCAATAGGCGTATGCCATGGTAATTTGATATAAATCTAAAAAACAAGCATTTTTTATTGGGATTACTAACATCTATGCAGTTAGCCTTCGGAAAAATCGGAAAAATTTAAACACTTTTGAGAATTCAAGTAAATATTAATATTGTTTTATATCGATATATCTCTAATTTATTTTGAGCGTCTTAAAATATTTGCGGCAATTTAAAGCATGCAATTTAAAAAAAAAACAAGGAAACTAACCTGTGAGCAAGGGTTGTATAATACTGTTTTTTTCATGATTATATCTGCGGTTGTTCATTTTTGCGGCGTTTTTGAAAATCGAAAACGAAACGCGTCTTTTTGAATAACATTGGTTGTTTAGCGCCAACTACAGACTACTGACACACTCTGTACGGCCATCTGGAGACTAGTAATATCATACAAAACGGTTCAAATAAAATGACGGCTTTATCGATCTACGCAACGCTGAGGTCACCAAGGGCGGCTGATATCACAAATTCAAATTTTACGTTCATAATAACCGCATCTACTACGAAAGTAGTACTTCCGCTATTTATTCGACGATCTCAAATCTCAGCGAATTCGGTTGAGAGAAATTCTCAACAAATATACATTTATTGTTAGTTATTTTAAAGTGTATTGGCTGATCATTTTTACTCAACCAAACAAGTTGCTCTTTTACTCTGTATTGATCCTCCTAAGCAATTAGAAGTAACAACAAAGTTAAATTTCATCATCAATTTAATTTAAAGCAGAATACTAACATTTTGTACAAAAAGTGCAACTTAAACAAAAGATGTATTTTTAGAAGTGACTGAATAATATATTTCACTGCGAAAACTTAATCAATAAAAAATATATTGACCAAGGAACAGCAAGAAAATTATATTTTTCCATAGGCATCAAGGTACTGATGAATTAATTAACATTTGGGGACATCCGTTACATCAACATTTTTTTAATTTATCAATTTGTAAAGTAAATCAAAGTTTATTGGACGTGACATTTTGGTATATGTAATTTGAATGTAACCTTTTAAACGCTGAGAAATTCTTAAGTATAATTATTTTTCTATATAATAAATAAAAATTAAATGAATAATAATACGATTAATTCAGATTATCCTTTAAGATTTTATATTTATTATTTTTATCTATAAATAATAAATAACAAATTTGAAATTTTACTTTTAATTTTTTTTTTTTTAAATTCTAGTTCATGTAAATAAAACACAGTATATTTGTATAGGCCTTTTTACTGTATGATCACATTTCTTCACATAACTAATCATTTACCTGGAAGATAAAATGGAAACATATATGATAACAATTTGGTTTCATATTTGATTTTGTATTCCTTCATAATTTAAAAAATACAATATATAGATACTATAACTTTAAAGGGGGCATTTTTAACGATATTGTAGCCATAATCTGTTGGTTAGGTTATATTAGATCTTAGGAGATATTTTTATGGTTTAACATTTAGTGGTACTTCAAAATTAACAAGTTTTTTATATTATGCTTTTGATTTTATTACAAAATTAAATGCATGGTAATATCGTACTGGAATATATGTTTCATTACGAAGGCCAACAGGAAGTGTTATATTTTTTGTACAGCGAACTTTCACAATTAATTTTTATTTTTTGATTGTTGTTATAAAATGCCCCTACTTTAGTTATTATTAACGTCTAGATATATATTAGGTAAAAAACTAAAACTTGAATACTTATATAACATTGAAAAAAACACAGATTCAGTCATATTATCTAGGAATAGATTTCTAGATTGAATTGTATCAAAAATCTTTTTGTTATATGTATATATAAATCTAAATTAAAAATCTATAAGCGTAGCTTCATAACTAATAAAGGGTATTAGTATATTTTCTTTTTAGAAGAGTTTTTATTTTAGTAGAATTATTATTATTCAAAAGGACTCATCAATTTTCCTTTAGCCATTCTGTGATATACATACCTTCAAATATTTTTATATAAAAAATAAATAGCCTAATTTGAAAGTGTTATTTCTTTTAGGTTGTCGTGCCTTTTAATAAATATAATTCTACTAATGACTTATTATTGCTAACTAGGTACATTTAGAATATAAAATAATGAAAGAGAATATAAAACAAAGAATTGGAATAAGCAATTCTTTACAGCTGTGAGTTACTTGTAAAATTTAGTAAAGTAGCCAGAGAAGACATGAAAGGAAGTACATACCTAATAAAGTATTTAAATATATGATTATAGATATGATCTTCACAAATTTAGCTAAATAATGAAAGACGAGTTTGTAATACTTTTAATACTTCCTGATTATCTTCTTATATTGATTAATTTTTGTCAAGGGTTAACTAATTTTGTGAAGCTGGCTTGGAAGAATTAAATTGTATCATTAATGCTTTCTAATGTTGCCCAATGTAGCCAATACTTCTGGTGTAACGTTTGCCCTCAAAAGGTCGTTTTCATATTCTAAATGAGATATGCGTTCCACCAATTCGTTTATTTTAATTTTAAGTTCTTCAACTTCCAAGCGAACAGCAAGGGTGAGGTGATTCTTTACCACGTCCTAAAACCATTTTAATAAGCTTATGAGAGTATACAGGGTCCGGCAATAGTGTGTCGGGCATCTGTAGCTAATGGAATAAAAAACTTAAGAATTTTGTTTAATATGGTATATATGGTAATCGCTATAAATATGGTAATCGTAAATCATACAGGTAGTTTAAAATTCTATGCCAAACTTTCTAAATTATAAAATAATTTTTAATTTTTTTTTTTAATGGAACACCCTGTTGATAATTGAACATTTTTTGTATTTAAAGTATTTCAAAATTTTTAATGGTTTGGCAGCTACATGCAATATTATTTCATATGGCTCTTTCAATGGTAAAATACGAGAGAAAAATCATTGGGTCGCTTTCACAAAAATTTACTGTGGAAAATGCCGTATGGGAATATAAAACCGCAAATATCTGAGGAATTGTTAAAAATTTTGAAATACTCTAAATACAAAAAATGTTCATTTTTTAATTCACCATCTATTAAAAAATAATATACAGTGTGTTCCATTTAAAAAAAGGAAGAAAAATTATTTTATGTTTTAGACAGTTTGGCGTAGAATTTTGAACATCCTGTATGATTTACGATTACCATATTTATAGCAAAGTAAGTACAGACCATCTAAAGTAATGACCTAATATAGTTTTTATTTCAGGACAGTTCTTGTATATGTAATATTTTTTTTAAGAAAGCCCGAAAAATATATATTTTTTATTTATTTATTAATATCTCTGCAAATATCAAAATATATTTACTCATATTTTCAGATTGTGTAAAGTGATCAGAAAGAAAGCCAAAAATGCAATAATATACAGGGAATAAAATTTTTCTATTTGAAAAAAAATCATGCGACCCACTCACAATTTTTGAGCCACTGTAGAAGATAAAATATTTTCCTCTTATACATCCTCGTACATACTTTAGGTTTGCACTTAAACAAAATTCTGAAGTTTTTTATTCTAGGATCTAAAGATTCCCGACGCACTTTTGCCGAACCCTGTATATTTTTTCCACATTTTACTCACTAAGGCATGTTCGATTTTTGTATCAATTGTTGTTGAAGATGGAACACTAAAAGAAATCGAAATATTTTTAATGTTTATCGAAATAGCAGCATCTATATGTAAATATTTTGAGACCAAATAGATATAGAAAACATCAACAAGACATTAGTCAAACTAACTTATCAGTAAGAAAACTCAATAAATATGTTGTTTACTGTCTGTTACAATATATTTATATTGTTTATAAATTTGAAATCAATTCAAATAAACACTTACCAACTATTGTCATTTGAACTTGCGAGGTCGTTGTTAGTGCCTACTAAATTATCATTTTGAGCAACTGTAGGAAAAATCTGAAATAAGATTTATTACATGAATTAAGAAGACATAAACATTTGATACAAGTATGTATTTGCTATAAACAGATCTTTAAATAAATTCTGTGGTTTCAAAATTTTTATATTTTTGAGTGGTCAGTATATAGGTCAGTTTTTGTTGCCCAATGAACATACTAATATATTATCTAAGCTACTGTGTTTTAAATATCTAATTTAAAAATAAATTAAATGGGTCATTCAATTTTCTGTGAAAATTTATCATTGGGTATATATGTTAAATAATATTATATACCGGGTGGTGCATCGCTGTTGGAAACATGAAAATTCCATACAAATTTTGAACTGTTCAAATATTGGCTCCCAATACACATGGCAAATTTGGACAATTTTTGACAAACCGTTTTTTAACTGATTTAAGAAAAACTGCATTTATTTTTAAACTAAATCTGAACAGGTAACAACGCAAAACCAGCACATATCAACGTACCTTAAGTTGTTAACCTATGATTGAATACTGTCGACGCTAGAATTAGGCAAGGTTTAGGAAGTATAATTTGACATTGACAAAATTATAAGTAAAAACTAAATCTTAAATTAGTTAAAAACAGTTGATCCAAAATTGTTCAAAAGTGTTTTCACCACACCCAGACCTTTAAAAAACCTATTTACGATTTCGCTCTAAAATCAATAGAGGTGCCAATATTTGGACGGTTCAAAATTTGCATGGGATTTCCTGTTTCCAACGCCGATACACCATTTCAAAAAAAAATTGGCGTACAAAAGGAAAAAACTGAACTAATACTTACTTGTTTATTTTGGTTAGAATCTAAATTAGAATTGTTAATAACAGTCTCCATACTGTTATAACTTGTAAAACTAGCATGGCGCGTTTTTGGCAGATTGTTTTCTGACGAATATGGTCCTAGATGGTTGGTAGACAATGGGACGAAAATTGGTATATCCTCAGGCATTAATATAGACCCTGTATATAAATAGCTTGGTTGGGATGCCGTGCTCCAACAAGAAATGGATGTAACGGATGTACTGATGTTCAAGGTTGCTTTTCCTTCAGCAGATTCGTCCAAATAGTCGTAACAAGTCCATCTTCCTCTGCTGAACGGCACCATACTGGCCAACTTGACTACTCTAAACCTTCCTAAGTCGGTATTTATGTTCGACTTAGTTTTTTCAACTTTCTCGCTGGTTATGATTGGAACATGCTTCTCTGCTGAAGGTACAGCTAAATTTGCGTTGGATAGGTTTTGATTTTGGACTGGTTGTGTTGACGGTATGTTTGGTACTTGCTGATCGTCTTTAGAATCCTCCGAAAAACTCGGTGTTTCATTATCAGTCACTCTGGATATCTCATCGGTATGACTCTCGTCCAGATCATCAGCTGACTCGTCTTCCATATCATATCTAGTCAGCACTCCTGTTATTTGAAAAGAACAACTTGGTGATGTTACCTGTGACTTTTTTCTTGGTATCGGTGTGCCCCTAAGAGCGTCCTCCCCCAATCTTAAGGTCTCGCTGGTCGTTCTGTGGATCACTGTTCCTTTTTTGCTTTTCGCGGCTATACTGGCCATTATCAAAATTAATTGTTAATTAGAATATTGGAATGAAGATGTGCCGACGAAATTTAAGCGTCAAAGAAAGATAAATCGTTTGAAGCGAACTAAATCACCGTAAAAAGGCATTTTATTTAGTTACAACAAGGGTCGCATTGTGGATTTGCGATGGGGTTAGAGTTTGACGTTTTGCCACCGGCTGGACGGAGAGTTTTCCAGGCCTGCGCTGCCTCATTTTGCCGATATTTCCACTGGATTTACGGGGGTGAAAAATTAAATACCTAAACCTTCTTTAAACGTATCAAATTCAAACAGAAATCAGTTAAATATCATATGAAGAATCGACTCTTTATTTTTATATAGCTATTAAAATTAACTTTTATATTTTCGTGATTGGTATTTCAAAATAATTTTTATTTTATATCTCTGTAAATGTTAATATCGGCAATTGTAAGCAATCTGTAACTAAGGTATTATATATTTTTTAATTCATTTTATTTCAAGCGCTTGTTGAAATGGGTAAATTAATGAAAATGGTATTAAACATTTCTATTTAATTGCTTTACTGAACATAAATATTAATATAATTTGTAAATAATGAAATTTTTCTAAACTAATCTGCTTTCTATGAAATCCGATCTTCGATATTTTCCACTTTCTCACTGCTAGGCTGTTTCTTTTTGATTTCATCGTAAACTATTTCGTCTTTTTCATTTGGAATCAGCTCTTCTCTTTCGTGGAACGCCAAGCTTTGACTTCTTGGAGGCATTCTCGTTATGCTTGTGTTGAAATCTGACGCCACCTAAAAGTATTGTCAATTAGCTGCAACTTTATTGAGTATAGTGAAAACTAATAAATTACTTGTCCATTACTCTCAGTCCTTTTGTTTAATTTGGCTGTACTTTTCGTATGGTTGACTTCGATAGCGGACTTGAGAAGATCATTTTTCGAGGTCTTCATGTTTTTTGTAGCTGCACCCGAGTAGCTGCCCCTGCGAATACTATTGCTTCGAGCTCTGATAGAATGGTTTCTTCCCAGAGATGTTAAAGAACCAATTTGGTTAAATTCGACCATCAAGCTCAATCTTTCGGAACTGATCATGGTTCCTTGGTCTTTGAATTTCGGTTCGTTGTCCTTTAGCTGTTTGATCGATTCTTCGTCTAAATAAAATTAAATGGGATTAATTTTAAATTTCTTATTTGTCAACATCGTAAAATTAAATATACCCCCATCATTGACCTCTTCTTCTTTTTTCAACACGAATCTGTTAAGTAAGGTATAAGCAATGCCGGAGAAGACAGCTAGAAAACCCATTATTTGAAAACTTTGACGTATGCCGTATTTGCTGATGATGTGTCCGCCAATAAAGGAGCCTGATCCTCTTCCTATACTATAGTGGGCCATACCGCAAACTCCGATAAGCGTGGCTAGTAAATTTGAGGGTGCCAAAAGAGCACAGTATGTGGCTGCTGCTACCCACATTAAATGCACAGAAAGAGATTCTAATGCCTCAAAAGGAAAGCACCACCAAGCACTCCTAAGAGATAAAATAAAACGTTTCTATATTCATAAAATTACAAAGAAATTAATTCAAGGTAATCACAGCAGCTGTCTGTAATTTGCTTGCAAAGATCGTATCACATTTTTAAATCATATGTTACATATTTTCGTAAAAGTATTTTGGGCAAGGACTTTGCCTTGCCATCGAATTTTACTTAAATATTTTTTAATTAAAGCGCCTTTCACGTGCTCTAGATATCAATTTAAAATTATTTTAAACCGCATATAAATAAGAATAATTCTGAATGATACTTACTCTATAAAAGAGTATCCCATAAGTCTCGCAGCATGAGCAAAGAACGCTATAATGATGATATTGACATGTCCAATTTTATTTGCAATATTATCAGCGCCATACAAAAACGGCAAGCTACTTAGCGTCCCTACTGTCACGGTTACCCCTAAAAGTGAATTAGGGGCACCTAAATCCCTCAAATAGAAGAACAAGTAACTTTCAATGAAACCCCAAAGGTTTCCCAAGATATACAAGAACATAACGAAGACGACGACTTTTGGCATTTTAAAGATATTCATTAGGTCTTTGAATACGTTATCAGAGGGAAGCTTGTTGCCTAAAGGCATCATGAAAGCAGCTCCAGCTGAAATTATTAGTAATATGTCAAAGGCGTAGAATGCTGCAGAATAATCAGTGTGCCCTAGTCTCTGGCTGTTTAAGTCCATGATGTAGCCTGTCAAAGGCGAGAATATTGCCATTCCTAAACTCGAAAACAAACGTTCTTTCCCAAAATCGCCCCCGTATTTCTCAATAAGGGCTAAAGCTATCGGGTCCATGATAGTTACTCCTGCTGTCAGCATTATGGTCCCTGTGAACCTCAACAAGAAATAGATCCAGAAAGTCTTGTTATCGCTCTCTTTGTAATCTGGTGGGCAAACCTTAGGCCCGTTATGTCTGAATTGACATTTTTGCAGAATACAATCCTTCGCCATCACTTTAATACGTTGTTTTGTAACGTAGTTAGCACCGTAAACTATTCCGCCACATCGAAGGTCTAAATTGTCAAGTTCCTCAGTCTTGACACCGTATCTACGCAACATCCTGTTGCTAAATCTCTTGGATAACTCCATAACGTTTTGATCTCCTTCGTCTTCTATCTCTATACCCAATTGTTCTATGGGTTCTCCTAAGTTCGGATGCATGTCTAACTTAATAACTATGGAGGAATTACTGAAAAAATGAAATAAACATATTATTTTAAATTATTTCACATCGGATTAATATGAATGAAAACATCATCAATCACGAAATTACTAGGTTTTAAAGAACCTAAATCCCATATAAATGGCGCTAATGGTTGTATAAATCTTAGCTTCCGCGTGATGATTTGAAATAATTAAGATTTCACAAGTAAACAATGTTTGCACATTGCACATTGCTTATATTAATCGTTCTTTGTTAATTACTTAATAACGTTCACTTATTAAATCGTTTCTTTAAGAAATAAGTGCTACTTATGATGTGCGCTAAATATTTTTACGCTTTACGTGCGTGCTGTAAATCCTTTGGTAATTAGTTTTTTATAATTTAATATTAGAACAAGGCTCTGTGTTTTTGAAAGATACCTATCTGACACGTTTAACATAAGTAAAGAGTATTTATTTAATTACTGGCAAAAGTAAATATTAATATCAGAGATTATCTTTACAATTGCTTTATTTAAATATTTAGTAAGAGGATTCAGATCGTAATAATTCAATAAATAAAATTCTTACGTCCTAGTATTGTTTTTTCCAATATGGAAAATAAGATCGTCTTGTTCTCCTGGATCTAAACCAGTCTCAGTACCATTTCCATAAACTACCAAATTAGGATTCATCTGTTCTTCGTTCTTCTTCAACAAACAATGATCCACGCACATATCTAGCACTACATCAACTTCTTCTTCTTCAGGACATTCTTTGCTAGGACATGGACTCCACCAGACTTCGACGTTATTTCTTCTAGGATGCGTTATGACATATCCTGGAGGTTGAACCCTTGGAAGCTCCTGGCCGGGAATAAGAAGCAGCGCATGGTGCAGCACGGCTGTTAGAAGGAAGGAAACTATGACCACAGGTTTGTATCTTCCAAACTTGTCCACTAAGTATCCTGTTATCGGTGGAGCTAGAAATGTTGTTATGGGAAGTGAGAGGTACACTAAGGATATATCTTCCATTTTGAGACCTATATTTTGCATGTGAACTGTCAAGTATGGCACTAAAGAGGACGTTGCTGAAATATAATAAGAAAGTCAGAAAAATTAATGGTTTTCTGCGGGGTTTTCTGTAATAATACATACCTCCATAAAGAAAGAACAACGTCACTTTCAACATTATCAAGTTTTTGTTAATTCCGTAGCAAGTTTTAGTGTCTGGCTCACTTTCTTTGTCTTCTTCGACGTTTGTTCCATGATTGACTTGGGCAGCATCTTCTTTCATCTTTCACCAGCCCTTGACGATTATCAAAGTAAAACTAAAAACGCGTTCATTTATACTTTTGTATAAAAATATGGATACTTGTTTGATCAGATTAGAAATATAATGCCATGTATTTATTTTAAGATGCTTCTGTGTGTTTCCTTGCGTAGTAAGTAAATAATTTTATAACATATCGGATTTGTTTACTTCTACCATACCATCAACTATCTTATTTCTTATATATTTATTCACGCATGAATTTCTTTCAAGTTACTATGAATGAAAAGAGAGCCAATAATTGACAATTTTATGATAGATTTTAATACATACTTTACAAGCTTTATATGCTTTAAGAAAATCCAAACCTTTCAGAGCTTAAATATTGTTATTTTGTCTGTCGATCCATATTTTCAAATCTTGTATTTGTACGATTTTAAATGTTTAAAACTTATATAATAATATAAAAAATAATAAGAACTCTTGTACCAGTTTAAGTAGATAATTTTAGGCTCAAACGGTGTAGTTTAGTTCACATTTTGAGCTCGCATATAGGCAATCAAATAATCGGCCGATCGGCTCCATATAAAATTACGTTGTCATTTGCAACTTAATAATAGATTACGTTGTTATTTGAAACTTATAATAAAATATAGAGTATATTGCAACCAAAGAATATACTACGATTGCAACTAAATAATCGGTCGACCCACAATTGCATGTCAGTGCCCAGCCTTAAGGCCCCCATTCTCTGGGCGATTTTGAGGCAACCGATTTGCAGTTGAGCGATAAAATTGCTTCTAAATTTCTTGGAAATTTGGTTGCTTGGAAGGGACCATTTATAAGGCGACATTCAAGCAATTTGGTTGTCAAATCAATTTTTCTGAAAATTAATCGAGAATTTTCGATACTCTCGACATGTTGAAATCGATATTGTGGTTGCCAAGCAATCTCTTGATTTGCAGTGCGGAAGGAGAATCGGGTTGCGATTGCCAGCAATTTAAAGAGGTCGTACGAGGATCGCCAAATCAGTGGACCTCGGCAACCGAGTTGCTCAACTATTTTTATTATTTAGTACGTGAACAGGAGAGTATCGGAAATTCTTGATTAATTTCCAGAAAAATTGGTTGACAACCAAATTGCTTAAATGTCGCCTTATAAATGGTCCGTTCCAAACAACCAAATTGCCAAGATATTTAAAAGCAATTTATAACTTGGTTGCTACAAAATCGCCCAGTGAAAGGGGGCCTTTAGATATTTAACTATATTTTCCTACCTATCGCTATATTTAAGATATTTATAATATGTGACGAAACTAAAAGAATATACTAATATTACACATCTTAAGTAAGCCTTTAAATGACTCAATTATTATTAAGTCGTAAATTTTAGTTAAATATAATCTAGTTTATACAAAAGCTAATAACAAAAACAAATAAGATATTTCTGTTTAAAATTATATAAGTCTATTATAATTTTACTTGCATTATAGTAAAATTAGAGATCAGATTAAGAAGAAAATCATTAAGCTATATTTTAAAATGTGCGATAAAGTTTTACAGGCTAATATTCATCAAAAATCCACTTTATACACCTCTCCTGTCTCTCCTACACGACAGTCTATTTTAAATTGAATTGCATTAAAGAGTTTTATCATTTTGAAGGTCACATTCAAATAAATAAGTTGTTTTGCTTTCTTGTAAATCCACAATTCTTTTTTCAAATTGATAATGACTTTCTAGTTCAATCAATAAATTTCTAAGTAATATTTACATGACAAAAAAAATCAATAAAGGCATATTTTGGTTTCAAATACGCTCCGTATTTTATGTAACTGCGTCATAAACATAATCCCTATTATAAATGTATTAGTACAATTTATTTAAATATTTTGTAGTCTATTACAAAAATCTACTACATATATTTAAACCTACAGATATATACTTAGTATATTAAACTTATGTTAGTTATTAAAATTCGAAAAAAAATAATATCAGCTTCCAACCAAACCAATTCGATTTGGATTTAATTAAATAATTAAAGAGTGTTGATTTTATAACAGTCTAGTCAATATTACGGACTAGTATTTGTGAGTTAGAAACAAATTAAATTACTCATCTAGTATCTTTTAATTTTAAACATTTATAGGGTATGCGAAGCCCCTAAATCTAAGGGATGTATATTAAGGGCGAGTAAAGTCCCTAGATCAGAGCTTAGATATATCTAGGGACTTTAAGGGCGAATGCTGTCGTCGCCATCTATGAATAACAAAAGGAAACAATAGGATACAAATAGGAAACTAGTCAGTAGTAGTCAGTGGTATGAAAATTTGAAGACTTCTGTGTATGTGTATTGTGTTGAAGACGTTATTGCGTTGACCTATGACGTTGACTGTGACGTTGACATTATCTGTCACTCCTGTCAGTGAATGTAATTTTTGGTTTTTGGTTATATTATCAAGCGTAATGAATTTAATATAAGTTATTAAAATTTAAATACATAACAGGAAATATGAGTGAAAAAACAGCAAGAGAAAAGACAATAGCAGCTCATTATGCAGAACTGAACAAGTACGGTGAAAATGGAGAGTATGAACGTGCTTTGAAGACAGCAAACAAAAGTAAATTTGAATCCTCCTGGTTTTAAAACATATGGATTTTTAAATGTGTACTTTATTAGTTTTAGGCGTCGCACCTCATGAATTCTTAGCATTTTATTGTAAAGTAGTATGTCTTTTGGAATTGTCAAGATTTGATGAGGCATTAACTCAAATTAATAAAAACCCTGAATATCTACAGTAAGTTTATTATCTCTGTAACGTGTTTACTTCTACTAATAATCTATTTTTAGGAATCTTGTTTTTGAAAAGGCTTACTGTTACTATCGTTTAAACAAATTAAATGAGGCTCTAAAAACCATTGAATCTAATGATGGTAACTTAGATTATCGCACTAAAGAACTAAAAGCGCAAATTTTGTATCGCTTGGAACGTTACACAGATGCTTACTCAATTTATCAAGAAGCAGTAAAAAATACTGATGATGAATATGAAGAAGAACGCCTTACAAATCTTTATGCTACGATGGTGTACTTGGGTTCTGATAAAATGGTATTCCTCCTAATAAATACGATTCAAAAATGTTCTAAATTTGTTAAAAACATTTTAGGATAATTTTGAAGAACTAAAAGAGCCCACGTATGAATTGTGTTATAATAAGGCTTGTATGCTGATAAATTTAGAAAATTTCTTAGAAGCTGAAAAGAAGTTAAAGCAGTGTGAAAAAATGTATTTGGAAAAGTTGGAAGAAGATGATGATATCACCGAAGAGGAAGCAGATATTGAATTAGCCTTGATTAGGTGTGACTATTATTTTATTGTTGGATATTTAGGTATATAAATAAGTTCTTTTTTAATTTTAGGTTGCAATTGGCTTTTGTTTATCAAAAACAAGGAAGAATCAAAGAAGCTCAAGCTTTATACACATCAAATCTGAAATTGAAATTAGAAGACATCGCGCTTCAATCTGTAGCAAGCAATAACATAGTTTGCATCAATAAAGACCAGAACCTGTTTGATTCGAAAAAGAAAATGAAGGTTGCGTTAAATGAATCTTTAGTCTATAAACTACCATCTCTTCAAAGAAAACATATTAGTTTTAATAACGCAATTTTAAATTATTACATCAATCAGACAGAACAATGTGAAAAGATATGCCAAGATATCATTTCGAAATGGCCAGAGCTAGCTGCTAACGTAAATGTACTTAGAGCATTTAATCTTGTTAAGGTAGAGAAAATAGATGAAGCTGTTGCTTTGCTAGAAAAAAATGTAAATTCTGATAAACTGTATATTAATCTGTGCATTGCTCAGTTGTATTTAATTATGGGAAATAAGCTAGAAGCTTGTAAAGTCCTGGAGAATATTGGGGAAGAAACTTACAAACCTGGCATAATTGGAGCATTAACAACACTCTATTTAGGTATAGGTAATGAATCTAAAGCATTGGAAGTGTTTGAAAAAGCTGTTGAGTTTTATAAGAGGAATAAGGTAGGTTTTATATTTATCTGTATCAACCCTATGGTAAGTGTTTAAATATCATTAATTTTAGGTAGAGTCTGGTGATTTGTCTGTATTGTATAAACAAGCAGCTGCTTTTCATATTAGAAATGGTCATCCTCAAGTGGCTGCAAATAGCCTAGAAGAGCTACTATTGGTAAACAAGATAGACAAAAAAATTTCTGCTGAATTAGTGCTAGCTTACGCTCAGTTTGATAAAGATAAGAGTTTAAAACTAAGTAAAGATTTGCCTTCGGTCAAAGAACTATCACAAGGCCTTGACCTGGAAAGCATTCAAACTCTGGCTCCTGTTGCAATCAAGAAAAGTCCAGGCGTTAAGCCTGATTCTCAGCCAGGAACACCTAGAACAGAAGAAAGTAAAAAAAGGAGGAACAAACATAAAAAACGCAAAGGGAAACTGCCTAAATATTACGATCCTAATGCTGAGCCAGATCCAGAAAGGTGGCTGCCAAAATACGAGAGGACGGGATACAGGAAAAGGAAGGATAGAAGGAGTAATAAGGATGTTATTAAGGGATCTCAAGGAACATCTTCTGGCCAATCAGAGCAATAGTAAGATCAGAAGATTGTTTATGTTTGTTAGCTTAAATATTTTTTTTTCCAGCGATTTTTCGTCTAAAAGGATCGAAGATTATTCTAGTAGCCCAGCAAATACAGTTAGCCCTTCGCCAAGGGGGGCGCACAATAAACAGCAAGCCCATCAGAAGAAAGCCAATCAAAAGAAGAAAAACAGGAGACGGTAATTTAGTAGGTTTACTTGTTTATTACTTAATAAAAATATATTGCACCCCATAACACTTTTTATTTATGCTTCCTCTAGATTTTAATTTTGTTCTTGAACGGAAAATTTAAATACAATTTTTCAGCGGGCTGGTATTAATGGTTGCATATCCATCAACGGAATATTAAATTTCTTATTTTTAAACTAGTTGAAGCCTGGCGCATCCGCCACGACATCAGAAAAAATACTTTTTATTTTTTTTTTAATTAAATGAAAAACAAAAAATCCGACGAGGACAGTTTTTAGAAGAGCCAATTAGCTATCTTTTAGTAAAAAAAGCAACTTTCTAGAGCAAGTCGTTACTTCAGTAGAGACGACACAGATAAACATTAGCATTTTATATATATTGTAGATTGAAAGTAAGATTAACTTATTTTTTATAAAATGTGTCAGTATAATTATTTAATTTGATAATAGCAGTCTATAATTCTGATATCTTTAATTACATTAAGATAATATAAGCTTGATATATGTTTATAGAATACTTGTTTCTTATAAAAAATAACCTACCTAACAAAAATAATTTTAAACCCCATATTTTGTAGGAATAAAAAAAACATATCCTTTTTATTTGAAATCTAATTTAAAAAAAAAAGATTTTCATTCATTATATAGTTTAATAAAATTTTGTCGTTACATTACCATCTTTCTCTCAACAATGCTAAATTTACAATATAAAAATATCCGAAGTTATATTTACACTTAATGAATAAATCTATCTTTAAATAAAAAAAAATAAATGAATGATAACATTTATAACTGTTAAAAACTCAACTCTCACTGGCGTTACGAGTATGACAACTTAAATGATTGGGGGCATCTGCGAACATAACTTTTAATTTGTACGCTTCAGCAACTAATAAACTTATTTCTGAACTAGTCCAAGACTGTGTCGGAAGATTTTGTAATAATAACAGTAATCCCTGAAAATCTTTTTCTCGCAATAAGTCTTCTTTCCAGTATAACAAAAAAGCAGCGCAGACATATAAATAAAATGTAGAGAAACAGTCGTTTTCAGCTAAATATGTATCCCATAGCCTTATGGTACACCTCAATGGTAATTCTCTAGTTAGAAGATTATTCAACCATCTGAATGAAAATTGTAAATAGCTAATATTGTGCTGCTTCAAGTGTTTGTGCAAATTCTCGTCTACTCTGTTAATTAATTCCTCTAATTGATGGACTTTCTTCTGAATACCAATTTGTGCAAAGACATAATTGTCTTGGATTCCATCAAGAAATTTAGATAGGCACCAGAATGAATCAGCCTCTATAATTTTCCTTTGGTCCTCATCCAAAGTATCTACATTATAAGTTTCAAAGGGTTTGTTATCAGGAATAAACTCTTGCAGAAATACAACGAAAAAAGGCGTGACTAAATCATTTATTCCCTGTACATAGCCTGAGGCAGGATGTCTAATAGACCAAATAAAAAGAATTCTTTCAAACATGATCTGCACAGTTTTTTGTTGAAATAAGGCAATTGTTGGATTCATTCTAGGAACATCAATGTTAATTTGATGCTGAATATCACGGTTGACCTCATCATGTTCAGTGTAATAATACTTTTCAACTAAAATCCAGTAGTCCTGCCTCTTTCTCTCAAGGACCTCATTGCGTCTCTCTAAATTAATAGGTAAGTATCCAGACAATAGTCTCCATGTTATTCCTCTTACTTTTACTGGAACTCCAGACCAGCTTAATTTACATAACTCTGGCAGTGAAGGAGAATTAGCTAATAAATTTTCAAATCTTTCCAATTTTAATTCATTATCTTCTTCTTGAGGAGGATTAGAGCAATGTAATTGTAAGGGTCTGCCAGGAATCCTGCTTATTCTCACTACTTCAGCATCATGAATTATTTGAGTATCACTTAAATTTTCATTTGATGATCTTCTAGTTTCTGATGTAATTCTATGAGTATTTAACACGTTTAAAGCGGCGGATTCAGATACTTTCTTTGATATTTTTGTATCTGTAAAAGTATAAAATATGGATATAAAGGCGACACTATGTAGTTTTATGCTAGTGTTTACGCACTCTTCAAACCTGAACAGAATTCGTCATCGTCCATGGCCCATGCATCACTTACTGAGGCTTGAAAGTCTTGAAACGAAGTGGATCCTTGAGGTTTACTTCGACTATTTGTTTTTGGGTCCCTTTTTGGGCTTGGTCTAAAAATTTAACAATAATAAGCCAACTAAATATCATCGATTTGATGAAAATTCAATTGGTTAAGATTTAGTTTTTGTCTTCATACTGGTAAAATACAGTTAAAAGACAAAATAGCCAATTATGACCATCAAAAACCGAATCTTTGTTATACCTTCCAGGAACGTTTTTAATGTTTTTCTTCCAGAAGGAAGTCTTATCGTGGTCTCCCTCCATATCTCAAATTAGTTATATTACAGTAAATATCACTGAATTGTCCATAATTCTTTTAATAACAACATAGTTTTCTTATTTGGATCAGAATTACCTACTTTTGATTTTTGAGGTTAGAAGAAAAATTCGGGGAGTTTGTAATGATCCGCGTCCAATTGTCATTACAATTTTTGAGCTTTTCTAAACTAAAATTATGTAGAAGCCTAAGTATAATTAAACTAATAATCAAACAAAATTGTGGAAAAGATAAGTAATTTTTATCATATTTCTAATTTTATCAATTATTATTAAAATCTCTTTTATTTTAGTTATTAATAGCTGCAATGGAGATTTAGTAGACACCGTAGACCATAGCCGTAGACACTCCTGCCTTGTCGATGTCTTCGATGTGTCAAATAGAAAAGGTAAATATGTGCTAAATTCTAAATATGTAAAAATGTAATCAGTTCTTTTAATTTGTTTCATGTTAGAAGTTCATACAGGAAAATAATAAGTTTAATAGTTCATTGTTTAGCATGTTTTTGTCGTATTTTTCTGTTTTAAAAAGGAATCCTCATAATTTTCTTCTGGTTAACTAATCTTCAAATGTAGGTAGCTTGTACTTGAAATGTGGTTTGCAATTTGCAAATAACTGAATATTCAGAGGATTCAGAGTGAAGCATCATCAGAGGTGAGAATATATATTTTTCTGTATAGATTAAATAATTGATGAGTATCCAAATTAAATTAGTTACAGAAACTGTCCTATTTTTTAAATAAAATCCTGTAATTTAACATGACATTTACAAAAATTTTGAATTTGAATTTTTTTTTGAAACTGTTGCAAAGTAAATAATTGCTTAAATACAAATACATATATTTAACGTTTTTTAAGTATATTTCTTTTAGGAAAATGCTGTTGTACCAAATATTTATTAAAACAATTTTTTTGGGTCTATGTGAGTTAAAGAAAAATTGCAATTTATTTCATTATTGTCGATACTTAAATATAAGAGGCATATATATTTTTATTATCTTCTGTTGTATTAAAAAAAAATATGTTTGATTTGATTTCACAATCAACTATAAAAGCTCATGATATTTCCTTATGACGCACAAAAAGCGCAACTCTACTACAATTCATGAAAAATTTAATTGTCGCTGCTATTTTTGATATAATAACTAAACTAAAACCTGTAAATCAAAATATTTATTTGAGGTTTATTAGGTAAGTACTTAAATACGTGTATGTTAATATTATCTTTAATTATAATATATAATTAAGTATCTACCTTAAGTAGGTGTAGGTAACCCATAGTGAGGACAACTTCTTTATTTCTTTGAGAAATTTATGTGTTTTATAAATAAATATAGCTCTTATTCTAAAAACAATATACAGAATATTCGTATATATTTTTATTGTAAGAGAGATATTTCAGTATGAATTTTGAAAATGTATTTTTAATTCCAATATTGTGCGTATAATTTAGTAATTTAGTTTCCTAATACGAATTTAAGTAATGCTTTGGCATTGTATAGGTATAATTTCAAAGTATTTTATTTAATATTCTCTCAAAGCTATTATATAGCCTGTGGTTAAATTTTTAATCATTAATTATTAAAATAAATTTAAATGAATCATTATCAATTTAAGTAAAAGCTAAATTAATTCATTAAGGCAATTAGCGATTTCTAATCATATTAACTGAAAGATTAAACCAAATATTAAAGGTGACTCCAAATTTGATAGGATCCTATATACTCTTAATTGTATTTGATCGATATTGTAGATAATAGGTACGTTTTTTTCCATAGTAAGTAAGCACTTTATAGATTCAGTATTAAAAAAACGTTTTTAATTTATTTTAATCAAAGTACCGTATGATCAATGATATTTCCCACATAAATTTACATATAAAATGACAGCGATCTTCATTTCATAGCCATCGCTGACGCCGTTTCTTTTCGATCATACGGTAGTATGAAGGAAGTGATGAATTTTTAGTAAATTTAATTACTATTAAAAGTTTACAGTCGGGGATTGGAACCTTTGGTGTTTTTTACAACATCAAAATAAAACACTCGTTTATGGCAATACACCAAAAGACTTTACTTTTAAACACTGGACGCATTTCGCCAACCAAGTTAGCATCATCAGCAAATGTTTTACGTGCTCCTTTGTTTTAATGCCGAGTTTTTTTTTAAATATCTGCTGATCACAGTGTTAGGTAAACGCGCGTCTAGTGTTAAAAAAATAAAGTGTTTTGGTTATTGTGGTGAATAATTAGTGTTTTATTTTGCTTTTTATTTTACTATTAGAGGTTGTTATTTAAGAAAACGACTTATTTTTTATATGTACATATATGAGTCTAAAGGTAACATGTAATTCTAGTTTATATGTCGTGCGTCATAAAACCACAAATTAATATCAGAATGGGCTTTCTGACATTGTTTTTTTTTTCGTTTTCCTTGTAATGATATTTGGTCACTCTCGAAAAAATGTGTCTTCATATGTGACAAGTTACCTTTATTTTACATTAAAACTAAATAATGTGTTATAGAGCTTATAAAGTCAATGGAATAATATATTAATTTTATTCAGACTTATAACATTAATTTCCTGAATATTTAGCGATCAATATTTTGTATATAATTGCAATAAAATATTGTCGGCAATTAAAAATCAAATTATTTAGTCATAACAAACATCGTATACACTATAATTCGATTTGCTTAATTTGAATTTTATTTGTTTTTAGTTCAGTATACGCGAACGGAAAAATATCATTCGTTTATATTAAAACACCAGTTTTATTTGAATATATACCCAGCGAGTCATCGAAACTTAGTTGGCATTTGTAACTTTTGCATACAAAAATAATTACGATACTTATCGGATACGATAAATATCTCGTACTGTCTTAACTTTTTTTAGAAATCTGTTCACTCTGTTTTTGACTGCGCCTCGTATGTTCCTTACCTTGCTAATGATTTTAATAAGAGAGAGCTCCAATCGACTTTTACCTAACTATAGAAATTCACTTCCAAGCTTGTACGTCTTAAAATTTGCGATCAGTCATACATTTCTATCGTTGATGTTTATACGCGAATATTTATTTTCGATATCACTCTGTATCTCGATCGATTTTTTAATTAATACTCAAACATGTTATCTACCAGTAAGTTTAAAGAATATCTTCGCTGGGTATTATTCTTTTTCTGCATTAGTTTTTAAATTTCAAGTATTATTATTTCTATTATTAAAATTAACAATTTTGTTTATGAGAAAGATGGAAAAACCTCTTTTTTATTTATTTTTCCTGTTTATATTTTGATGTGGCTTAATATTTACAAAAGTAATAGACTATAGTGATTTTTTTATATAGTGAGTCTTCCAGTAAAAGTAAACATCATGGAAAAACCAATAGGAGAAACAGCTATTTTGGAAACCCCTATTCAGGAGAGTTTATTGACTTACGAAGAAAATTTTATCGATGAAGAAATTGATGATTTGGAAGAAGTAGGTAATTTTTATGTAAATAATGAATTAATAATAAGCACGAGATTTTTTTAAAAATGTCTATTTTTTTCTGACGGTGTTATACAAATAAATTAATAAAACGAAGGAATTAAGTGAGAGAAAATTGATCATTCGCCTGTACTTTCACCTGTATCTTCAAACTTGCGGTGTACGCAAGAAGTATACAACTACCTATTATAAAGCAATTTTAATCTTAATATATATGCTTGGATTGTTTGTACGGGGTGAAAATTATATCTTTATATGAGTTTTACTAATGACTTTATAGAACTTCATCAACAATAAATTGTTGATAACAAAATTAACTATGAAATTTAGCTATTTGAAGAACAATTTATATCAAAACATCTATGTTATCGTTATCAGAATACACTGTCTTTACTAAAATGTATTGTTCTTATGATAGCTAATATTAAAATAATAATTAAATTATCAAATAAATAGCTTCACACGAAAAAAATATACAGAATGATTCGAAATGTTATCGGGATACTTAATATTTTGCAGATAAAAATATACGTAAAAAATTTCGTATAAATTTTTGTTAAACGACTTCGTTTCGGCGTTACAGCATGTAGAGGTTTTTTTCTATTTTTGTTTTTTCCCAAATAATTTTTAAACTATAACGTTGATATTTGTGTATCACAATTTGGACCACTCTGTATATCAAAGGATTTGTATTAGAATGGCTTGTAAAATTAAAAAGTAACAAAAAATAATTATTTAATTATTCTTTTTGAGGGATATTACTATTTATTTGTTAAAACATTATTATCAATTAATATATTACGAATTTAGTTGGAAAATAATATAAAAAAGAGTCAAACGCCTGTTGAAACAATTATTCATAAAAACGTTAGAGCCTGGTAATCCTTGATCTTTAAAACTTTAGCGCATTGACATACTTAAAATTTATTAATGATGTTTAGATTAAGTAAATTCTTTGTTTAGCGAATTTAATTATTTCTTTAGATTTTTGGACTATTGAAAATTCTTAAATATATATTTTTAATTTGTAAATAATTCACTATTTGTATTTTCCTTCATTTATAGTTCGAAGATGCTTCGGATTTGCCGGCAGTTGATCTGTAAGTATTTCCATGGTTGTCTTAATTAGTCTAATTTTGTTTCTTTTTTTCGGTTATTATTCGTAGCGACGATATGACCTTAGAGAAAGCACTGGAAGAAGGCCAGCAAGCTATTAATTATTTTTTCAACAACCAGTTTGTTCAAGCTAAAAATTTAATGAGCCCCTAGTAAGTAGTTTTTAATTGACTTGATAATAAAAACGTACAGTATGTAAAAACGTAGTATGTTGTGATATCGATTTTTTTGCCCTATCATTTTTTATGGTGTCTCAGTCCTTTGTTATATTTTTGAACGTGCTAGTGGAATTTTCCTTATTAATTTTTTTTCGCTGAATTGTCGATAAAAATGCAACAATTGCCATATAAAATGATGCCATTGTGAAATAAATATTTAACACTTTACTTTTTATATGTTTGTCGGACATACCGAGAAATACAAATTAATAAAAATGTAGCTAAATAGGGAAATATATTTTTTTGTGTTTTTCTTTTTATTTTCAGCTCAAACGTGTCCATGTACCACTCTCTGGGCCACTCAATATTCCTTTTCCTTGAAGCTATTCTCACTGTTGAACCGGCAGCAATAAAGACAGCCTCCAAATCCCTAAAACACTCTTTAATTGTTTGTAATCGGTTCAGGCGAAAAAATACCATAGGGGAATCCCTCGGTAAAATGGTGAAAAAGAATAATTACGAACAGCTGACAGAAATCGAGGCTCATGCAGAGCTTTGTTATGCCGAATGCTTGTTGCTGAAAGCTGTACTTACTTTTATGGAGGACGAAACTTTGGGCAGTTTTATCAAAGCCGGGCTTAAAATTAAATCATGTTTTAATTCGTATAAGTGTGTAAAATACCGCTCGAATTTTTTCGCTTTTACTCATTCACCGCCCTGTATATTGCAGAGACTGCCAGCAAATTCTAAACAAAAGACACTGGGAGAGTGAGCAGTCTAAGCTGCATTTTGAAAGCGGAGTAAAAATGGGTATTGGAACCTTTAATCTTATGATTTCCATGTTGCCTTCCAGAGTTATTAAGTTACTAGAATTTATAGGGTTTTCGGGAAATAAGGTAATAAAATTAAAAAAATGTGAAGTGAAACTTCTTACTAACAGCTATTAAACTGAAGGATTTGAAGGACATGTTTGAAAAAGTGTAGTTTGAAATGTTGAAATGGTAATAAATTAAGAGAAAGGTTTTTTATGCGTAAAAAATAGTCTTTACACGTAAAAAAAAATTTTATACGCGTAAAATAAAACACGACGCGTCACTACGTATTTATAACGCTTCGTCCTACGTGGGCGACGAAAGCGCGCGATACGACCGACGCGACGTTATGTGTTCTTCCGAACAATGAAAAATTTCTTATGAAACTTATGAATTAGCTCTGACATCTATGCTTATGAAAGTACCCTGCATCGCCGACGTAGGACGATTTCATAAAAAAACATAACGTCGCGTCGGTCTTATCGCCCGCGTCACGCGCTTTCGTCGCCCACCCAATTCGAAGCGTAGTAGGCCGTGTCTCGCTAGCTCATGTGTCATGGCCTTGAATTTTTACTTCCAGCGCGTAAAGAAGTTTCACTTCAAATAAATTATCATACGCAATTAAATGTATGGTCTGTTTCTTAGGAGCACGGTCTTCTGGACTTAACACAGGGGTACAAAATGAAAGGGATAAGGCAAATATTGTGTACAATGACACTATTAGGTTACCATTTAATAGTGATGCACGTTCTCAGTCACAAAGAAGGAGATATGGGTATATGTCAAGATATTCTTGATAAGCAACTTGCTAAGTATCCAGATGGAGTATGGTTTCTATTTTTTAGAGGCCGATTAGAATTCCTAAAAGGTAGACTGGATGAAAGTATAAGGTATTATACGAGAAGCTGGAAATCGCAAGATTTGTGGCCCCAGTTTCATCACGTTTGTTTTTGGGAACTTCTATGGGTACATTGGTTAGTCAGTTTTATCAGTTGACATGCTATTTTGTATCTGCAGTTACCAAATATCTTTTAGTTTGAAATGCGAATGGAGGGAAGCATTGCAATACTCATCAAGACTCAAGCAAGAAAGCAAATGGTCAAAATGTCTTTACACCTACCAAAAGGCTGTTATTATGATTATGTTACAAGACGAACTTACCAAAGAAGAACAAGAAGAATTAGACCAATTAATGAAGTAAGAAAGTGTCACACTTTTTAAAGTAATGTATACACCAGTATTTTTAGAGACGTTCCAAGATATAAACAAAGAATAGCCGGAAAATCCTTGCCAATGGAGAAATTTGCTATAAAAAAGTCAGAACGATATTTCAATCAAAGGAAAAGCCTCGTTTTACCGGCACTAGAGCTGATGTTTATGTGGAACCTATTCAAAATATTAAAGAATTTCAATATTGCCTCTGAAATTATCAAGTTAATAGATACAGCTGAGGCTGAAATAGAATCATCAGTTAAACCATCAAAATATAATTGTGATAATAAGGCTTTAATATATGTGTTAAAAGGAGCATGCTTGAGACATATGGGTAGCCCAAACCAAGCTCTGGATTATTTTGAAAAAGTTATTGATATGCAGAAACAAATTCTAGAGGATAACTATTTGGTTCCATATGCAATTGTAGAATTAGCTATTATCGAATGGTCATTTGGTAACAAAGAAAAAGCAGTCTTAGCTTTAGAAGATGCTAAGTAAGTATGTGCCGTATGATTGAAAAAATAACGGCGTCAAGGTAACTTAATTCTATGTCAACTCTGACGCCGTTTTTTTTTCAATTGTATGGTAGGTATCTCAAAAAAATATTGTTTTATGCTATGAAATCTTAATTTTTTAAATGTGGTTTGTTACAGAAAAAATTATACTAGCTATTCATGCGAATCCAGGTTGCATTTTAGGATACACACTGCACTCTCGGAATTCAAAGCTGAAATCAAGTCTGCTAAACATTGAGTGCTGTGTGTTGTCAGATTTTTATAAATATATTCACTGTTATGGAGATTTTTGTGCAGAGAGGTATTTTAGATAACTGTTGTCATTTTTTTATTATTTTTTGTGAACTATACTAGTACATATTGTGACTGCTGACCAATTTTTATTTATTAAATGACTTATACGGTAGTATGTAGTTACATGTTACTAAATATATTTAATTACATTTTACTAGTTTATTTTTTACACCCCTAGCAAACCCAGTGGAGATTTCCCCTTTTATAAGGTTTAAATGCGCGCCACTGTTTCGTCTATTTAAAAAAAAATGTTATCAAGGGAAAATCTCAAAATTTAATACTAGTTATTTTTTTCAGTTACTAAAATCGAATAAGGAAAATTCAGAAAAAAATACAGATAATTAATTAATAATAAATAAATATATTTTTTTCACTATTAATATCAGTTCAATAGCGTTTTAGAAAAAAAATATGTTCATTGATCCGAGTGTCCCTCCTTCCGTTTATTACGCAGGCGTACTTGCAGATATCTTAAAGATTTTCTTATAATCATTAAGTAATTAATAAACGTGCTCAACTAAATAGCAAACGTGCATTTTGACTTTATTGTTTACGATTTATCGTGATCGTTTATTAAATTTTATTTATTTAAAATTCTTCCCCCTCTATTTTTTTTCAAAAATCCGAATCGAAACACATCCCCACCATATTGGTGACGTCACGTGTCATTGTACATGGATTTTTTCTTTTTTATTTCTTCAAATATAAGAGGATTTTTCAATATTTAAAAATTATCCAAATTATAAAAGAACAGTTTCAGAATTAAATTAAATTTATCTCATTCATTCCATTTTGTTTCTACTAAATTCCATATTACGATCATTAAATGAAGGTAAAATAAATGTAACAATGTTTTCGAAAGGTTGTCTGTGTGGATACGCATTTCTCAAAAACCATATCTAGATTTAGACAATTTAATAATATTGTTTGATTAAAAAGAACTCCATACATATTACAAAAAATATTCGTATAGACTTTTGTGCTCAGTGCTAGAGAAGAGCAGAAGAGGTTAGAAATAGTATGAAAGATGGAAAACAGGAACAGTTTCAATCTGTAAGTTCGTATTTATAAATTGAAATCACATATAATACATTTTTACAACTCATTCGTTGTTTCTCACTAGTTTATTATTGTTTAGCTTTTCCAAATGATTTAAAGGAATCTATGAAGTAAATTATAAATTAACATACAGACACAAGACTTAATGATCTATAAAAGCTGCTGGACATCTTTAATTTATAAATGTTTTTGCTTTTCAACTTTAGTAAACTCTAAGAAATCTATTTGTAATAATGGCATGATGTGAGTAAGGTGAGTGATGTTCCAATTTCCTGTTTAATTTACTGAAATCTTTCTCATACAGGTGTAACTTTGTAATCATTTATTTGCCCCTATTTTAAAATGGTCCGAAAAAATGCTACAATGAAAAAATACATTTTAAACTACAACAAAGAAGGATCTACAGTCACAACTATAAAAAAATGGGATATTATCAAGGAACACTCCTTCAATATCTCGGTTGAAAATGCAAGATCTGGAAAAATTAGACCAATTATTGACCCTAATGTACTACTTTTACCGAGGAAAGATGCCACATTATTCGGCACATTACCTAAATTGGAGAATAGGGTTTATAGTAAATGCATACAATGTAACAGAGTATTTAATCCTGTGGATATATTATCACACTGTTCGAAATCACCTCATTTCAAGTACCATACTACTCTAAAGAGTGAAATAAAACATAAAAAAGAAGTCAGATTTTTTAAGGTAGGTATATATATATTCTTATACTTCTGTAATATAAATCATATTTTGTATTTTGGATATTTTAGAAACCTTTTCCTCCACCACCTTCACCAACTTCAGTGGAGCCAATGAGCAGTTCTCCAGTTGAAGTTAAACTCTCTGTAATGAGATTAAATCCGCCTAAAGAGCACAACCCCAGCACCAAGGCCATATCTTCTAGCCGTCACACTTTTAAATCCTCATCTGGCCATCATCAGAAAGGTAGTTCTTTGAGCCAAGAAAATCTTAAAAGTTCCTCACTTCACCATGATCATTCCTCAACCAGTCCCTCTTCGAACAGTCATAGCAATAAGCACAAAAAATCCTCGTCGAGTTCTCCAAGGAAGAGTGTCAGTAGCACTGCCATCAGTTCAGCTACCAGCAGCAGTAAAGTGCAGGTTAAAGATTACGATCCTGATGTGCACTGTGGTGTTATAGAGGGCAATAAGGGGGCACCATGTATGAGGTCAATTACGTGCTCTTACCATAAAGTATGTTAAAATACATTTAAACATAGTCCACTACTAATATATGTATTTTTTACACTAGATGCAATTAAGAAAATTAGTTCCTCGCAGTAAGGACATTCACCAGCTAATAGCCGAAAGAAAGGCTGCAAAGGAAAAAGACTCGAAGCACTCGGCCGCCTCTTATACGGCCCCAAACGAAGAAGCGAAAGAAAGTTTAAATCAGCATACCTCCTACGTTCCCGTTGTGGCAAAAATTGCCACCACAAACGCAACCATTGAGCAGCAATCGGTCTCTAATTCTTATGTGCCCATAATGCCTCGGGCTGTTAATCATACTAGACAATTAGCTACCTCTCTAATTACATCAGCGGTGAGTCCATCTTATACAATGTATATTACCATAACATACCTGTGTTGATTATAATCACTACGCTTAGTCCTTTAAGCCGGCCCCACACGATGCGTCCAACGTTGGTTTCAACGTTGTAACCAATATTTGGCACAGGTTTCGATAATATTGCAATTGACAAGTGTGTCTTCTACACGATGTGGCAAATGTTCATGTGTCCAGCCTTGGAAGGTGTTTGCCACATCTTGTGGAACCGGCTTTATATATAAATTAATCTGCACTGCATCTTCACAGTGCTTTGGCATATTTGTTTTCCTAACGATTAATTTTGTTAGTTACTATTTTAATTTTTTATGGTTATTGTGATAAAAAAATATATTTATGGGTTTAGAAATAATAACTAATTGTTTGACTTCTATGTATAACTTATTGTGTAGTAATCCAAATTTTATTTTAGCTTTATTTTATTCTTTCCGATTCCAAGCCTAAATATTTCTGTTGTTGGTGTGTGGATTATCAAAGTTGGTGGTCTTTAGTATAGGGAGAGTTTTTTTTCTAAATTGATTTTTGAAACCTATGCAAACATGTACATTGTTATAACTATACCTCTACTGTTATAATTATATGTTTATTCCGATAAACATAATAATAGGATAATATGTAACTTATATCTTCATAATGCCTTTACAACATATTTATTTTCTTGAGATACCCATATCTGTTTTGCGTTATTGTGAAAAAAATTCCAAATTTTTTTGGTTTAAAAATAATGACCAGATTAAGGATAACTAATAGTAGGTAATAATAATAGCAGGTTTTTCTTCTAAATTCATTTTCTGGTGTTTATACTTCAATATTTTATTGGGATAAAAACCCTATATTTCTGAGTTTAAAAAAATGACACCAGAAATTTACCATTATTTTATCTACTCAAATTATAATATGTATTATGCTGTTTAAGTGTGGAATATTAATGTTGATGGTCTTAATATGTAGAAATGTTCTAATTTCCTTTTTTTAGATGTCTATGGAAAACGAGAAAAAATCTCCGATAGCTCTTACTAATGGTTATGTTTCGCATACACAAAATAGCGAGAACATGCAAGACAATGTTGGAACTGTTCCTGTATTAGTACAAGTACAAGTAAGTTACAAACATTGGTCTATGCAGGAGTCCCATCATAAATTTCAATATTTGCCTAATTGTATTTTTTGTTTGGTGGGACAGCCCGTATATCCTCTTGGTTTACTCCATGATGGAATGGATATATGTTTTTGTTTTTCAGTTTTTGCAGATCAACAACTATATAGTATCTTTAGAATCGCCTCAGTCAGCCGGAAGTAAACCGCTGACTAAGCAATCGGTCGTACTACCCATTCAGAACAATTCAAACAATGTCAAAATGTATAAGTCTCATCCAAAACCGGTGATGTTGCCGACTTTTGAAGCCAGGCGCGTAGGAGGTTCTTTTTTACTGGCCAACCCACTTCTCGAAAGCGAGAGAAACGAATTATTGACTGCCCTAAATCGAACCAGAGAGACTATAGCAAATAATAACAGAGAGTTGTGTCATATCAACAACAGCGGAAATAGAACCAATTGCAAGAGACCAGCCAGTGATACCCTGGTCACTAGAGATAGCAAAACACTTATAATCCGTTAGGATTCGTTTTCCATGCTGACGTAAGCGAATCGGCTGACACACCACTGCGAGCTTGAACACCGTTCAAGGATAGGTGGCGCTGTTAATGATATTACTGTTTGTGGAAAAAGTCTTTTTTTCATTTGATTTTTGTTGTTGTGGGGATTGCTGTTGCTGTCTAATGGAGAATCCCCATTTATCAACTAAAAAAACCAAAAATGTACTCTTTTAGTTTCAGGTCACTTCAAATTCAAAGCAGTACAGAGTTTCATGGTCGTGATCCCTTGAATGGTTATGTTTTCTGCTTGTGTTTTACTGATATTTTCTAGTACATTTCAAAGAAAATGTACTACAACTATCAAATGATCTGCGTTCTTCACATTCTATATTCCTGCCCCTATTTTATTTGATTCTTCATATAATTTCCTATATCAGGTAAATCTCCCAAAAACTTCTCGTTAGTTAATAATTAACTATTCGTTTATATATTATCTGTGGACTTTTTTGTCTATATGGTTGGAGATCTGAGTGACAATTTGAAAAGAATGTACTACCTCTTAAAATTACATTGAATGATTATATGCTTCTATTAATTAATTTATACATAAAATTAAATTGAATTATTATATGCTTCTATTAATTAATTTATACATATTTCTTTTTAATTGAATGATTTTTAAAATTAAATTAAATAAAAAAATAAATTGCTTCTATTAATTAATTTATACATCTTCTTTATTAAGGCTATTTTAGATATGTTTGCTAATATTAAGGTAAACTGTCAAAATACTTTGTTTATTTTTTTTTCTTAGAAAGAATAGTTTTGGAAAGGCTACAGGTTTTCATGAATTTTTATGAAACGTCTTTCCTTGACAAGTGTTTCAGTTATAGATTTTTGCGCACGATACACTTACTACCGATATATTCTAGCGCAGCTTGTGACGATGTAGGGTAATGTATTAACTCAGATGACATAAGGCGCAAAATCGATGCAATTCTTTTCAATATGTAGCGTATAGGTAGTAAGTGGTATCGTTTTTTGTACAATTTTACTTTATGTTTATTTTTAAGTTGTCCCAGTATTAATTATATTTTGTTCTATTTTCTTTTTTAATACATTATATTTGAAAAAAATACGCATTCCAATATTTTATCCAATTATTGATTTTATATTCACTAGCAGGGGACAATTTATATATTATTTATTCTGCTTTATATAGTGTTGTATTAACATGAAGCTCTGATGTTGTTTGCTATACACTGTGACATTATGTACTAGTTGAGTGCATTCTTTTTAGTATATAGGAATATACCTCTCTGTGTTATATGTTTAATTATGTTTATAGTAACTTATTTTGATCATACTTGGACAATGTGTTTTTTTTTTATTTAAACTCCTTTTTTAAGATAAGTGATACTTGTTAAATAAGGTTTAAAATAAATATTTCAACTAAGTAGGTGTATTCGTATCTTGTTTTATTTAAAATATTTTATTATATAGTTTAAAATCAATGTTTCTTTAACTTAACATCACACTTTAACAACATCTTCGGTTTCTAATCGATGCTTACACTTTGTCTATGATTTGGTCTTATGCAATATCGACATTTTCTAATGATGACCCAGCACTATATAAGGGCACAGATAAGGGTGCATCCATAACCATTCTAGAAACAGCGGAACGGCGTAACGATCTTGAATAGATTTCCAGTAATTCTATTGGCTGAAATTTTTGACAGATGAATTTTTGAGCCAATAGAATTGCTGAAAATCGATTCAAGGTCGTTACGATACGCGATACCGCTTTTTCTAGGATGATGTGGATGTGATGTGGATGCACTCTGGGTTTCCGCTTGGTTTGGAACTTCTTGGTTTGGAACCGCTTGGTTTGGAACTTCCGCTTGGTTTGGAAATTGGTTTCCGCTTGTGTATGTGTTTTGTGGTTTGGAACATTGAATAAGGGCTCAAACCATAGACTTAAAATAAAATATAGACTACACTATTTATATCTCAACGCGGACAGACAATATTTTTTGTACACATGTTTACTTCTGGGTACAGTCGACCGAGCCTTCCTCATCCAGGCTATGTTGTCACGTCTTTAATATTATCAATATTTTTTTTCTTGTTATACACATCTATAATATATAGTGTTTTGTGTAGTTTTTGCACACGTGCAGATAATCCAAAGAAATAGTATACAGACTGGATCAAAGATAAACTTAAATCTAATCCTTTTTTTTTATCAAGGGTCGATTCTAGTAAAAACTCAAAACATTTTTATATGACATACCTACTCTATTTATGGTTGGTATGATACCTGTTATTATACCTTTGAGTTTCGATGTTTAAAAAAATAAAAAAAATAATATTTAAAGTTTTTCTACAACCACTTGTTTTTTTTATTAAATTAGTTTTTTTTAGTTGTATTGTAGTCATGTACAAGGAGGACAACTGTATTTTATATATGATATTTAATTTAACGTTTTTCAAACAGGGTTCATTAGACTATATTTCTACTAGGTACATTATTTTGAAAAAAAAATTAAGAAAGTAACTTAAACATTCATAAAAATAGAAGTAATTACTGTTGTAGATTCTTCATTATATTGTAAACATTGAAATAACTGGGAGCTAAACTGTCTACCTGCTTATATTTAGAGTCAGTGTCTGACGATCTTTTTTTACGATGGCCCTAATATGTTTACTTCTAAAGTCGATAAGGGCGCCATATCAGTAGAAAAAAGAAACAGAATATCTCCCTTTTTGTCGGTCGCGCGTACACAATGCTTTTTGTTTGTTGTGAATAGCTACTTCGCTTTTTAGTTAACTCGGATATTTTAACATTTCTGAAACAATATTTTCTAATTGGTAAAACCAGAGAATAGGTACATTAAGGTAAAACGTAAAAAATCGTTAGATTTGACAACTCTGTGGAAACTGGTCGTTCATCTGGTCGCAGCTAAAAACGAGTAAAAATACGTCTGGCCAACTGCCAGGTCGTTGCGACCTGGTCGTCAGTGAGTTCGAGCCCTAAAGAATAATGAGGAGGATTTCGGTCATTAACAGGATTCTACTGGTTGTTGCATATGGCGCCGAAGCGTTTCCGGATGCCAGTGGCGTAACATGAAAATACATTTCATTATCGTTCAAGCATTTTTCTTAAATTTAACAATCAAAAAACAAATTAATAATATATTAATAAACAAAATACGAGTAGCGGAAAAAGGTTAATATAAAGCGGAAAAAGGTTAAAACGGTTAATAATATATTGATTAATTAATATTTTATATTTGAGAAATAAATGGCAATAAGGTTAGATTTACTTTTTATTGAAACTCAGTCACCTTTTAAAGGTTGAGATATTTATAGGTACTTCTTATGAATTAAATCTTCGTTTTCTTATAACTTTGTTTTCTATTGCTATGAAGAAGAAAATAAAACAACAGTGAGTTGATTTTTTTTCCTTTAAATATTATTGATTTTGCTAATGAATTTCTTATTTTTTAAACATTGGCTGTTGATTCTTTACACCTAAATCTAATTCTGATGTCTAAAAATAGTGAAGCAACACTCTTTATTAATAATGTAGAGTGTATGAATAATAATATAAAAAATACACATTTTTGAATAAAACGTTTAATGATTTTTTCTATTAAAAAATTTGATAGACTTGGTTATCAACCCGTGTTCCCGTGGATTACTTAAATAGCTACAAATTTTGTAAAAAATAAACGCCAACACACATTTTTTGAACAAAACAAAATAATATTAACTAAACAAAGCTAGAAAAAATAGTTATTATATTATTTTATTTATTTATTATGTTTTCTATATTTATTAATCACAAGCAAATAAAACATAATATTTAGTTAACAATCATAATTTAGTCAAAATTCAAGATTTTCCTGGGGGGCGCCTATCACAACGAGGTTGGGCCCTGTACCTCCGGGCCCCCTTGTTGTTACGCCTATGCATGTCCGACGTGAACTAACGGCTGTCATCACTGTCATCGGTCTTCCAATATGGCGACTTCCGTCCCCGTTTCGTCTGTAGGTGAAATATAGAAAGCCTCCATCCTTTTTATTCTTTATTCACTGGTTTGGAAGTTTGGAAGGGATGGGATCCATATCACCCCAATCACCCAAGATCTATAGACTCCTATAGATCTTGGGAATCACAAACCCAAACCGAACCACAGTTTTATAATCTGTTTCGTCTATTTATCGATGATTCGGGCCGGTATCAAAATCGATTTTTTACTGATAGCCCAGCTCTATAATATGGTGTTCAATGGTGTTCAATGGAATTGACTTTTGAGACATATGAAATATGAAATGTCATATGTGTTTATCGTTAGTATATTCTGTGGTGTTTATTTCCTTTCTAAAGTAAATGAGATATGAGATTATAATCGATAAACACGAATTTTGCAGAACTAGCATTTCAAAACATTGGTTTTAATCAAGTCCGAATTTAATTTTTGATAAAATGTCGGCAGAAAGGGAAAGTTGGAGCGACAAAATCAACGATTTACTTCGGTTTATTGACCTTATGGTCAAACAAACTTGCCGAAGAGCAAAATACGAATATGATACCCGTGGAAGATATATTAAAGAAGATAAAACTAGTATTTATTCTGTTGATCATTTACGGAGGGTATTTGAGAATCCCAGAGAACATATTTATCAATTAGTTAAGGTACTTTTTATTTATAAAAATCGACTATTTTGTCTCTTATTATTTCTAATGGATATTTTTGAACAGAACCCCCAAAAAACTCTTAAAGGTCTTAGGGTTGAAAACCAAGGTGCTCCGGAACGAAAGGATACAAGATTTACCAAAATCGAGCAAAAAATGCTTCTTGACTTTGTTAAAAAAGTTCAAGACCTATCGCCTGCCCAACAGGTGCATTGGATTGATCTAAACCACTATATATATTATGCTTACAGAAATTTTGCTTGCGAAAATCCAAATCCCAACCCTGAAGCTTTATCAGCTTTTTTTATTTGTGAGATGAAGTGTCTCCTAGACCGGTGAGTTTGATGTTTATTTGAACAGTAAAGCCCCTTCTAAGTTTTACCTGTCAGTTTTACCTATTTTAAACAGACCTGTTAGTGTACCGGTCTTCCTTTTTTAACTGACAGGTAAAAAGTTACATATACAGAGAGCTTAAATCTTTGTAGTCACTTATATATTTTATTACTAGCTTGAAAGAAGAAGACGAGAGTCAGGTGTGGCTCAGAATATTTACTTTACTAAGGGAGTATTGCATATTTGCACAGTGGCATTATAGCCAAAACTTTGACGAACATGCCCTCACGAGTAAGCATTTTGATGTTCACATGATGACTGCAACTATTTCACCTTTTGACATTTTTTAGAATTTTTTTACTATTATGAAGCCATGTTAACTTCTGCAAAAAGTTTAATTCCTGTATTTTTGGATTTCGAGAAGGATGTGATATATAAACATTATAAAGTCTGTTGGATAGACTTTAATACCTTTATTTTTATAAGATACTTTTATGAAAGTGAGAAAGTTACAGAGAAAATATCTAAACTTCTAGAAGTAAGTACTCTTGACAATTATACAGGCTGTTTCAAAAAACGTGCCATCTCTTGTGGGGAGATTCCTCTCGTAAAAATGAGATTTATTTGTCATATCATTACAACATAGGCCCAATTCTGCTTTGTTTCGTACCTAGAGGGGGTTAAAGCCTTAATTTTTTTTTCAATTTATTTTAATAATTTTCTTCCTCCATCAGATAAACGCAATTTTATTAATCACAATTAATAAAATAAAAATAACACTTTTTTAGCATTAAAATATGTCGCACTATGGTAGCTTTTACGCTAAATTTTTTTATTTGAATCGCTAAAAGCACTAGGAAGAAAATTATAATAAATCGAAAAAAAAATTAAAACTAACCCCCTGTAGCTACAAAACAAAGCAGAATTAGACCTATATGATATGAAAAAAAAATCTTATTTTTACGATAGGAATCTCTCCACCAGTGATGGCACATGTTTTTTTAAGTATGTATTAGTTAATTATTTTCTAAAAAATATTTCTAGATGAATAATAGCCCAGGAGATTCACCCCAAATGTTTACCTTGATGAGCGATTTAAATAAGTTATGGACCAAGGAAAAAACTAGAGTTTCTTTATTGCAGTATGTACATGCATTTTACTTTTCTAAAATAATTGAATGTTCTTTAAAATTTGCTTTTAGGCAAGAAGGTCGGTTAGCTGAAAATACACCTGAAGCTATAAGAGAAAGGAAGAACTTGGCTAGTCACAAAAAAATAGTAAAGGGCAATTTTTGGGTTGATAGAACTAAGGATCTGTAAGTGTAACAATGTAGTTTAGTATTTTTTACATGCCATTTTTAATACTTTTTAGTAAGAAGCGTAATGAATTACATAGACTAGATCACAATTTATTTGAGTTACTCAATGATCCGGATTTCTTGCCTGAAGGCCCTGGAGTTAACAAGAATGGCCAGTGCATTTGTGAGGAATGTATGATAGCTAGATACAAAATTTTTTTAGATACCAATGACGATTTTTCTGCCATACAAATTACTGACAGAATAAGCTTCTGCAGGAGATGTAAATGTCTTATAAAGTTGGATTTATTCCACCAACATATATGCAGTAAGAACCAAAAAAAATATATATTACTTGTGGTTTTTCATTGTAAATCTTTTTAGACCATGCAGAAAACACGAAATATCATAAAAACTCATTAGCAAAACCACACAATTTAATTAATTTTATATCAGAAAGGATGGATTTTATGAGGATAAGAAGGAATTCAAACATAAGCGATATGCTGAATGAGAAATTAAAGATAAATAAAACCAACAGTGTGGTGTCTAAACTAGCATTAGAACAATATTTGCAGAATAAAAAAGAATCTGATGGAGATATGAGAAACAAAAATGGTAGAAATAGATTATTTCAAGATGATTTAATGCAGGAACTTGGAAAGGAGTTAAAATTACCAAAGTATAAAGAGATGTTATATAACTTTTTATTGCACAAATTAATTAACTCCATAAAACAAAAAGTGGAGAAATGCAATGAAATGATATCTATTGGATTTTAGAATTCCCTTTATAATATACATTCAAATACATTTTATAGAACGGTACAGGTGTAGGTTTCTCTCATCTAAAAGTATTTAAAATTAATTAGAAAGAAAAATAGCCAAAAATTTTTGGTCAGAAATGTCACAATTTTTATGTGACCTAAACAGGTTTGGTATGTGAAAAAAATAATAAATTTAAACTCAGTGTTAAATTTTTAAAGTTTTTTTTTATCACAGGAAAAAAAATCTGAGATATTTTTATTCAGATTTTAATAGTTCTGTTCTTTTAATATTTATGTTTATCTCTTCAGCAATATTGCTGAAGATGCAAACAATACCTTCATCAGTTGTATGTAACACTCAATTCGATTTCTTCTCAGATATATATGTTTGGAAGAATATATTTCAGCATATCCATCATGTTTCTCCTTGTTCTTCTTGTTACAGTTCTATCTTCAGGTTAAATTATTCTTAATAATAATTAATTTGGTTTTATAATTACTTGATTATGCGTTAATTAGACTCAGCGATTCTCTAAATTTTGTACTTTTAGTCTACTAGGGCGGGACTAAAAAGCGCTTGCTAGATAATGTAGAATGAGCTATAGAGATAATGAAAATGGCCTCTGAAATAAATTATTTATTATTCAGTTGTCAAAAAATATAATTATCGTTTAATGGTGGTAACCTCTAATCTTTGGAAAAATATAATCATAAAAAGAAACAAAAAAAATAATTTAAGAATTTCCGAAAGGTGGAGTTAGTTGAATTGTACAGTGAACGGCTCATATATAGGGGAAATAATAACAGGGGAAAATAATATTTTTTAGGGAAAAAACTGAAAATACTAGTACACAAAATTGTACTACCGAACAACTCGAAGAAATTGAAAAGAAAATGTTGGAGATTCGGAGAAACGGTCATAAGTAATTAATTTATATTATATTTAATTTTGCTTTGAATAAAGTTCTCCATTTTCTTAGGCCATATCCACCTTCAAAACAAGCCAGCACAAAAGAAGTCGGCTCGAAAGGTAAGTGAATTGAAGCTTTATTGACAGCATTGTTTAACAAAACTCCTTTTTAAATTGATCAGATGGTTGCGGTCCTTATGAAAATTCTAATAATAAGAATACGAAAAATTGCGATTGTACTTATTGCGCAATTTTTGGTTCATCTACGAAAAATGTTCAGTTAAAAGAAAGATTAGCGGCGAGATTAAATCAAAGGAGAGAGAAAAAGAAAGAATCTGCCAGTCCGCGCAATCTGCAATCACCACGCGCGCGTGGGCTAACAAATGGTGATTTTAATAAACTGAAAGCCAGCAAAGTTGAAAGTAGGGTAAGTTAATTTTTTATATTTTTTTTCTGTTAAAAACATCAAATATCTGTATTTCAGGTTCCTCTCCCTGCATCACCATCAAATATACCTTCAACGCCGACAGATTCTTCAGAATATTCTTTGCCATCGGGGCAAATATCTGATATACGTGGTTTAGTTAATTACATAGAGGGAAATAGTAGTAAGAGTAAGGCAGAACTAGCCAAAAAGAAAGCAGCAAAAAAAGCAAGGCAGAAAGAGCGTAGGGAACAAGAAAGACTTGAGGCAGAACTGGAAGCCAAGCGAAAAATCGAACAAAAAGCTGTGAAGGAATTAGAAAAGAAGGAAGAAAGGAAGAAGGAATTAGAAAAGAGAGAGGAGGAGCGTAAAATCGAAGAAGCGCAATTAAAGAAGAAACTGAAGAAGAAACGTCAGGCTATGAAGCGGCAGGAATTAGAAAGGCAGAAAAATACTTTTGAAGAGACCATCCCAGCTATGGTGACAATAAAAAGAACGCCTGGAGACGAGAGCGGCAGCCCGTCAGTTACTATCACTTTGAAAGGGTATACTCCAGACCAAGACAAACTCTTAACAACCCTTATTGACAAGACAGATATGGAGGAGAAGAAAGAGGTTTCAGTAACTAACAAAAATATAGTCCAAGGAAAATGTATGATATTGTTAAGTGTAACTTCTAAAGGATTTTTTTTTATGTTTTAATTTTTATTTTAGGCGGCAAGAAGAAAAAGAACGCTATGAAAATGAATGAATCAATTATGAGCTCAAAAGTTGTATCAGATGAGGCAAAAATCATAGCTAAGAATGTTAAAGTTACTTTGGCAGTTGACAAGAATCCAATTCCAATCATACCAGACCCTCTAAATATGATCATTGATCAACAATTCAAACACCAAGCGGAAGAAATCAAAAGAGAGAGGGAACCAACAGCAGACGAAATAAGAGCTTTAGGAAACTTAAAATTACCTCCAGGTATACATATTATATATTTGTTTAATTATTTTTGTTTTTTTAAATTTTATTTTTAATTTGTATTAATGTAGGGGATGTTAAAGCTATTAAATTTTATCAAGAATCTAGGAATAAACTAATAAAAATTGGGTATATTTATATCCACATTTCTTTGAAGCACCCTGTGTACTCCCTGTAAAAATAATTTTATATCGTGTAATTTAATATTAATATTTTTTAAAACTATTGTATGTAACAATATTTAAGACTGGTTTTAAAATATGAGCTTTAAGAAGCTTAAAATTACTATAGATAATATTTTAATTACTCAAAACATAAATTTTGATTTCTATTAATTTACAGGATGATATATTTTTATAGATGAATTTTACACAAAATCGTAAGATGAACTAGTAAAAAATCTGGTATTTATTTCGCCCACATCGATTTGAAACACCGTGTTTACTGTTCTATAATTATTTGATATTGCACACCTTAATATTCTTTTAAACTATTATATGTAACATTGTATAAGAGCTTCTTTACATAAGAACTTTAAAAAATTAAAATTTCCTCCAGGTACACGATTTATATTATTTTTTTGTAATTGTCTTTATGCTTTTTCTGTTAATTTACATCCTGTGTACTCGAAAATAATGATAATAAAAAGATAATATAATAATAAATGGAGCTTTAAGACATTTTTAATTGCTGCTGTGCAGTATATATATATTTTCTTTATTTTTGTTGTCAAATTTGCAGGTATCACAATTACTAAAGTGGAAGGCCCTTTATCAAATAAGAGCTACCTGGGATCTGATACAAATAAAAATAGCTCTATGTTAGGTAAGTCTGGAGTAATAGTAGTTGATACAGAAAAACTTATCCAGAAAAAAGTCGAAACGGACATATCAAAACCATCAAAGGCTGGCAGGAGAAAAAAGAAGAAATCGAAGAAAAACGCGAAAGGAATCGATGTAGAGCAATCAGATAAGCCTAAGATGGTTACATTAAGAAATCCGATGTTCCAGCCCTTCCAGAATCCTAATTCGAAGTCATTCCCGGCTGATGAATCAGCCCCGGCAGCTATATTTACCAGGGAAAATGGTATGGTTACGATAAGAAGTTCCAGGCTGCAGCAGTCTCTAGATAATGGCGCTCCAAATAGTTCCAACGCCGTTCCATTCGGTATATCTTTGATGCCAAACTTAGTACCTGAAATGCCCAGTTTTTCCAGCTCAGACTCTGAGCACCAAGAACAGAGCAGTAAGAGTGCAGATAATTCTTCAAATAAAAACTCGAATTTGAACGCTCAAGAAATTTTGTCTGGTCTACCAGGGATAGAAATAACTAAGGTTGACAAAAAAAGTGATAGTAATCATAACGTTGACTTAAATAATGGCACACACGACGCTCAAGTCTCTATAATACCGTCAAATGGTACTGATTTTGATATGGAATTTGATAAAGACGATGACTGGTTATACGGTAGGTATGGATCTTAGAGTATTCGCTTTTTTAGTTTACTAAAGTTTCAAAAAAGGCGTAACCAATGGGAATTTTCTTTATTGACTACCTAAAAATTGTACGTAATAATTTCTGGTATTTTTCTTTCAATAATCCAATAAAAATTCCCTCATTTTTTGCGAACTTTTTTGCTCACTCATCATCTATACAATCTTATGTACATTTTTTTCTCTAGACAACGTGTTTAAACCGAGAGACGTGCTTGAAGATGACATGGACGACGAAGAGTTGGAACTTGAGGCTTTTAAAAGGTTTTGTCAGCAATCCATACCTCCCAAGGAAAAGAAAGTTGCTCACTTTAATGTTGCTGATATTGTATTAAAGAAAAAGTTTTCATAAATAAATGTTCATTGTCTTTTTTTTTAGTTATTCTTTGTTGGATCTAAAATGCTGGCACGATATTTGCCCTGTTTTATATTGCTTTTTTTACAATGAATATTTATTTTTGAAATATTGTGATAATTTATGTTCTTATCTAGTTTTGTTAGTAATTTTACATTAAACAGTATTGTAAAAATAAAAAAAAATAATGTTGTTTTTAATTGGTTTTATTTATTTCATATTTCCTAGACGGAATATCCGTTTATTATAAGTAAATCCAATTTCTAATAGAGTAAAATGTTAGGCAACTCAACTTACGTGATTTAAAATTGATAAATTTAGTAACCTGTTCCACACCGACGCGCCGCTGATTTTACAGATTTCTATAAATTTAGATCATTTCGAAAACAACGTCCATTTCTAAAATTGTAATATTTCCTTTCCAAATAGGAGAAATAGTGCTTTTATATGTAATATTTAAATTGTATAAGCATTCATCAAGTAATACAGAAGTAGTATTTAAGAAACTCATAGTATACATATGTTGCGAAGTTGCGGGTAAGTTCAACGTTATTCTTGATTTTTACCATTTTATATTTAGGGACGACAAAGAAACAAAATATATATTAACAATTAGCTTATTTTATTGTTAATGTATTTTCTTATAAGTACATTAACAGTAACAGTAAATGATTTTTCTTATTAAGTAGTCAAATATTAGTGTTCCTAGCTTTTATGTGCTGAAACACAGAAGGCAGTGCTATACGGTACTAATTCCTACAATATCAGTAACTACTATTGTAACAACGGGGTCACGTTATAATCAGTAATTTGGCTACTAACAAAATATATATTTGCCGCATCAAGTTATATTTTATACTAGTTGAGTACAAGACATACTACTATAAATATAATTTAGGTCTAATACATTATTTTCATTTCCAAACAAAAAGCCCTAGTGCAGTTTGATTCATGTAAAAACTGTCATACCTTTGATCACAACAGTTTCTTTTTTAACAAATAAATAAAGTTTTTTTAGGCAGTTATATTGGAAATGAGTATTTTGTACAACTTCACCAGTTCTATCAAAAGTGTTAATTTTGACTGTTTCCAAATCACGATTAGAATTTGAAACCATCACAATATTTAAGTAAACACAAAAGATATTGTCTTAAATCTCAACGAGCAATGTAAACACTTGTGGAAGACTTTAACCAAAACAAATTTAATCAACGCATAAGGAGACCTGCAAACTCATTGTCCTCTTTGATATATAAGACAAATATAGTATATACCATATAATTTAAATACAACTATTGTATTTAATGAATCTTTAGTATTACGAATCAATATCATCATTTTAAATTTTACGAAAACTCTTTAGATATTTATTCAGGGATTTATAAAAAGCGCGGTTTACGATTTTTCAAAAAAACATTGGTTAGTAGGATTCATAGCATTTTCTTGCAAAGGTCTAATATAAAATAAAAGGGCTAGTGAATATTATTTTACTAAACATATTTTACTTATTCTATATACATTCAATCATTTTCTTACTTCATATAAATCACCCTGTATATTTTTCAACTTCCATGGAATATATTGATTCGTAAAAAATGCTTTAGTCCTTCGTCATTTATTCTAAGATTTATTTGAGCAAATGTTTGGTAATAAATTATTTTTATACCACTAAAAATAGGTACATATATAAATTGCTACGATAATTTGACTTTTATTTTTCTTGTTAAATTGTAAAGATGACTTATAAAAAAATATTGTTTTCCGAATGCAATTAGGTACAAGAAAGCTAAGCTAGGAAAAGTCGCAATAGCCAAAAATAATGCTATATAAAATACTGGATGGTAATTTTTGAGTATTTCAATGTTTTAACATAAAAAATACTTAGTTACAAGTCTAATATATAGCCCTTCTTAAGGTTAGTTTAGATTGAGTGATAACGTAGTATATTATACATATTTTTGATACTTAAAATTATTATGATACTATTTATTATTTTAATTATTAAAAATTACCTGAAAAGCCTCATACTGAAACATACGTATTTCGAATTTATTATTGGAAATAATGTTACTAAATCTCATCATGAGTTCCTTTATATATGTTTCTTATCGAGCAAGTATTTTCCAGTTTAACATTGAAATGCTATTTGAGAGAATCGAGTTTACCTAGTAGTCTATTATTTATTAATCACTAGGACAATAGAATAAATACTTTTATTTAAAATTAACCAACATAGTTTGACAAGTTGCGATTTTTTTACTAAACTTCTGTGTTTATATAATACAGAATAATATTTTGTGGTTCATTATGGATAAAGGTATAATTTATATAGAATAAATAAGATAGAGTTTTTAGTTGGCCTTTAAACTTGATATTTCTTACCAGTAATTTAGAAAAATCTCGTATTTATTTTTTTGCCACAGAGATTTTTGACTTGATACATATACAAGTTCTTAAATATAAATATATTAATTTTAACTAAGGTATTTTTTCCTTATAACTAGTAATCAATTCAACTTTATAAAATTTTAAAAAATATACTACTAGGACCACTTACACACACTTATGAATAGGTATATATAAAAATTATTTATTTTCATGCAATATAAAAAAAAGAACTTGAGCATAGAACTTTAAATTCAAAATAGAAATGTTTTAGGTTGGATTTTAAGTGAATATCATTATCATGTTATTAACAAAAAACAATTTTGGATAATTTTATTGCTTACGGAGCCTAGAAATCATATAAACCTAAATAACAATTTATTTACAAAGTAATATGCCGAGTTAAGATATATCAAAATAAATATTTTCATCATATTTTTTATACACGACAATAAAAATGTCTTTTTATTTGTTACAAGACAGGGTGTAAGAAATTTTATTTTTTATGTAATACTAGAAAATAGTGTGGTTATTTTTTATTTATACAACATCTTTCATTGTTTCTGTGCGTAATAGTTTTTTTTTACAGAAAGTACATGTTTATAAGAAAAATAAAATTTATCTTATAATCATTCTGACAGTTTGCAAGAGGAATCTGGAATCTGAAATCCTCTCATCTGCGTCACTTTATTATTATTACAAAATTTGAAACACCCTATACAATAAAATTTACGACTTATTATAGAGTCAACAAAAAATTCTGTTCTGTAACTCTAAAAAAAAGATATATTAAATTTGTAATATAAATATTTTTTTAAAATTAAATCATAAAAGATTTTTTTTGTGGACACTAAAATAAGGCAATGTGAAAAACAATAATTATTACATGTTTGACTTTGTAACTCTTTCTTTTTTAATTGTATTTCGTGACGTTTAGCATATTAATATTACAGTATAACACTGCCTATTTTTTATTGATCTTATTCTAATCTATTATATACGACAGTGTTAATGTTTCGTTTTTCTATAGTTGCAGTATTTCGACTGGCTCTAAAATTATTATTTCTTTACAGTTTTTATCCTCCTGCCAAAACTGTCGAGTTCTTGCCACTCAATTGTCAAAATAAATTAATTAATTCGCGTTTTAAGACATACAGACTATATAACAGTCTATTATTGAAAGACATATTTTTCTACGTACATCCTAAGGTTTATTTAAAACTTCTGATTAGCAAACGCATATAATTTTCTTTTAGAAAATTCCTAATCATTACTCTCTTGTATACCGGGTGGCCATTAAATCCTGCTCTATTAGGTTTTCAAGAAGTTAAAATAGTTTGAATCGTAAAAAATTTGAAAATGTATGTGTGCATATAATTATGGATTAATGTTCAAAGCCACCCTGTATATATATTCTAATTTTAAAAAATCTACTATAGTACAAATCTATTAATCTTCAATACCATTTTTATTTGACACAAATCAATTTATTTTGTCAATACTTTGGCTTGTTTATATTTGTATTGGAACTTCTTCGTGAGACATATTGAGCTTGCGTTTTAATATTGTTCGTTTTTTACAATTTGTTCAACAGCTTCATTTTAATATACAAAAAAAACTTAGGATAATGCAATTATTATAAATGAATGTAATAATGAAAGAAATGTAAAATGGTGCTTTAGTTGATTTTTTATTCAAAATCAAACAGTATTTGCCTAGAACAACAGATACGAATTTCAATTTTTGTCAGTAATTAGTACCTAATTAGCTACAACTAAAAATATGATATTATTTATTTAGATATATGTATGTATTATTTTATAAGTAAAATGAAGTCCTACATGATGGGGACTTTTCTGTGACACTGTAAGTATTTAATGGCTAAATAATATAAAAGTGTTTACTATTTAAAGAAAAAATTTAAAAAAAAATTGATGGTAGTGTTGCTCTAGCCAAATAAATACACTAACTGTATATACACTTTTGTTTGGAAGACTCTGAAGTATTGATTTTAATAAACATAAATCATACACATATTAGCTGAATTACAATATATATTTTGATATACCCTGTAATTTTTCACTCACAACTGTAGTAGGTTTTATACAGTGTGTCCCAGGAATAAGTGCAAGTATTTTAAGGGTGGTAGATCTTGCCAATAGAAACATCTTTTTTACTTACCATTTTTAAAATAAATTGAAAATAGCAGAGATATTTTACTTCGAATATTAAAAAAAAGCATGCTAATATTTTGACAACTGCTGGTAAATCTCTGATGCCAGGCTGATGTAACGCTTAGCCATACCCTATACAATACTTTTGGCAAAATATATCTCTAAAACTTATCTTGCGCTTTTTTCTGAGAAATCCTAATATGAGATAAATAATGATATATATTATATTTTTGTTATTATTAATCTTATTTGAGTTCCACTAAAAATCTTTCGTGTGTTTTTAGTACGAGAATTCGTGATTTTTTCAGTTTACCATAGGTATATCAAACAATTTTTAAGATTATAAAATTATTGAGAGTCACATAATCTATGTCCACTAGAAACTTAAATAAGACAATGCACAGATGTCAAAGTAATTTATAAACTTTTTAAATTATTATTAAATCCAATATACCGAATGTACAAAGTGTTTCAAAAAACATGTGCCATCTCTCGTAGGGAGATTCCTCACATAATAATAAGATTTGTTTTTCGTATTAACAAAGGTCCGATTTTGCTTTGTTTCGTAGCTACAGGGGGTTAAAATTTTTATCTTTTTTCGATTTATTATGATTTCCTTCCAAGTGTCTTTAGCGATTCGAATGACATTTTGAGGGCAAAAGTTACTTAAGTATTACCCTGTATTACATAATTTAATGCTAAATAGCGTCGCCAGAGTCACCATCAGGGACGTGCATAATATGGGCTATCACTGAAATAATTTTCTAAAAAAAAAAACATGTGCACCACTGACTTTTTTCTCTTGTTAAAAATTGTATCGGCCGTTTAATGCCGATTAAAAGTTGTCTCTTGATATTTTGTCGATTTCGGCCTCCTTTATGAGATAAAGGCAATTTTATTAATTTGCCTTGATCCCAGTCTAATAGCAACTTTAAAAAAAAAAATATTATTAACATGCAAAAGTTTTAAATAAGGAGTGATTGATTCCTCATCAAAAAATATGAAAAAAAATTCCTATAAATATGGATATGGAAATGCATAGTTTTAGAGTTACAGGATGTTAAACTTTTTAAAATTATGTTTTTTGTAATTAACTTAAATACCATTATTTTTGTATTTGAAGTTGCTGGAGGTTGGACGAGAAATAATAACTAATATTGATAATATTTAATAATAAATTAGGTTAAATATATAATTTATTAATTTTATTTTTGTTTTAATTTTATTAATTGTGATTAATAAAACTGCGTTTATCTCATCAAGGAGGCCGAATTCGACAAGATATGAGAGATAACTTTTAATTGGCATTAGACGGCCTACACAATTTTGATATCAAAAGAAAAAAAAACAGTGGCGCACATATTTTTTTTGTGAAAAATATTCTAGTAATAACCCATATGCACGTCCCTGATGAATTTATCGACACTTTTTTAGCATTAAAATATGTTTATATATAGTTAATCACCGCGACCTTACAGATCTATTGTGTTCCCCTTTCTTGAGTTATACAGGGTGAGTCTTAAATAGGTGCAAATATTTTCAGGGCTGATAGATCTCGATAAAAGAAACATATTTTCTCTTTACCATTTTTCAAAATAACCGAGTTATTTAAGTTTGGAAATTTAAAAAAAAAAATTATTTTTAAAAAATTTTGAGAGCCACCGGATTTTTTCTGTAATTGCATCCCTTTTAGTGCTGTAACCATAGAGTAAAGCCGTAACTATGGTAATATCAGAGATTAAGAAATTATACCGTGGGAAAATTTGCGGTGGACAGGTCTAAAAAGTTTTCGAAAAATATACAGGGAAATTTAAAAGAAAATGCATGATTTCCAACATCTTTTTTTTGTGAAAAAAAACTCATAGACGTGTTCCTGGGGTTGAAATTAATATACAACCCCTGGAAATATTTGCACTTATTTAAGCCTTACCCTGTATAACGAGTTATAACTCTTCATACAGTCTCAGGGCTTTCACAAAAGCCAGTATCTGAGACGACTTCACTTATAGTAAGTTTTACCACAGATTAGGTATCCTATAAGTATACAGATAAAAATCTTATCCCTAATTCGTGGTACGAAAATTGTTTTTTATGACGATGAGCAAACGAGTAAATTTTCTTATGCGCAAAAATAAACTCCCGTTTATACAGCGTAATAACTGGGTCGGTCACAAGGCCGGTCGGGCGCTGTGCACAATTTTGTAGCCCATAAATGGGCGTGCTTGTGCGCAAACTAGTAACCTAACTAGTGTGCGACTCCAAAAATGGGAACCACGAAAAACAATGCTTTTGACGATAAGTTTATAATCTGTATGATATGTGCTTTTACCCTCAAAATGTCATTCGAATCACTAAAATTACTTGGGAGAAAATTATAATAAATAGAATGATAATTTAGACTTTAACACCCTGTAGCTACGAAACAAAGCAGAATCGGACCTATGTTGATATGAAAAATAAATCTTATTTTTACTTGAGGAATCTCCCCACGAGAGATGGCACATGTTTTTTAAAACACCCTGTATGCTGAATATTTTTTGGTTTTGTATATTTTGTCTGTGTGATTATTTAAGGTTTTAGTGGAGCCAGGCGAGTATGTAGAATTTTTCCGTATTATACACTCACTGATTTTAATCGATTGTCAATTGGCGATATATTAAATAAAGTGTTTTACCGAATGATGCACGCACAGATAACTATCGGTGTAATTTTCGATTATCATTTAATCTTTTAGGAAACGATTTCCATTTCTTTAAATTCTATTTGTATTTTATTTTTTTAATTTGTCACCAGTCACTTTTTTACCGAACTAGGCCTTTGCGAATCTCGCTTTTGGAAGCCACATGATTTGAGAGACCGGATCATAGGAAGCTCTTTATTTCTCATTTTCTTTTCATTCTATTTCCCGCGGTAGATTTCGATTATTTTATCTTGATCGACGTACTCGAAGATGTGGGGAGCGTCCATCAATATGCCTACTGTTCCTGCTGTAGTCACTATGAAAAACATATAGAGCTGAAGCCTGTCTATCACCATTGCCACATATTTCCAGTCTTCGCGTGTCTGAAATAACAAAAAAAAACTAAAGCTATGAAAAAATGTCGATCTTATTAGTAGGGGAGCCCAAGGAACACCAATGCTAAGGCCGTTTTCATGGATCTCATTCTGATGTTCGGATATTCCTTTACCGCGAATTATTCAGTTATCTTGTGTCTGTAGATTGCTTCAATTTTATCTATATTTAGATATAAATGTACCCTACTAATGTAATTTGTACCCTACTATTCACTGTACCCTACTAATGTAATTTAAGTCACGAAACAAGAGAGATAATCAGATTAATTAAGAAAATAGCTGATTAATGACTTTTGGTTTGCTGCATTTTCCTTTCAATTTACGGTCTAAAAATAAATCTCGACGAAAACGTCGCGGTTGTGCTGAGCTGAATATTAAAATCGCGATTATATAACACAAAAAGCTTGGCTGACGACATTTTTTCGTTAAATTGTGTTCATGATATTAATTTTGCATCTTTCTTGGTTTGGGATACAAAAGACGTCTTATTCTATGCGAAAGATATTGATTAAAATATTTCATATCAAAAGAGAACATAACATTTTTTAAATGCTTATAAAATTAGAATATACTTTTTGACTATATTTAGTACCGTACTCATGACACCAAAAAGACGCGTATTCCTTAATTTACACTTTTTAGTTATAGTAGAGGGCCCAAGATGACTCGAGAATCATGGGGACCTATTGTTTTATGCAATTTTTCAAAAATCCAAAAAAAAAGTCACTAAGAAATACTTGGATGTTTCAGACATTAATAGTGCATGCGTCCCACGAGTTTTTGACAACGCGCAACGGTGGAATATTAATCTGCCGGATTGTATGGCGGGGGTAGCCATACGAAGGGGTAGAAAATGAGAAAAAAATATTCGAGTACGTCAGATATTAAGAGGGATGTTAAGTGAACCTTAAAGAAGCTCCTATTCTATTCTATCTATATTCTATTAAGACTGACAATTTGGATGCAAACAAAATTCATGGCAGATTTTTTAGAAATACATAGTTCTTAGCAACATTCTTTATAGATTTGACTTACGGCTTGTGGAAATCAACGGGTTTATGCCATTCCCGTGATTCTTGAGTTAGATCCTTCAAAATTAAAAAGAAAATTATGTGTGGTAGGTAGGGTGAGCCAAAAAAAACTAACCTATGAAATTTATGGGTTAAAATGAACCTAATAACCGAGAAAAAATATCCCCGGAAGGCCGGATTTTTAGCTCAATTTTAAAAGGTGTCGGTGAACATTCAAAGTTTTCCATTTAAATAACACGTAAAAAAATCTCTTTCCGTTAAAACTACCATAACTTTGAAACAGTTTACGATAAAAAATTACATCGCGGATTCTTGTAGAGCATAACATTTCCTAAAAAATATATCTGAGAGTAAACTAGTTTTTTGCTAAATATGAAAATTTTTAATCAATAAACACTAAAACTGGATATTTTGATTTTTTTTTCACTTTTCATAGCTTTTAAATACACGAATTATTGAATTGAAAAACGTTACTCTCAGATAGATTTTTTAGTAAATTTTATGCTCTACAAGAATTCGCGATGTAAAGAATTTTATCGTAAACCGTTTCAAAGTTATGGTACTTTTAATGGAAGAAGATTTTTTTACGTATTTAAATGGAAAGCTTTGAATGTTCACCGACACCTTTTAAAATTGAGCTAAAAATCCTGCTTTCCGGGGATATTTTTTTCTCGGTTATACGGTTCATTTTAACCAAAGACATTATAAATATAGACCGAACATCTCATTCATAAATACTCGTTGGTAGTGTATCAAACATTCCAATGTGTCAAACAAGGACAGAAGAGACAGAGAAGTCTAAAATTTCCGACCCCGGCAACTAGGCGCATTTGGATTGTTCTAATGGCCAGTGGCGTATCGTTTTTTGAAACGAATTTAATTAGTAAAGTAAAAGTAAACTAATTAGTAAAATGTTTACTCCATATTAATATACTACATTAACACTTTTTTCGTCAGATGAGTTTTGTTATAAGGTCTAATATAATAATATAATTAATATCCCACATATACTTATGTTGAAACGTTAGTAGGTAGTTTCCGAAAATCGCTCCAACGTCGATTTTTAATTTAAACTTTAAGTTAATTCTATATAAACTTTCAGTTACTTTTGAATATTTATAGGGTGACTCAGGCTTCCGAAACAGTTTATATTAAGTTTGTGGTTGGTGACTTTTCTTTCAATTTTTTTTTCAGAATATGGAGGCAATGGTAAAGCACATTTTAGACATTTTTGTAAACATAGGTGGCCGGAACATATTTTCAAACTAAAGTTGTAGATTTGCCATTAAATTTCCATTCCAGAAATACCTAGGGTTGCCACCTGAATTACCTACAGCAAACAGAAATATTATTTTCGTCCAAATTTAATTAGAGATGTTATAAAACTTATAAATAAATTTTTCTTGTTTAGAATAGGCAACATTATTTAGAACTTCCTGTTTAATCTCAAATGATAATTTAGGTTTTAGTTTTACCTTTTTGATCTTAAAAGAACTTTTAAAATTAGTAATTAGTAACGATTTAGTTAGTTCGCAATCGATAGCTTCCTGTAAAGCACTATGTAATAGTTGTTTAATCTTGTATTATTAATAACTTTTCCTATACCTAAAATCAATATTTAATGAGAAAATTGTGTTTTTTTGAAAATATAAGACAAGATTTGACTTTCGGTCTTCTTCTTGTATTATGATGGCTCTGATACGAGGCAATTACCTTTTAGTCTCTCAATAGAAGGCATTTATCATTAAAAGTATCAAATCTGTGTGCTACAGTATGGGATTTCTGTCGCATAATAATGAATATTACGTTTATTTACAAATCCATTACTTTTAAAGGTAGCTTCATCAGACAATCAAATTTAGTTAAATGTCCCAGTCTTCATGAACTGTATTAAGCATATGTATTGCGGTTTGAATCACCCCGAGAATCACCCTGTATGTTGACAAAAATATTTTGAAAATGTGCGTTACAATGGCTCCCATCTTATGTAAAAATTGAAATAAAAATTACAAACCTAAAACGTAATAGGTAAAAAGCTTTTTGGAGGCCCTGGGTCACCTTTTATATAGGTATGTATAAAACTAGTAGCCTAAGAATTATTTACAGTTCGTCCCATTCTAAAAAACAGATAAACACACCGTACAAATAACTCTAGGAAGAGGTATTTGTACGGTGGTAAAAAATTGTTTAAACGAGGCCGAAGGGGCAGATATAATAATGCAATAAAATGTAAAAAAAGGGCGGGTAAACACCTTTGTTTATTTGTTGAGCAAAATACCTTTAGAATATCGTATATAATGACCAAAATATGATTTTAAGAAAAAAAATGTCACTTTCTGGCTTATAATAAAGTTTCAAATGCAACGTTTATATTAAAATTTGTTATGATCTACAACAGTTAAGTAGTAATTGAGACGAATTATAATTCAATTACCGGCTACTACGTTCTTGTTTTAATAGATCAAAATTCAACAAATATAATTAGAAATTATTTTAATTGTGAGAGGCTCCCTTGTGGGACGCCTCTGTACGGCAATTACGGCGCGGCGGAAACAATACCTACCTGTGAAGAGACAAATTCGGGTAATTTAAGCTTTTTTTTCCACACATTTGACACTGTCGTACCATATTGAAAATTCGCAGATTCAAAAAGTACGTTAAACAAAAGCAAAACTACTGAAAAACACTGAAAAGTTCACTTCGGACTTGATTCCGACTTCAAACACATCCTAAGCTAAACGTAGTACGCTATAACGGACCAATGGCCGTCGCGAGGGGTGGTGGGACGGACGGCTCATTTCATTCAGGAAGACTAGCAGCGACGTTGCCAATAGTTCTAGACGTTTCAGCACATTAAACAGTAAACATGTCCTTTAATAGTAACGCATATATCCTCTGGTTAATAACATATTATTACGCATGCTTCTTTAAAATAAATTATTAATTTAATTAAGAAATTGAGATTTATTGATATCCGGTAAAGGTTTTAAAGTCACCTTTTCTGCAAATTAAACTAAGTAGATAGGCGCAAATTTGAGATGTGGCAATGTCGCCTTCTCTATCTCATTTGGTTTTTACAGTACGTAGTCAACCTCCGATTGTTTGATCGGGTTAAAATGTCTAATGTGATATCTGTTCTTACTAAATCTATGATTTTAACCCATAAATTCCATAGTGTAGTTTTTTTGGCTCACCATAATGGCGGGTATATTTAACACGGTGCAAGGTTTCTCCCCCTGTAACATCCTTTCGCGTCTGAGTAAATTCCAAAATCCCTGCTTGGGCTCCCCTACTATTATTTATTACTCAAAATCGGATTTTTGAGCCATGTTTTCAGAAAAATAACCAATAACCAACATAGAGGTGAAATTATGAAAATTATTTTATAATTACACTATACACATCTTACCTGTATGTACAAATCTTCGTTGCGTAAGTGTTCTGCGATGAACTCCACAGCTTCCGTTGCTTTAGAAGCTTCCGGAGAAAGAAGAATTGAATCTGAGCTTTCGCTCTCTCTTCTACAGCTATCCGGACCAACAGCCACACCTAGATCGGCAGGCGTTTTCCTGTTAATCTTACAATTAGGGTGATGGTGTAGATCTGACAGTTCCATCACTTCCACTTTGCTTTGCGACTCAACAGAACTGTAATTCATACGTATTTCATTAATCTTGTTATTATTGAGAAACAACGGAAAAAAGTTGAAAAATTGTCACAGATCACGTTTTCATGGCGCTAAGAAAAATAGTAAGCATAGCGATTAAGTTGTGTTTTTTAGGTTTGTAGGAAATTTTATATACTTTTATAATACCTAAACTTTTAAAATCCTAAATTATGTGATTTTTTGAAAAAAATAACATTTTTATCTCTTATTTCTGAATAATTATAACAATGATAAAATTATGAAAATTTTATGACTTTTTATGTAGTATTAGAATATTATAAATATTTTGTGAGAAAATAAACTTTTTCAACTCTTGTTTCTGAGTAATTACCCATATTTGGTTATATTTTACACGTTTTCACCGCGCGGCGTTCAGAAAAATACTAAACATATTGATTTTATTAAGGAATTTACTTCCAATCCCATTGATGCTTGTACGCCATTTAAACATAAAATAGAGACAACCGAATGAAAAATATTTTGTTTTATGCTTTTTGTTTCAGGCAACGGGAGGTTTCGTAAAAATGAAGACGGACCTAATGTGTTTAGGGATGTCCCCTGGAGAGCCATAGGGATGTGGCGGGACTCCCATGCCAGGCATTTCCATCATCCACCTCAACCTAGTTTTTCTAGGTCTTTTCATCAGAAGCATGGCAGGTAGGTAGTTCAGGAATACGGAACGAATCCACGAAGGCATTCTGAAAATCAATTCAGAACACACTTGCTACAGGCATAGTTAAAAACCCATAAATTAATAAGTAAATATTTGCAATAATGATTGTTTCTGAGCAATTTTTGGCGTTTGTTAAAACTATTTTATGACTAAAATTATGGAAAACACGTGTGTTAAGTTAGCACAATAAAAAATAAGGATAATAAAGGAATTAAGGATTTAAATTTCTAAGAAATTTTATGAAATCTAACATTTTAAGTAATATAATCTTACCTGTGTGTCCTTGGACCTCTAAAGTTCCAATTGATTATGACTACTGTCACTAATATACTAACAGTGTTCATGATGAACGTAAAAAGGAGATATTTGGCTATGAGTGGCAGCACTAACGATGTTGGTGGCAGAATTTTTGACACTAGCAATAGGAATACAACCAGTGAGAGTAAAATACTTATTCCTAAAGTAACCTGAAAGGGAAACATCGAGAAACCGAAGTTGTAGATGAATATTTCGTAAAAATAGGGTTTCCATACAAGTTTTTGGAAAATCCGGACAAGTGAGTTCTGAAATCTGTCATTTTAATTCATTTAAGTATATTAAGTATATTCTTTTGCTTTTGTATGAAAAAGAAGATTTATATTGCACACGTTACAAATGACATCAGAAATGGATTATGCGTTTTTAATAGAAGAGAAAATTTTGATCATTTCATTAGTTACTACACACTTTCGTTTTGACATTATTAAAAAATGCTTAAGTTTACTGGTAATATTTTATATTGCAAGTTATATATTGATAGGTACCTCCTAACCAATTTAACCGTTGCATGTACAGTTAGCATGAGCTAAGTCTGTCCAAGGGGTCAAGGAAGATTTTCACAGATGACATTCAAAAAAATGACAGAAAATACAATTTACTTGTGAAATAAATTGACAGGCACAACAGTCACAGTAGTAAATCGTTGGAAAAGCGCACGTAATCATAATCAAAATAAAGACAAAATAATTCACAATTCACGTCCACGAGTGCACGAAAATTGAAAAAATTCCCTAGATAGATATGGGTACTTTTGAACAATGCCGATTTAATGGATATGTGACATCGTAACGATTAAAATGTCCAAGCAAAGTTAAGCTGATTATACGGTTAGATTTTCCGGAAATTTTAACCAACTCCGGACACCTTAAAAACCCGAGCGTATGGATACCCTACGGTAAAAAGAAAGCGAAAAAAAGTCGTTCTTACCTTTTCGCCGGCTTCTGCTGGCAAATAAAAAACGAGGACGCATAAAAACGAGATAAGAACCGTGGGAAGTATTAAATTCACTGTATAGAACAATGTTTTTCTCCTTATTATAATGTAAAATGTGATATCGGTTTCGGTGGGGTGGTTTCCCTCGTAGATGTTGAGGTAAGCCGGCACTTCGATAATGTCCCACGTGCCAGATTTCCAATAGTCGGACAAGTCGACGAATTCTTTGTTGTTGTACAAGGCCAACGACACTTGGTCGCCGTTAAATGTCCACGAGCCGAATTTCATAATACACGTCTGCTGGTCGAAGGGGAAATATGTTACATCTATCGTACACGAGCTCTGAAAAAATTGTTTTCATAAGAAGAAATTAAACACTGAAAAAAAAGACTGGGTAAAACTAGTGATGAAAGATGTATCAGAAACTGCGATTTTATCACTGATATCAAAAAATCACGTAACGTAACTTACTAAAAGTTACCAAAATTTGTATAAAACGGTGACGTGATCATGACTTATGATATCACCATTTTTCGGTGGTTAGCCTGGGTGCTAGGACACGAGGGTCACAAGTATAATGAAAAGGCAGATAAAAAAGGCCAAACAAGGCTCCTCAATACCATTCTTAGGCCCTAGTCCTTCTATGGCGCTGCAAAAGCAGTCATAACAATGGCCACAAACAATGTAGAAAGAGTGGACGGGAGGTTAATCACCGCTTCCTTAAAGATCTAGTGTGTCCTCGTTTCTTGAGTTGTAACTCATCTTACAGTCATAACTCATCATACATAACTCGTCTTCCTTCGCCAACTCGATGTCCTTATAGTGAAATTCTGGCAAAACTGGTGATACATCGCAAGGGTAAGTAAATTAACTTCTACAGAGCCCCGCATGTAGAAGTAAGGGAGACGAGAATACAACGGGTTGCCCCAAGGTTTAGACTAGTAGAGACTAGTCTATCTAACCACGCATCCCTTTGACCTGGTCCCGCCATCGTAGGATTTAGTTTTTTCGTGAGGTTGCGAAAAAGTCCATAGTAGAACATTCGCAAAAATTACGGCAGACTTTGATAAGCAAAGACAGAAAAACAGTCAAAGCTATAGTGGGTCTACTAATAGAGCATTGTAAGCTGAGTAAGCATCTATAGCTGATGGGATATTACCGACGAAACCATGTACAGGTTCTCTCAAACTGAAGAAGAAACGACGTAACATCACTATTGACAAAGAGCTATATGGAGGGTTCAGTTTCCTAATTGCTAATCTTTTTGAAAAGGATAGGATTGGAGAATATAACCTAAGGACTAGAAGAGGACCACAATATATCTGAAACGAAGCTACCTCGAAGAATCGAAGCTTAAACCATATGATCACTGATTGCGTTACTACTTCTGCAACAGATATTTTGTTAATGTAGGCTCTGAGATTATTTATTTGTTATTTTTTTTAAATTCTTTTTTGAGCCGTTAAATGGAAATTTTGCGACTTGTGTAAATTAAAATTAGCTTAGAGATATTTAAAAATTAAGCATCCTACGGTCACAATTTTAACTTGAAATCCACCAAAGGTAAATAAGAATAAAGTAAGTAAATGAATAAAGCTATGGTACAGTTTGGAAGTCTTTTAAATCACTGATATTAGTTCATTCAAATCACGTTATCTATTGCTACGATATTCAGCATTAATTATTGTAGCTATGGAATAGTATGAAAGTCGTGACCACGCCACTCTTAAAATCACCGCTACTAAAAAATCACGGTGTTATTTAAAAATCACAGTTTAGCTCATCTCTAGGTAAAATGCCCTGAAGTAGAAATACATACTTGATAAATTGCTGGCGGTACCCATAGCACCTCACCGTTTGGATAAATCAAAACGTTTGATTTGTATCTGACTTCGTAATTCCCATCAGCACTGGAAGAAAAGAAAATAAGCTTCGTTTAATCCGAAATAAGGGAACAGAAAATCGATAAAGTTTAGTCAATTTTCCATCTGACCAAGTTCCCTTCAATTAAATCCAAAATAATTGCTTTTCAATTTTCGTAATTAAAGTTAACAACAGAACGGTCTACTTTCTTTCAAGCTATAATTGAATTTATTCCGCATCATTTTTCTTAATTGTCTATAATTTATTTTATTAATCCAGTATATAGGGTGTTCCAGAAATAAGTGCAAGTATTTTTACTGGTAGCAGTTCAACCCCAGAAACACGCCTATGAGTTTTCTTTGTGAAAAAATAAGTTGAAAATTTTATATTTTTCTTGATATTTTCTGGAAAATATTGAGAAACTTTCGAGTGCCGCTTGTTCAGTTTCCGGAAATTTGTTTATAGTGCTTCGAGAGAATGTAAAGTTACCACTTCCTACATTATCCACATTCTATATGGTTATAAGTTCACATTTTTAAATTTCTGCCAAAAAAAAAATACTTAAATTAATTTTATTCACTGTAATAATGAAACTAAATAATGAACAATTATACCAGCTTTTCAACATTTCAGAATCAGCGCCCTCTATTAGATTTGTAAATAGTCAACGTTTGACCTATATTTATACAGATCAGCTGATAGCATTTTTAGGTTACCGTTCATTTGAAATAATACTCAAAACAGTAAACCTCTGACAAAACTAACAAAATAGGCAAATGTAATGTAAGCCTGTAAAAATGCTTTTTTATCCAAATAGAAATATCAATTATTTTGGTGTTTAATCACAAAAATAAGGGTGTGAGATAGAAAAACAGAGGACTTATTTCTGGGACACTTTGTATGTAGAGTAATAATAGAGGCTCATTTCACTTACTTATTAAATAAAACTATATCAGGTTTCCATACTTTATCTGGTGGCAATCTAAGGACGGCTATACCACCATAATCAGCTTCATCCCATTGAAGCTGGTAGTCCGTCCACACCTAAAATGAATTTTATTAAAAGAAAGTAAATAGAGAATATTGTTTACGTTTACCAGGCGCAACCAGACATTGGATTTCAAAATTTGATTTTTCTCGTTCTGTAATAAAAAGAGAAAAATTATTTATTATTACTATTGCTGGGGGGAGGGGGCATATTGAGAACATGGATAGAGTGGTCCGAATTGTATTCGGGAAACTTCGGCAGTATATTTTGCAGATAAAAATAAAGCTTACTCTTAAAGGAAGATTTTACATCTTATTCTTGCATAGTATTACCGAGAGTAATTCCAGAAAAACACACATACACACAATTTTTTCCTGATATTTAATAATTATTTATTAATACATTGGTACATATTGTTAATAAAATTACTAGAATAATGAATATATATTAAGCAATCTAGCATTTTCGCAATTACAGTTGACTTTGAACAGTTGGCATACCGTAAATAAACAGATATGATGATAATGGTATGTATGTTAATTAATCCGTGAATCATACCGTCTTAAGCAAATAATTTATATTGAATAGGATGTATGGAATTATTGTATATACAGGATACATAAATGTTGTTTTATTATATGAACAGTGAACTTATATTCTCTAGCTTTTTTAACGTTTCATCGTTATATTATATTAATTAAAAAGTAGAGAATTCCCCTTCGAAATGAAACGTGTACGAAAAGTTTACAAAAAAAAGGAAATCTCCCAAAAGTTGCTCTTTAAAAGGTTTTTTTTTGTCTTAGCCGCAACGCCAATTTCGCCTGCATTTTAAATAACACAAGAGGGGAGATTTCTTTATTACACACCGACAAATTCTTTTTCATTCTTTATTTTATTGGGTTATTTACACTTTTCACCCTACTTTCTGGCTTTTTTTTTCTTTGAGTCTTTTGTTCAATTTTAGGGCAAATTGGGATTTGATTTTGATTTATCTAGAAATAACACCTTAATAAGTGATACACAGCTCTATTTCTGTTACGGCTGTTTTCTCTAAATGAGACTATGAAATTAACTTACTATTAAATATAGCGCTGTTGAAGTCTGTTTTGGTAACATTTTCTCTCTTTTTTTTTTTAGAATGTGTCCGTAATTATTATAAAAGACTTTGTAATATTTGTGGATATATATTTCCCGATGACAGAGATCATGGGTAGCGGTCAGAAATCTTTCTATCAGGGAAAATGAATCGATCCCTGTCCTCCGCAGATTCTAGGCGCTCTTTGACCTGGAGAGCTAGTACCTGATAGGCTCCCTTTTCCAGGGTTACGGATGAAAGACTCAGTGACAGTGAAGAAGAACTTGATGGATAGAGGCTTAAATCGTAAAGAGCTCAGTTTGTCTATGATGGAATTTTTAATTTAGGAGAAGGACACTATTAGACAGAATAGTGAGACTACGAGGGTGTCTAGAAGAGGTCATATATCAACAGAGGCTACTGTAGAAAATGTACATATATAAATTTTGCTTTATTAATTTAGCTAATTTCTAATAATTTATTTTACGTCCAGGCTAACAATTATTTATTTTTGTTCTCCTAGTCTCAGTAATGTTGAATGGGAGAAACAGCACATTCTTTTCCAGCATTCATGTTAGTGATGTAAGTCTGACACGCATTTCTGTCCGGGTTGATTGAATCATTTTAAATTGATTGGATAACTTTTAATTAATTATTAATCTTTGTTTTGAAATGAACAGAATCTCGGATATCAGGACCGGGAATGGACAGGAGGGCAAGGCTTTCAGTTATGTTGAATTTATGAAGATAGTACATACTACACGGTACTTACATTATTACATTACTTACGTTATATTTACATATATGGACTTATAAGTTACATTACAATTATAAATTTTGCAAAATAAATGTCTATTCAACCCCTCCTAGAACTTCATGAAGAAGACGAAACCATATAAGGTCATTATTATTTCTATTAAATATTTGTTGAATAACTTTCGGGTGTTAAGTGATGGGGGCCCCTAGAAGACATCCAAAAATAGTTATTATTGTAAGAAAATAGATTAGTTATTACTCTGTACTCCTGAGATCGGATTTTTAAACCTTGGCAGAAATAGAAGAGATAAGAAATGGGGATTGTACTTTAATTGACATCCATAGAAAATATACCACTAAATCCTACCCCACTACCCTACCACCATGATTGTTCACAAGATAAGAAAAAATGTGAAGTTACAAAGAAATATTTGTTGGAGGATCTAGGAAGTTGCCATATGCCATATATCAGTTTCAAGTTGCTATAATCAAACAATGTATCAGGATGCTTTACAAGAGAAGAAAAAATGTATAGAAATATGTATTTATTTATCGGAGGAACTACTAGAAAGTTACTACATAATAGGAAGAAATAGTAGGAAGTGGTCATATATTGTTTTGAACTTGTCGTAATCAAGCCGTATGTTATTTGGATTTTTCATAACAGAAGAAAAAATGTGAAGTTAGAGAGATATATTTATCGGAGGAACTAGAGTAGGAAGTCGCCATATATTATTTTGAAGGTATCATAGTCAAGAGAATTCCGAAAATAAAATTATTTAATTTTTTATTGCAGTTTTACTACAATTACATTATCCTTCATACAAGAACTTGAAGATGAAAGTTACTTCATAAATACAAAAAAAGTAAGTGTTTTTAATAATAATTGACAATTAAAATCCGATAATAATATTTCTCTAATTTGAATTAACATATTAATTTTTACCAGAGAATATATAAGTATGTAATAAGTATTTTACCCTTTTGAGTTTAATATACTTTATTTCTTAGGATTAAATAAATAGAGCACTTGAAAATCAGAAAATGGATACTACTATTTATTATTTATATAAGGAAATTAAATCTAAATCTATATGTAGTCATATTTCATAATAGAAGGTTAAATATTCAGTGGTAAAATTATGTCATAAATTTTAAATTCAACAGAGAAATTATAGAACATATAAAATATTATATGTGGATAATAAGTTTTTTTTCCAGACCTACACTACCATGGATCATGTGAAAATTATGCAAATACGAATTAAAGAAAATAAGTTGAATATTGTATTAATGAATGGTACACACTCCCTAATTTCTAATTTTATGTCTTATGGCGATGTCAGTAATTCATTCGGATATTATAATGTATGATATAATGCCGAGAAGCCCTAATGAAATAAGGAATGCATTTGCCTGATATAGAAACTCTGGCCAATATATACAAAGAAGCCAAAGCAAGTTGATATATAAAACAACCCCAGAATTCCCAACTTGCAAAGGAGTATCACAGGGAGACGCAATATTACCAAAGCTCTGTACATCAACACTAGACGAAATCTTCCGTCAACTAGATACCGGAACTATCCATCTCTAGTACCCACGACAGATTAAGAAATCAAGGAGAATAGCAAACCTAAGATGAGGTCATGATATTGGGAGATTAGCAGGGATAATTTGGACCTGCATAGCCAACAGTAGACAACATTGGGCTCCAATAAACTACAAAGAGAGTATCTAAATATGTAAGGGAGGCTACATCATAATGTGCAGTGGTGGAATAAGCTGGAAATGATGATGATTACGACTTAATATTATGTAAAATTCTAACACTTAATAAAGTACTTAAGCTGTAAAAATTAAATGAAAATATTTGTAGTAGGACCCCTAATTTTTTGTTTGTTTTTTAAATATTCATCTATTTTTTGTGAAGAAAATTTAATAAGATGCTGAGTAGAAAGTAAATCCATACTGTTGATTTTTTATTATAACTTCAGCTCGTTGCTTTGTTCGAAGAAGTGTCGGGCCGGGCTAATTTTGTTTTAAAATAAAGTAAAACAGAATTTTTAATTGGTTGTTCATCATCAGATGCGATGGAAATTCTAAATTGGGCTGGTTAATTAGTATAAAGTTAAGACAGAAAACTTGAGAGGAGTCACTTGAGAATTTTTTAATCGAGTAATTAACAAATTCTTAATTCAAATAATGGGCCCGTTAATAAATTTTCCGTACTTTAATCATATCCCTCGGGATATTTTCGTATTGAAATTCATTTTTAACGAAGACAGATATTAGCAATTCCTTATAATGCCGCCAGATTTTCAGATTTTCATTTTAATTTGCTTTTTATCAGAGAGCAATGTTTGAAAAGTTCGCAGTACGAGAGGCGATAGTTAATTAGACTTGTGATTTTTTGCAGTACGTAACAGACAATTATTATGTAAAATTTTCGGAATATTTAAACACAATAATGAAGAGCTTCACTGTACCAAGCTCTAGTATCAAAGCATTTCCATTCTGAACTATATTTGAAAGTTCATGCGGTTGATGGCGAATTCTCTCTAGTATAGTACTAATGCATATTAAAGCTGCTAACATATTCGCATTGCTTTTAAACCCGGAGCTTTATAGTTAAGGAAAGTTGAAATATTAGAAACTTGTTTAATTGTGTTTAAGTGCTCGGCACAGACTGCAGCTCGAATTTGTTTACCCTTTGTGCCATTCACCAGAAACAGAAGTTTGAAACGAATCCATTTAAACGGAAAAAAAGTACTGCCACCACAGGAAGTGGAATATCTGGGGCCGTGGAACTTCTATGGAACAGGCGTATTAAGAATATTACCAGCAAAGCCACAAAGGCTCTCATGATATGCAGAAGACTGGCGGGAAATTGATGGGGTTGCGCCCCTAACATTTTACGCGGGTTGTATACCATAACAGTAAGACCCACGATTACCTATGGAGCAGCTAGTCTAACCTACCCCAGCATCCTTCACGCAGAAATCTACGTTATCGAAAGATGCGTACAATTTATCTTAGATAGGAACTATCGGAATCAGGAAATAGCCATTCTATCCGATAGTCAAGCAGCACTAAAAGCGATAATTTCGAAGTTGGTCAAAGAATTCCTAGAGAAGCTGAGCAAATTAGTGCAAAGAAAATCCTCCTACTCTGGGTGCCAGCTCACCAAGGGATAGAAGGCAATAAAAAAGCAAACGATCTAGCTAAAAAAGGAGCGAACATCTCTACTAGGACCAGAACCGTTCTGCTGTCCAAGTGGAAATCAACTTCAAGCGGAACTCAAGAACCTGGAAGACTCCATCCGTAATCTGGAATGGGAGTCCTCCAACGGTCTAAGACACTCGAAGACATTTCTCAGAACTTACGAGGACAATCAAAGATTTTTCTTGATTTAAGTAAGAACAATCTTAGGGTTGTCACTGTGTTTTTAACAGGATACTGTCTCCTCATACTGTCGATTGTAGTCATTTAGTAGGTTCTGTGGGGAAAATGGGGAAACGCCAGAACACCTCATCATTGAGTGCGCCGACCTTCGACGACAACCATTCGTGTCATAAACTTTGGTGCGGCTTGTGGTACGGCTGATGTGAGAGATGGAGAGCTGGCCTCTGTGAAGCAGTTTCAGATACTAGTTTTTGCCTGCAAAGCCCTGAGACTGGATGATTAAAATAACAACCCGGGAACTAAAGTGTTATAGCCCTTTATAGCTATATAGCCATAGCTCATGATTCCGTTATTGTATCATGGCTATAGCTATACAGAGTGGTGTGAACTGTATTCCGGAAACTTCGGCAGCATATTCTGCAGATTAAAATAAGTAAAAAAGTCATGATTTTTTCCAAATAATTTATGAAGTAACATCAATATTTGGATGAAAATTGGTGTTTGGGAGTTTTTTGACATGAGAAATTTGATTTTTGTGTCAATATGACTCCTACTTGTAGAGGGCGCCACCTACATATGTTTTTACTGGATTGAAGAGTAATAACTTTTCGTCCATACCTGTAGAAAACTATTGAATAAAAAAATATACATTTACAACTTTTTTTAAATAAAAAAGGTCTCTTGGTAAAAATCGCTACGAGTAATGGTTCGTATTTGGAATTGAGTACGAATCAAATCGCTACGAGTAATGGAAATATTTGGAATTGAAATTATCAATACTTGTCATCATTGACATAAATTAAACATGTTGACTAAATAGTTATTAGACTGAAACCATAAATTTGATTTTCTTTGTGCCAAAAGTTCAACAGAAACTGTTTAATTATCATTTTTTCGCAGAAAAATTTATGATTAATTTAAAAAAATAAAAATTTATTATTTCAGTCAAATAACTATACTTAGCGTGTGCTTATTTTTTGTCAATAATGACATGTATTGACTATTTCCATTCTAAATATCTTGAGAACGGTTGCTCGTAGCGACTTTTACCAAGAGACATTTTTTACGTAAAAAGTCATGAAAATGTATATTTTTTTAGTCAGTAGTTTTATACAGGTACGGACGAAGAATTATAACTCTTCAAAACAGTCAAAACGCATGTCGGTGGCGCCCCCTACAAATAGGAGTCATTTTGACATCAAAATCAAATTTCTCGTGTCACAAAAGTCCCAGACACTAATTTTTATCCAAATATTGACGTTACTTCAGAAATTATTTAGAAAAAATCGAAATAAAAATGAAACTTCTACACCCTGTATCTCCGAAACAAAGTATTTTAGGAAATACATTTATACGAACCTTTTAACTAATTTTTATCTGCAGAATATGCTGCCGAAGTTTCCGGAATACAGTTCGGACCACCCTGTATATAGCTAGATAGATCAAAATTAAGTCGCTAACAGATTTATATGAGCACGAAGTACAGTGTAGTCGCTTTCCTCAAGACAAGTTATATGCTCGACGTCCATGAATCTTCGTATGAGAACTTTGAATCTAGACGATCGACTTATTGCTAAAAGTCTATCGCTTTCTGTCTTAACATATTCCACAGGATGTTTCAAACTTTCTCCAAAATATCAACATTTTGTTTGCCCTCGTATAATTGACGAATGGAAACTTTCATTTTTAATTTACATATACTAAAAAGTCAAATAATTTAGCTACAAATTGCTTAAAATATCATCAAAATCGGTCCACTAGAACAAAATATATTAAACTTTAAAATACACCAAAATTTTAAGGTGCCCGTTTTTCGTACCGCTGGCGGTGACTGTATATTACATCTTTTAATTTTATAGCTGTTAATGCGTATGGCAATTTGAATTTTATTTTATTCACTCATGCCATATAATCTTACAAATTAGCAACGCGCCAAAGCATAAAACAAGATCAAATTTATTTCGCACGTGAAATAAAAGCGCGTTCGAGTGGATATATTGATATAGGTTATTAAAGGAACATATTTCATTAAGTGTGAAGTACCTTTGATCTCGCCAAACACGTATATCAAAGAAACATATTATTGAATTATTCATTTTTCCCTTTGGGCTATCTTTCTCGCTTGCGTTTTTTTTTGTTAATAATTCACTACTTACGTCATATACCGGGTGCGTCTCAAAAGTGGCTCACACTTTTTATTTTTTCAAATAAAAAAACGTGATTTGGTATGTTAGTATATACCATAAATCAGGATTGATTGAAGTATTCAATTCTTTTAGGCCACTTTCTGTTTTACCGGAAATGACTACAACTTTTGATTTTTAAATGGCACATTCGATAGAAAATGACACTCTCAATATAATGACATATCATATGTCAACTTTTGACATTTTCACTTACAACAAAATTGTATCTGAAATTTTAATCTAGAGTACCATGAGTTTCTTAAAATCACTATTTTTTAATCAAGGAGCCTTGGAAAAATAGATTTGATCGTCTAATGTTTTTAGTGTCTAGTGTATTAAAAGATGCCCGAATCTATTTTTAATAATATTTCAATTCTTTCAAATGGAACGAGGATAGCTCATTAGCATATCTAGAAATGCATTTTTTTACGAATAATTTGGTACCACACACTTGGTATTTCGAGTCAAATTGTCGTTATGATTCGCATGTTGCAATTTCTAATAACCCATATTCGAAAATGTCAAAAGTTGACATATGATATGTCATTCTATTCAGAGTATCATTTTCTATCGAATAAAGTAACAAAATACCGAGAGTGCCATTTAAAAATCAAAAGTTGTAGTCATTTCCAGTGAAACAGGAAGTGTCCGAAAACAATTGAATACGTCAATCAATCCTAATTTATGTCATACACTAATATACCAAATCTAGATATTTTATCTGAAAAAATAAAAAATCTATCAGGGTTAGCCACTTTTGATACGCACCCGGTATATGTATATCCAAAAACAAATAATGAAAAAACCTAAGCATAATTAAAAACAATTCAATTAACTTTTTTAAGGTTATTAAATCCGTAGCAAATCTCCTGAAAGAGGAATTCTTCTGATATTACCCAGATTAGAGCGAAAAAAGGCGTGAAAAAAAGGACTCGAGAGGCACGTCAACGGCAATATTCTAACCGAGAACTAGGTGGTGACGTTTTACTTTATTTCGCGAAATTAGGCCTTAAAGGGCGCATTTACGCCCTTAGAGTGTATCTATATATCTTCAAGACAGCCGACGACACTTAAACAAAAGCCACGCCCCCATTGGTCGCCACCCTTTTGCCTTAAATTTCATAAAAACCTTTTGGCAACAAGGTTCTCGACCTTTAAAAATAAAGGTTAAATCTCAATTTCGTCTCACTGGCCACGGCCCGCAACAATAACAATGCCCAAACTCCTGTATCAATGGTTTTCAAATAAATTACATTGTTTACGTTCAAATATTTTTTTCATGCCGTTAAATTAATTTTATTTTTTTGATTAAATATTTTTACGAAGCATGTTAGAAAAATATTGTTTATGCAGTTAAGATCGCTGTAAAGAAAAGTGCATCATGGTTTGACAGATTATGCATCTTTGTTCAGGTTGGGAAACACCCACTTTCTAAAGAGTCATGCAAATGTAAATAGATAGATAACTTACAACGTTGATAAGTTGAACAAAAGCTAGACCAAATCGAACGTCCAATTTTTCTGTCATGTTTTGGACAGGCCGAATGAGCTTGTTGTATCCTCTGAAAAGGTCTCTGACCAGCCTTTCTTCATCTTCCGAACAATTTCCTGAAAAAAAAATGCATTAAGCGGGCCTGGGAGGGGCTGTGTTTACAATGTTGACACCGCGGCGAGAAAAAAATAGTGGGTGTGCCGATTTAAGTGGATAGTCCCTTACCTATAACAACAATGTAAAGGAGAAGCAATACCAGACGAGTCGCTATTGTCGTCCACATGGTTATTTTTAAAACAAACGCGTACTATCATCGGTATAAAAAACGAACAAGTCTGTGCCCTTCCATTACGTCGTTTCTTTTTATTTTTTGCCGTCACTAATGCATTAATCTTCGTGAGACGATTCGATTCCGACTGTATAAATATACATAATAAGGAGGATGCTTATGTATAAATATACACAAGGACGCACAACAATCACACCGCACTGTACAACAAATTATATCAGGATCGTTCGGGAGAGTTTATTTTTATAAATGTTTTTTCGAGTCGGGAGACATTGTCTTTGTGGACCGATCACGCAAGCTGAGGGCGCGATGTAGTGGAAAGGAGTGTTGTGAAGGGGCGGTTTTTAAGCCCTAGTTCTCTTACCCCCACTAATTTGGCCGCCGGGAGGGTCCGCTAGATGGCGCATTCCGGCGAAGGGGATTCGTCTTTTTGTCGGACGAGGTGGGGATATGCCGATGCGGGTTGGTCGGAACGCTCGGAAGCGACCGAGAACACCCGAGCAATGTAGCAGCGTTGCGGGCTTTTTAAACTTTGAATATTTTGGTTTTGGAATTCTGCTATTTCACGATTTGGCAAAAATCTAGTTTGGAAATTTGATGGTATTGAACATGTCACCGGGTTTGACGGAGATACTGTTTATTAATTCACTATAAGGCGTCTAAAATAAAAAAATATATATTCCTTTGTAGTCTTACGAATATGGTACTTAGATGTAGACAAAGTTTTAACCATTATTAAAATCCGCTCGGTAGCAAACGCTAATAAAATTATTTTTCTCAGAAAATAAGCACTATTATATTAAACTTTATTAAATTAAACTTTACACACCGAAATAGCCTAAAATGGGCAATTATTCGACTTATTTTCATACTTATATTCATAAAAATTCAAAACACCGATTTTGGTAAAAGTATTGGTATTTACTAATTGGAAGGTACGAAAATATATACCATTTTGATCATGACTGATTCTGATATGACATAGGGGAGGTTTTAGCCATCATCAAAAATCTTTCAAAAACAAGTGTTTAGACAAATATATTTTTTGACAAAATCACAACATTCAATCCATTAAACGTTTATATATTCCTAAAGTACATGCAATTTCTGACAAGTTCTAAAATTTTCATAATTTTCTTTAAAGGATAAAAATTGATGCCTTTTTGGCTTGTTTTTTTCTCATAGCATTTTCTTAGCCTTTCATTGGCTTATACATTATAATAATTTTATACACGATAATATATATTTATTTAGAATTTTATTCTAAAAGTTAAAATCAATTATTCCCGCTTTTGCATAGCTCGCATAATATAAACTTTCTGTTTAACTTTTAAAGAGAACAGCAGTGTAGAGCAATATGTAAAGTAATTAAAGGGAAGTTAAATATTTAGTCGTAAAAATAAATTTACACAACTGTTTCATTGGCAGTTTTGAAGTTTAATTTATATAATGTACAATTAAATTTGTGTAATTGTTTTTATGTATGTTTTATAAATAGAATGGGAATTTGAATCGTTTCTTACAAAAAGAAAAAGCGTATCGTAGTTCATAAAAGTATGCGCAGGTCTCGGAAAAAAATGGATTATAGTAATTTTCTTTGTAAAAAAGGAGGATTTGCATGTTTCTTATTGAAAATTTGTCGTTAAATTTCGAGATTTTCGCACAGGACCTAGTAGAAAAGCTACAAAGCGAATAGTTTTGCCGCAATTTTATTTCACCGCCACAATCGATTCATCTTCGACTGTATAGAGTATGCGCCGCCATATTTAACTCTCTAAATCTGTCTCTAACGCATTTTATAGCCAGATTTTCAGTTTGGAGATGGATCGACCATTGGCAACACCGACTGTTTAGGGTTTGTAATTTTTTTGTTGTTTTATATATCTGAAACTTTAAACACACCTTCATTTTTTTTAAGAAAAATTGCACAAAATAATACTAGAGATATAAAAACTCTTTTGTTTACTATTTAGTTGATATTTTTGAATTATTATTTTTTCAATTTTCTTCTTAATGTTTGTAGTTGATTTAATTTTAAAAATACTTATAATTAGATTTAGAGACATTCCCGAAGTATATAGCTTGAAAGTAAACAAAGACAGTTAAGGTAAATAAAAACACTTATACGAAAATCAACTTATTTATTTTTTTAAGTTAAATCGAAATCTTTTTAACGAAGTTACAAACAGTTTAGAATATAAAACAGCACTACGAAATGTAGCATTTGGATGCAATAGAATTAATAAAGAAATTATTAATTATTTAGTAATTAATTTTTAAAGCATTCCTTTTAGTCACGGAATACTGTTGCGCTATGTGACAAAAAAGATTGTCGGATTCATTTTTTACATTTATATTCATGGAATCAACAATAATTTTCATTTAAATGATGGAGATGTTTTATTTATACACAACAATTCGAACAATTGTTTTTTGTATTTGTAATTATAATTATTTCAAAGGTATTCGTGGGTTTTCCTTTTATCATACATCACTTAGTTTAATCATATAGGTTGTTAAGAGAGATAGATCACTGAAACATTCTGTTAGAATTAATAATAATTATACTTAGTTCCTAATATCTAATGCTACATTATTAACGTTATTTGAAAAAGTAGTCTTAGCCGGTGCAAAAAATATTCCAAGATATTTTTTAAATTAAATCTATTTTGGGAAGATATAATTATATTACAGATAAATAATTTTACTCGGGACGAACATAACTTGAATTACTTCAATATTAAAATGTATTTTAAAAGTTATTAATTGCTCAGACCCTACGTATATTGGCCCTACGAGATTATATTTTAGAATCCGGATTATAGCTCAAGCGAGTTGGATATAATTGGATCAAAATTAACCTAATAGTATTTTCTAGGCTTGAATATTTTGATGTAAAGTGATATACATAACAAAACTGTTAGAGAATATGCAATTAAATTATGCTTAAAAGCAGTCGATGTAGATATTTGTTACATTAAATTAGCATCAAGTAAAAAATTATTAATTAACAGGTGAATAACCATTTTGAAAGAGGTCATTAGACTAGAATTGAATTAAAATATGTTTAGGTTCAATTATAACACAGCCAGTATATTTTTCAGTATTTGATTTTTTTTATAAAAAATATGTTCTTACGAGACAAACCATTTTTATATGTCATAATTTGTTATTGCTTAAAATTGCTAAGATTTCTTAACAAAATAATTTTACGAAAAAATGTATATACAAAATTATATATTGCTGCTAAGATGGATATTGCTTTATAATGAGCATAATGCATAAAATCACTTTCTTCAAAATTTATTGCTCAACACCAATGAAAGGGAATTTTTAGGGCCATGAAAATATAATCCTAAACCCTTTCTACATTACAAAATTCATTTCATTTAAATATTGAAGTAAAAATAAAATAGTTTTAAGGAATATAATTTGCACATTAGACGTAAATTAAATTAAATATTTATTTATTTAAAATGGTGGCTAACTATCCAAAAAATTATATATGTACATATGAACAGGTGTTCGAAACTATTCTGGCTGGTCTAAAACATTCTTTTTTTGAGCAGTAGTCTATAAAATGACCTAAAATTAAGGCCACTAATTTATGACTTATGCCCACAAAATAATGTGAATATATCCTGACTTTTAAATTTTTTGAAAATAATTGAAAAAAATTAGTTTATTGTTTGTTGGATTGTTTATTATCTACGTTCCCTTTCTTTTATTTATAATAAGAACAATTTTTTAATTTGCTCTGTCTTATTTGAGGTTTATAATTGGTGTATTTTTTAATTTTCTTTCTGAGGTTTTAATAGAAAAAGGGAACCTAGATTATTAGACTACGAGAATACTTTAAACAGTTGTTATATTGAAAAACAGAAAATTATATATTGCTTTCCTAGCTGTTTAAAGTATTCTAACTAATCGAGTGGGGTTTAACATTATTTTGAGGAGCTGTCTAATAGATTTATAATTAAAAAAACACTATTAATATAATTAACAACATGTTCTATAAAACACTACTTTTAATTTATTTACTTTTTAAACGTACTAGATATATATATATATATATATATGTATATATATATTTAATAGAGTTAACAAATCTTTATGAAAGTTTATAGTTTATTTAAAATTCAGTTTTACACGTACAAATTATGTTTTTATAAGTTTTTTTTTTGTTTATGAGGTTCTTTAACTAATCATTGCTATTTACAAAACGGCTTGTATGTAAGAAACTTGTATGATCTTGTTCCAATAATTATTTGCATTCTGATTAATAATTGTTACATTATATTAAAAGCCCTATTTTTTTGATGACTTGTCTTTCATACACATTTTTAAATTTTAATTTTATTTTTAATAAAATTATTATCTATTAATTTCGTGAATTTTAAGTGCATACGCCATATTTTTATAAATAAGGCAATTTTTTTTATTAATCTTTGCATTTTTTGAATTACAAATCATCAATTTTTTTAAAGGGCTATCAATATTAAACATATCTTTGAAAAAATAGATTTTTCTATTAATGTATATAAATAATTTTAATAGTTAATGGGAAAAAATAATAAATATAATAAATAAATTATATTATCTTTAACTTATCCTTTAAAATAAAAATATCTGTATAGTGATCTATATAAAAAATCTTATTTTTCAAAGACCTTAGAGAAGGTATATAATTAAAATTCGTAATGCCAATACTTAGTTTATAAATTTTACTATTTTAAATGAACTAAATCAAACAAATTTTAAAAAATATTTTTTTCTGAAAAGACTTTTTATTTTCCGATTATGCTTTTTATTTTATTTTTTAGTTATATAGGATTTTAACATTTATTATTATTTTTTGTTCAGGTTTCAGCCTCTCAGTAGGTTAAAAAAATAACAACTTAATATCTATTAACTATTAATATTTTAAAACTAATCATGGTTTTTTTTACTATTATAAATTGAAAAAATAAGTTATGACATTACTATTTGATACGGATATGCAGGTAATACTATAGTTAATCATAGTGTTTATTAGAAAGACTTGTTAAGCTTGCGCAATATCTCTGAAATGAATCAAAACAAAAATACTAATCAAAAACCTAATTTGTATTTACAGTTTATAAAAGCGAAAAATCTTCACTCTTCTATCTAAAAATTGACGATTTATTTGAAAAATAAACTTAACAAGCCTTCAAAAATTAAGCCGAAATGTGATACAAGCTAACTAATCCAATAACTTGATATATCACAGAATGATTGTGTTATACTTCTAGTAACTTGGATACAAAAAAAATGTTTTGGATATAAAAATTTCCCGCTATAATAGAATAATTTCTTTGTTCGGCTACACCCTTTTTTGTAACGTCATATTTGTCACTCCGTGTCAACAAGTTGAATTGACGGATCCGCCAAGACAGTATTGGTGTTTCTTTTTAATTGAATTGAATAGAAAAAGTGGTCAATCAACAGATCGAATAATTTTTTCGAAAGTAATTTAGTTGCTAATGATAAATCTATTATTCAAAGTGTTTGTTGTTTTCCGAATGACCGAATCATTTTAAGCGCTTCTCTATTATAGAGGCACAACCTAAATTTGTACTTCGTTAGCACAACCTATGTATAAAAAAACAGTTGCTTGACCACTTTATTTTGATGAAAACTCTTGAATTAAATTATTTCCAATAAAGAATAAACATAATTATTACAATAATTGTATTTGTAAACTGTACAAGAATTTTACAAAAGTAATTTAGATTAAAACAATGATTTGTGAAAAAAAATTTGTGGATGTTAAGAGGATATGTTGCGTTTTGCATATAAAATGAGTGTTATAAAAATTATTAGTTTGTTCTCAGCTCACAACAACTGATTATTTTGTTCTATGAAATTAGAGCTACCCGGGCCAAAAATATTTCTTGACCAATCATTGTTTCAACCAGTATTATCTACAGGCCCTAGATTTGGGAGTATAATACAAGGACTTATCAGAGAAAACAGATTATTGATGTATTTCTAGAAACGGCCAGTCTTAATATTATTAAAAAAATGTATTCATCAGCGCGGAGTAGAAAAAGTGCATTAAAGCAAAAATCTCAAGGGTATTAAAAAACTCTTCTAAGAAGCCCAAGTATTAACCAAAGTCCTATACCATAAAAACCTCATATCAAGCTTAAATCTTATTTAATTTCTCTTTATTTTTAATAAAATTTCATATTTTTAAACTAATTCTCTGAAATACAGGATTTATACAGGGTGTCCCAATATTCCGTAGACATAAAACTACTACGTATTTTTGGAATCAAGAAAAGTTCATTGGACACAATTTATATGCATACAAAAGTGCTTTGTTTGTCCGTTAGAGGGCAAAACATATTTTTTAAGATATTTTAACCGTTATTCCGATTTCAATGAGATTTGGGGCCAATGTTTTGCTAAGTGCTTAAACATTTGACTTTCACCTCAACTCCACCGACGATCGTTTTTTTTTCCGTACATTTTTGTCTCTTCTAAAAAAAACGCCACCGCACATATTTTTTAAGGAAAGAAAATGTTTGGTCAGAAGCTGACTTACAAAAATATGTTTTATAAAAATGGCGAAAATATGGAATTTTATGTTAGTATCACAAATCATATTTGATAATAAGCTTTAGAAAATTTTTAAATTAATTAACGTTCGAGTTTATTTTTGATTGATACCGCACTTTTTGTATAGAGGTAAACTGTGATCTAATGAACTTATTTTGATTACAAAAATACGTGTTAGTTCTATGTCCACGGAATATCGGGACACCTTGTGTATAGCTCTTTCTGGAGGGTTTACATTTTAAGACCCCTGATTCTGTAGAATACCTAGAAGGTGATACAGGATTGGAAAGGTATAACGGAGATTAAAGCTTGATCTGTTTTATAGATTTGCTACTACTTACGGGAATACCGATTCAACTTGCTCCATTGATAGTACGCACACAAGTAGACTGATTTTCGATAAAGTTCTCTGCAGGACGGGTAGCTACGGCAGCTACGACACGATGATATGGGGTGCAGAAAATAACACCGCTAATGTTGCGATAATCGTAAATAAAGTGAATATTATAAGGCACAGTCTATCGACTACCATGGCAGCGAACTGCCAATCTCTCGTTATGCTGTGAGCCTCGTCTTCTTTGCGCATTTGATCAGTTATAAATCGGATTTCTTTTAGGATCATGGCTAGTTCATAGTCTGCACTGATGCACGTATGACTTGATACGATGCCTTGTTCTTGTAGTCTGGGGCCACCACCATTGTTGCTCTCTTCGTTATTCCTGAAAGAAAAATTTCGGGTGTTACGGTAACCGTAAAGGAAGCCGAACAAGTTTAAAATCGGTGATTTGGTCATATATAATTAGAGTTTCTATAGAAGTTTTTGAACAAGTGAGTTCTGAATTCCGTCAAAATCCGACTAAAAATTTATCAACCAGTTATTAATCCGGACAATAAATTGATTTATGTAAAGTTTTTCGAACGAGAGAACAACCTGACAAAGAGAATTGTTGTATCTTTTAAGTATACTCTTTTGCCTTTGTGAACAGTACTAAGATTTATACTATATACGTTACAAATGTCATCAGAATTGGATTATCACTTTTGATACTACACACTTTTGTTTTGACCTTATTAAAGAATGCTTAATTTTACTGGTAATAGTAAATATGGCACGTTATATATCGATACTTCCAAACCAATTTACCCGCTGCATATTCAATTAGCATGAGCTGATGTCTGTCCAACGAGTCAGAGAAAATTTCGACCGATGATATTCAAAAATTGACCGAAAATATAATTTACTTGTGTATTAAAATCACAGTCACTGACATGGATCGTTGGAGAGACTTATATTCATAAAGCGCACGACATAATCATAACAAAATACAGACAAATAATTCACAATTCACATCGACGAGTACATTGAAGCTGAAAAATTATCCAGATAAGGTACTTTCGAACAATGTCGGTTAAGTAGATATGTGACATCTTAACAATTAAAATATTCAACAAAGTCAAGTGATTTTACGGTTAGATTTTCCGGACATTTTTTCAAATTCCGGATCATCCTGGAAAAATTCGGACGCATGAAAACCCTATAAATAAGGAAAGTTAATAAAACTTAAATTGTTATGAGTAAATTAAGTATTTTATAAGTAAGCTCATCGAAGTGTCGAGAGATTTATTATTTTATGTTTGGAACAAAGAGAAAGAAATTTTAAACTCCCATCAAAATCAAATTAAATTAAACAATACCGTTTTCTATTGTGCTTTAGACAAAAGCAAACATAATCAGCAAACAATAAACACATAATGATCTTGTTGCAAAGTCCGCAGTTTGTCAGTATAGACCTGAATAAGACATGTTTTGCAACCTTAAGTAATTAGGTTTCAAAGATTAAATTCTATTCGAGGAGGGGAGAAAGTTTTAGCTAGCTTTGTTTCCTATAAAGTTTCGGCACAGGTCTGCCAGAAACAATTTAATGTTTTAGCTCGAGTTCGCAAACAGTGTTTTCTGTGCCCAAATTGCCAAGACTATTCTTTTCCTTATCCCTAATGCACTAATTTAAAATGTCTATTTCAATTTTTTTTTAATTCACTCGACAGAACTTTAGAATTAGTTTACTATTTTTATTCTAGCTAAGAAAAATATATTCCATTAGCTCATGCTGAAATTTTATTGATAATATTTAAATCTCTTCTATGTTAAATGTCGATCTACATTGCGCTAACTTGTTGTTCGCTAGGATCAAAATAAATGTTAGGAAAACGATACTGACCTATAAACTGCCCTAAAAAAGGTGGCAGGCAGTGGCGTAGGCGTTCCTCCGCCCCTGTAGTTGTGCCGAAAGTCGTCATCGATGTCCAGCACGTTGGCGAGCAGGCTTTTCGAGGAGCGTTCTTTCATTTCCACATCGGGAAAATTTATTGTCTTTCTATCAGCTTGCACTGAGGAGGGTCGAGGTGGGCTGGAGTAGGCGCTGCCACCCCCTCCATTGTTCTGTCCCGGTCTGTGCATCAGCAAGATCTTGGGCAACCATGTTAGGAAAACCAGTCTTACCTTGAGGGAAATATAAGAAATTGCCATCTGAGATATACATCTATTATTATCCCAGCTAGTCACTACAAGATTTGTCTGTTATATTTTGCAAATAGAAACGAAGTAGGCGCCTGTGAACATATATCAAATGTCATAATTAGCTATCATCCTTAATTAACTCAACGCCGAAGTTTTCGACCGCTTCGTTTAAAGCTGTACCTAAACTGAATTGTTAAGTCCACGAATCAGTCGAAAAATGGAGCTAAATCGAGAAAATTTTCGCGGAAATTTTTTTACAATTTTCGAAGACAGTTGACAAATGAACCACCACATAAGTCGACAATTTATCTTTGGTATGGAGAATTTATACGTGGACGGATTAGTCTTAGACGACAGTAACCCAGGAAAACGTCGATGCTCTCCCTAAGCTGATCCAAACAAATTGACATGTCACATATCGTAAAATAGAAGCATCATGTCACATATGTCACATATCGACGACATGTCACATATCGTAAAATAGAAGCATCAATGAGAATTTCAAAGACCTCAACTCAAAAAATTTTACAGGAAGAATTATCTGTAAAAAAATAGTTTAGTAGTAGAGTCAATTGGTGGCAAAAAATTGTACACTGGTTTAAAGCGGGAAACTCAAAAAATATATACTATATACCGTATTTTGTCAGTAGTAATGAATCCTGAATTTACACTTATGAACCCAAAAATAAACGTTAATCGGCTGTTTGGGTGTTCCGAGATGAACCCAAACCGACGAAAGATATCTGTTCTCAAAGTTCTCCAAAAAGATGGCGGCGACATTTGTCTCAAAAGCGGGTCATGTAGCAACAATTCCTCTGCAAAATCAAAGAACTGTTACTGCTGATTGGCACATATCTATTTGTTTGCCGGAAGTAATTGCTAAGTTTCGAAAAAACAACCCTGAACGACGAATGCTCCTCTACCAGAATAATGCAAGTCTCCATACCGCTCCAAAAGCAATTGTGTTTTTGAAGCAAGAAAACATCGAATTGTTAGACCATCCTCCATACAGTCCCGACCTAAGTCCAAACGACCTTTTTACTTTTCCAAAAATTAAGAATGAACTGCGTGGTTAAAGGTTCCACTCCCCAGCAGATGCAGTCAGCATCTTCAAAAACACAAGCGAGTGGAATAACTGCTTTCGGAATTGGTTACAAGGGATGCAAAAATGCATTCCTCTCCTAGGAGGATAGTTCGAAAAATAATACTGTTTAAAAGTTATTTAGTGTTTTTTTTTCTACATCTATATGCAAAATATAAAAGAAACCCCTCGTAGTAAGGGTGCCACCATTAATAACGTTTTTGAGAATCCCCCCTCTCACACATCCTGATGAAATATCGAGAGGGTTATCTCGACAGTCTCACGTGAGATCTTTAAAAATATGTATTTTGAATATAAATGCGTTGGATTTATTTAAAAAAACTCAATATGGGGAGGTTTTATTATTTTTAGTATGTAGAAACATGTTTTACTTTAAATTAATTTGATTTTCTTACATTTTTACAATATTGTTGCGAAACCAGTCCCGCTTTAATATGACCTAGAAGAGCCTAGAAACTCGAGAACACAGCGGCTAAGAATTCTCTAGCACCGCCCAGACCGTTCTAGACTCCGTCGCACGCCTATATATATACCGACGCCGGTGCGCAAGAGACAGACGATAATAAACTACAGTGTGCTACCGTCGAGGCTTCTTGTTTTTGCTCTAAATAAATACGGTAGATAAATAAGTTTGTAAATATAGTTATAAATAGTTCTTTAAGTCTTTTATCGTTATTGTTTTTGTTAATTAGTGTTAAATAAAATGTGTTTAAATAAATTGTGACTTTCTATCCACACGGAACCGACGAAAAACGTAACAATATTCTTTTGATCGAAAAAAAATACGTGATATTTGCCAAAAACCTCCTCTTTCTTTTACGTGAGATTTAGTTAGATTCGGCTGGACACCCCCCTCCTGAGCCCCTCTCGCCTCGTAATTAATGGATGCACCCTAATATAATAACATAATAGTAACAAAAAAATAGTGTACCATACTTTAGTCCTTATGAACATATGCCCCAAAATGCTCTTCGAGGAAATTACAGCCCCCGAAATGATGAATAATATATTTTGTTTATTTTTTAGACCTTGGTGAACCGTTTTTCTTGAAATTTATTATTGTTACACATATTTTATTGCTAATTAACAGTTCTGAAAGTGTAATTTCTATTAGGGTAGGAGGTAGTACTGGTGGTATTTTTTTATTCTAATGGATACAGTAATTTCAACAAATAATTTAAGAAGCTAGATATTTTGTTTATTTTTTAGACCTTGGTGAACCGTTTTTCTTGAAATTTATTATTGTTACATATATTTTATTGCTAATTAACAGTTCTGAAAGTGTAATTTCTATTAAGGTAGGGGGTAGTACTGGTGGTATTTTTTTATTCTAATGGATACAGTAATTTCAACAAATAACTTAAAAAGCTAGATATTTTGTTTATTTTTTAGACCTTGGTTAACCGTTTTTCTTGAAATTTATTATTGTTACACATATTTTATTGCTAATTAACAGTTCTGAAAGTGTAATTTCTATTAGGGTAGGGGGTAGTACTGGTGGTATTTTTTTATTCTAATGGATACAGTAATTTCAACAAATAACTTAAAAAGCTAGATATTTTGTTTATTTTTTAGACCTTGGTGAACCGTTTTTCTTGAAATTTATTATTGTTACACATATTTTATTGCTAATTCACAGTTCTGAAAGTGTAATTTCTATTAGGGTAGGGGGTAGTACTGGTGGTATTTTTTTATTTTAATGGATACAGTAATTTCAACAAATAACTTAAAAAGCTAGGACTTTTTTACGTAAGAAAAGTGCATTTCGTTTGGTTCGAAAAGGTGAACGGTTTTCAAAATATTTGCGTTTATATACTAAGGGTCGGCATTTCTGGTCTTGGGTGCCGGTTTTCATGTGTACGAAGAGTACGGTCAACACGCTTAGTAAAATAAGATGTACTGAATTTGAAACAAGGCGAGTATTTTCCCAAGCGCATGGAATCTAGCGTCAGATTAAGTAGTTATGTAATAGATACTTCGTATTTTTGCTAACTCCGACTTACTAAATTGCCATAACGACTCACTCCTATACATATGTAAACGCCGACCTAAAGGTTCGCTTGCCAGCAGGGTATAAAGATTACGGTGAGTCGATTTTAGTATTAATAAAATGATGAGGTAATTAGTAGTAATTTAAATGGAGTGTATTAAAACAATAAACAATGTAGTTACACACCCAACATGAACTTATTAAATAATTCCAAAACGTTTCAAATGAGAGCAGTAAGGGCTGTAACTTCCTCAGGAAGCATTTTAGGGCATATCTTTATAGGAACATTTTTTTATTTCTATCTGTTGTATTGTATTTTTGAAAAAAACACATTTTTGAAAACATATTAATTAAATATTATTATATCCACTCTAGTCATTCCACCGTTTATATCTAAAAACATTTAACACGGAGAGACGTAAATCTTTCATTTGTATTTATGAAATTTTAATTTCCATTCATTTTCAATGGGTGTGCTTCGTGAATTTTTTCTGACGCGATACAACGATTTTCATTAATAGTAAATCAACTTAATTTATTATCTACTTTGAAGAAAAAACAGTAAAAAGAAACGATCTATCGATTTAGTTCGCTGATTGTTCCCGCTTGCCTGGTGTTTGCTTTTAAATTTAAATTAGGCGAACACTGGCTAAATGAACCTATTCGCCTCGAATTGTTCTTGTTATTTAAATATATATATTCCATTCGTTGTGAGGATTTTTAAATGTTTCGTATCAAATTTGTAAAGGAATTACAGATTATTATTATCTTATTATTAAAAATAATTATGAGTATGAAAATAATTTTTAAATGTTAAAAAATAAATCATATATCAAAAATTACTTTATAATCTGTTTATTTTAAATTGGTTGTGGCGTATCAAATGACCAGCAGTTTATCATGATTTTACGTAAGGTAGAAATAACAGAAGTTTGGAGTGTTAAACATAAATTTTAACGACATATCTGATCATATATCATGAACGTTATTAAATATTTTCTTATAATAAACGTGGAAAAGTTTCTTATCGGGAACGAAACCGGAAAATAATATAAATTTATGCGATGTTATTTGTGTCATTCTATTTTTTATAACTCATATGTTGCTTTTAGTTGTTACTTATTACGTTTGACAATAAATAAACAAGTTCTTGAAATCCGTACCGTGTAATACGTCTATTTATTAAACCGTTATCAATCATTTTAAGTAAAATTAGCAGAACACATGTTAATTATTTAAACTGTAATTACAATGATATAGTGTGTTGCTAAATGAGGTGCGACCTATGGGATTTCAATTTTAAAGTGGTTTCCCACCACTGACTATAAATAGGAATTATGTAGCCATAACATTAATGAAAAGCCTATTTGCATAGAGAAATATTTTTTCTATAGTTGTTTTATTTTGATTTTAAACAGAAAAATTAATATTTTTTTACGGCTTTACGTTTTAAGTAGATAATATACGAGGATGAAAATATAATAAATAGATCAGAATAAATCCCGTGGCCTAGGGAGATTAAGGTATTATTTTGAAATATATTTTTAAAAGCTCTGATTTAGTTTGAAGATTATCTTTAATATTTTCAGCTTAATTGTACAAAAGTCTTTTAAATTAAATAGTTATGTATTTAGGAAAATATATTTTTAGAATCTCTACTTGAGGAAAAAAATTGGGTATTTTCTCCAAACTATCCGATTTAATGATAAATCTATCTGTAATCATCAATTGAATTAAACAGTTTTAGTTAAAAACATTTTTGACAAAACTCTTTTGCGCTACTAAAATTTTCTGTGCGCGTCCAATCTAAATTTAAAAAAAAATAGAACAAAGCTTAGAACACAGTACTGAAAAAAAAATATTTTACTTACCCACGGTGACATAATATGCGTATCTGCATTTCTGTGGTGATAATTCAAAATAAGAATGGTGGATACGACCGATGAGGCTACCATGAACATGATACAGTTGAAATACGTTCCGAGGAGGGGAACAGCCTCCGAGGTGGCTGGCATGGTCTCTGCCACCATATTGAGGAAAACGGTGAGAGACAACAGAATGGTGACTCCCAGCGACAATTTTTCCCCGGAATCGGGCGGCAGGGTAAATCCCAAGACGGCCATCGATGCGATCAAAACACAGGGCACTATCAGATTAAAAAAATAGTAAAGGGTCCTACGGCGTATTATAATAACGAAAGTGATGTCGATGTAGGGCTCAGGGCAACAGTTGTAATACAATTCGTTTCTTTTACCTGGAACACCTGCAACAAATTTCATAACTCGTCAGTGTATGAGACACACTTTTTTGAATAATGAATCTGATATAAAAATATATATTTCTTTATTAACTTACTAATGAAATGAGTGGTAAATTCTAAATCGATTATGAACAGCATATCAAAATTCCATTAGGTCAGTCCGCAGTTTATTAACATTAATGACATAATCAGTTTGAATACGTTAAATATAGACGGACTGAAATCATCAATAATGAATTGGTCGTAAAGCCAGATAAAATAAATGAAATGCAAATATAATCGAATGATGCCACGAGACAACTTGTGCATCATATTATGCAGTATAATCTGAATGCATTGATATAGTATTGATAAAATCCATTGACTTTCACGTATTTTCCAAGAGAAATTAAGTCTATTGTTGGACGCGACAAAGCCAGCCCATTATTCTCCGTCCCACTATTAGGAAACTAATTATAATTGGAAAAAGTTCCGACCGCACCGCACTGCCTCCAACTCCGAAACTTATTGGAACATATTTCATCTGGTATTTTTTCTATTTTCGAAAAGTACGAAAACCAGCCGGATAATTTATTTTCATTAAATGTACTGCGAAACTCTATAATATCTGTGTAAAAGCTTATAATCAATAAGTTATGCATGGCATTTTTCAATATTTTGACATAAGAAAATAGGCATCTTACCAAGAAGGTCCCACTCTCCATTAGTGATGAAATTACTTATATCACCTCCACCATCATCTTGCAGCTGCAAGTCCAACTGAAATACAGAAAAAAGTATTCTAATACGTACATATACTGACTAACAAGCAAGGGAGAACAATTATATATTATTATATTTATCAGAATTGTTGTTAATCAGAATTTAGCTGATTTATCTTGCTTCCGAAGTAGCCATAATGCCTTGGGTGCGTAGAACTGCTCGGACACCCCATTTTTTAGAAGAACCAACATATTTCTAAGCGCCATACTACAGTGCTGTCGGATGTGGACTGAATAACGGCGAGGGTATAGAGCCAGAGTGTCCGGAATCACAGCGCTTCAAGATCGTCCATTAAGAATTTTGGCTCTCAGAGATCGAATTGCAGATCAGAGTTTCAAGAATAAGAAGAGCTATTCGCCAAATCCGACGTTTTGGCTTTTTTTATATCGATCGCATTGGGTGCTGCAGAGTGGTGTAGTTAGAAAATTCAATGGGATCGGGAATAAAACTATGTGGTCTTATTGACGAATCTTGCGTTTGAATGGGGATGCACGATGGCCGGGCAAGGATAAGAAAACAACTTTGTGAAAGATGCAATCCAAAGTTTCTAAGAGAACTTCATGTTCATGACACTGTCGGCGTTATGAGAGTGCCATTATACATATGGTAAAATATGTCTGGAACATGATGTGTCGAAAGCTGTCGAATTTAGAACACCCTCCGCAGACTTTAGCAGCTATATGTTAGGCAACCATATGTAATACCCCAGGGGAAAATCGACCGCTTTATTGGAACTTTGCTCAGGCAAGGTGGTCACCAACACACTATTGACCCAAATCTTCCATTAAGTTTTCTGATAGAGCTGAAAACATAATCGCTTGCTAAGTCAGAAGCTGCCATCATGTACACAAAAAATTATTAAAACATTATGAATAAATATATAGGTGTTCTCTTATTTTTGTTACTCGGTATATCTTAAAATTTACCAAGCAAAAAAATCAACGTACAACTGCAGCTGTTTCTCATACTAAAATAAATAAAATATTCCAGGATTCTTTCTTGAAACTCTGTAATATCCTGCTGATATTTTAACGAAAAATTGCAGTTTTCTGGTTTTTGTATAGGGCTTATGGAATGGGGCTAAAGAAGCATGCATTTCGAGCCATGAGATGTCAGCACAAATTCAAAATCAATACTGTTAAACCCGGCACATTCCTTTCAGGGTCCACAAACTGCTTCTCCTTTGAGACAAAAGGGAAATGGAAAAAAGTAACTAATGTAGCCGGAAGTGACACTCTAATATATCTGGTCCAATTTAATAAGTCTTGATCATTTTTTATCTCCGAATGTGCCATATAAATTCCGTTAGATGTACGACTATTCTACGGTTGCTGATTTGATAAACTCAACATTTAGATGGATATAGATTATAAAGTAAAAAAGTCTGTTATATGAGATGAAAGTTACTCTACTATTATCCTGTAAAATCGATGTACCATTTTTTTCACATATGAAGTAGATTATATGATAATTTCTTACTATTTTAACATGGCGAATTACAGCTTTATAAATATATATTTCTTAAATGATTTATAACACATATTAGTTCACTTTACTTAAAGCATTTTAGATTTTATACAGTCATATTTGATAACATTCATATTCATATATTCTTAAAAACAATAGAAATATTTTTTTGTTTTTTAAACCTTTATTTAAATTACTTAAAAAATAATCAAAAAGAGAGGAGATAAAAAGCGATTAAATTTCATCTCATTAAGCAGATATTTTTTTGAAAGCTATAGCCGTAGGAGTTTTTAGCAATCACATGTCAGTATTAATTCAAAATCGATATAGATTTAAGCTTACCGTATCCCTCAAAGGGTTTATACAGTATATACAGGGCAAATAATATTTTATTTTGAGATAGAAGGAATTATTTTCAATAAACAATCTATATTAATCATATTTCGATTAATATTTATTGCGGAAACATTATATTATAATAATCGATGATGTAATAACAAAATTGCATACAAAACAACATCAAATTAATTTGAAATGGGCTCATGTATAATAAATCACATTAAACAGAATCCCACTGCAAATTTCCCTTGTGTTGAAAAGTATGAAATTGACAACAAATTCGGCGATATATATTATGTTGATATTGTTTCTAACAAATTTTATTACATACTATAATTGAATTGTGTTCGATTTTATTGGTGGTTATTTATCACATATCGATAGCAAGTCCTTGTCAAAATTGAGTGCGTGATTTTAATTAATTTTTTTTTATGGAAAACAAAATATTGTAGTTTTTCATTCAAACAATACTTTAAAAGTAAAAGTTTGGGCTTCTTATATAAATAGATTCTTTTTATATCAACTTAAGTCTAGTTTTATTCCACCATACTGTAAGAAGTTTAATCTTTGATTCCATTTCAGTACATTTGTTTCTGTTATTGAATGCAATCAGAGAGAACTTCTATATTTAACTTTTGTTCGTGTTAGAGTTGGCCAGAAAAGGCAATAGGTCATGCTAGTGTGGACACTTAATATAATTAATAGCTGTTCCAAAGTATTACGCTGCCAAAATATATATAGTGCGAAGAATTCTAACGTGGTAAACTCCATTAAATCGGATGAAAGTTACACAGCGGTATAGTTACAATGTTTGGAGGGGAATACTAAACATAATTAAGTTTGAAAGATATTTAATATAGACCAAAATTTGTGATCCTCAAGTTTTAACTTTTGAGCAAAGTTGCCATCGGTAACTTCATTAATTTTAATTACCGTTGTGGCAGTGGATTTCTCGAATTCATCTGGAATTTCGTGCAAAAGTAGCAAACGGATGGATGTATTTGGCTTTCCTCTAAATAGTTTGATTTCGACAAACGAGACGTTTAATCTTGTTTTATATTTGTTTCTGTGCTTCTCGGCTGTAATGAAACACGATAATGATACGAAATAAAGAAAATTCAATTTTACTCGTTCTAGATAAGTTATTAACTGTTAAACTGGATTAGGGAATGCAATCCCGCACCAAAATATCAATCCCGCAAACCCGCGGGATTAAAGCAATCAATCCCGCGGATCCGCAAAATTGCGGGACTGTAAACAGTAGTCATACATTGGGTCCTAAATGGTACAAAAGGCATTGTACATTTTGCATAGGCCCACAATATATTGATATAGCCTATATCATAAACTAGCTGTACAGAAATTTGGACACCGTGGTTCAAAAAATATATTTAATATTAAATAAACTTAAATTTTATTATAATTTATCTACTTATTTTATGAATAAAAATATTATTCTGATTGAAGTTTTTTTTTAACTTGTGTTAGTTATCTGCTTTTAGGTACACTCTATATCAATAATTTTTTGGCATATGCAGAATGTACAAAGCTTTTTGTACTATTTAGGGCCATACATATGACTAAAAATGCATATTTTTCGAAAAACGTCGTATTTTCCTTAAAACAAAAAAAAATTAAAAAACCAATCAAATTGTTTTTTCTAATTTCAATACAAATTCGTCGTACTTGGTAAAAATTTCGATTTTTTTAAAAATTGTAAATTTGCGGTAAAAAAGATTCTTGATCAAATTTTCACACTCTTATAAAACACCCTGTATACAAGAATTTGCTAAAATATTTTCGAAAACCACATCAGCATCTTAATCACAATAGATTCATCTAAAACCTGGTCCAAACCACATCCCAAAATCTTTTTTAGTTCAAGAGATATTCAACTTTAAATTTACCCTAAAATTTTGCTTGTCCCAATAATTATGTCCGGCAATTTATTTGACGAAATTGTCCACAAGTACTAGTTAAACGCTTTTCTTTACTTACGCACATGCGCCAGAAAGAAATCTAACAACTAGCCTGTTTGTTTTATTTATTTTTAATAGCCAAGCCGTAAGGGGAATCCCCCAGGTTCCGAGCGTCGACGAATCGGCCCGGAACGAGGCGGTTTGATCTTAATCGAGATCGATTCGGTTATCTAGTAATGTGTTGATCCCGCGCATCCCGCACGGTAAATCCCGCAATCTTGATCCCGCGGAGTCTCAGAGGGATCCCGCATTTGCGGGATCCAGCATTTGCGGGATTGCATTCCCTAAACTGGATAATATTCGAATTTTTATAATTAAAGTGATCTAAAACTCTTTATAAAACATTAACACCCCCATTTTACATTTTATAACACAATTTTTTTGGATATGGTTATTATTTTCTTATGTAGTTTCTAGTTTCTAGTAGTACTACTTAGTTTTAATCATCTGCTGATGATATATTAATAACATAGTTAGCGCGTCCAGTGTAAAAGTAAAAGTATTTAGTAGCTAGTATTATGGTATTTAGTTAAAGTAAAAGTAGTTTTGGTGTGTTGTTTTTAGTAATGGGCTGTGGGTAAATACCTAATATATATATATATATATATATATATATATATATATATATATATATATATATATATATATATATATATATATATATATATATATATATATATATATATATAAAACTAAGGGGATAGCGGTCTAGAGGCAAAAAAAAGTAAGTAAGTTTATATAATATTATATTATATTCAGTTGACTTTTGTGATATGTTTTAGCCTTGAAAAAGGAAATATATTTTTCGAAAGCTCGGCGTTTGTAATAAATTGTTTAATTTTTGCCTGCCTCTAGACCGCTATCCCCAAGAATTTTCTTCTTAGTTTTGGTTATAATTGATCGGTCAAGACTTCCTCTTTGTGTATATATATATATATATATATATATATATATATAAAAGAAATTTGAGTATATACCTGGTATATACTCAGAAAGTGTAGAGTATAGATATACAATATAAATGTATATTTATATATAGGGTGAGTTTACTACGATGTTCTTTATGGGTATCTCGGAAACTACTGAAGATAGAGAGTCGGTTAAAAGAGGAAAGAATTGCAGTCTTGTGGGGTCATAAATATGCGCCTTTCAGATTTTTACGCTTTCACGCTTTTCTTCATTTGAAAAATTCATATTTCCAGTATTTGTTTAGTTTAATTTACAAAGGTTGGAAGTGATAGTTTCACATTTGACGACGATTGATCTTGATTCCATGGCTAACTAAGTGAAATTCTTTAAAAATTATAAGAATTGGCTATAACTCGGTAATTTTTCTAAAGAAACATATTATAGCTTATATCCCTGAAAAGCTTAAAAAATGGCGCGTTTTATGAAATCATGGTCAACTATGATCTCCATTTAAAGAAACATGTTTGTGTCATATGTCAAAAATGACAGGCATTAGAAAAAAAAGGGAGAACATGTCATTAAGAACGTGATTAACAATGAACAAATAGTTGTTAAAATTTGTTATAGTACGTTAAATTAACCAAATAAACATACTTGAATATATACCGGGTATATAGTATTTACTTAAATTTAATGTACCCTGTATGTACCCATTGCGTATATATCGGATGTAAAACATTCGGTTGTTACCCATATTTCAATATACCTGTGCTTCTTGTGTTCAGTGGAACTGTTATACGAAATAAAAAAATAATTTTATTCGTTCTAGAATTAGTTCTAGTTCTAGAATAACTAGATAATATTCGAATTTTTATAATTAAAATGGTCTAAAACTTTTTATAAAGCAATTAAGACATTTTTCATTTTTTAACACAATTTTTTTGGATATGTTTATAATTTTCGTTGTACTATATTGTTTTACAGTTTCTTCTGTGCTTCTTGTGTTTAGTAGAACTGTTACACGAAATAAAAAAAAATATACTGCTTCTAGATGTGTTATTAACTCTGTTGGACTTCACTGGATAACTTTTATAATTAAATTGGCCTAAATTTCTTTATAAAGTATTCAATACATTTTACATTTTTTACACAATTTTTGTGGATATGGTTATCATTTTCTTATGTAGTTTCTCGTTATACTATGTTGTTTTACATTTTTTTCTGTGCTTCTCGTGTTTAGAGGAACTGTGTTACGAAATAGAGAAAATTCAATTTTACTTGTTCTATATGTAGTACTGTTGGAGAATTGAATTTTATTAATTGAAAGGTCTAAAAAATCTATGAATGTATAAAATACATTTTACACATTTTGTCATAATTTATTTGGATATGATTACCATTTCCTTATCGATAGTAATTGTGCAGATTATATTTTGTATATTATATTTTATATCATTATTAAAGTTAAATTCAGTGCTATATTATTATATTTCAGTTAAAGTATCGAACAATGGTCCTTTTATATTTCGCCCATGAAAAAGTGCATAATATTTTACCTTTTAATGCGAAGCTTTTAGTCAAATATGAAGTACATTTACGTCAGTGCGGACATAAAACACCGAATTCGTTTTTTTGCTAGTGGATTTTTCATTTAATTCAAATACACAGGAATAAATTTGACTTACTTGTAAGCCTGTCGCTCCGTACACCAGTTGACAAATTTTATTTTCAAATAAATTGATAGATGCAATAAATCTTACTTCAAAAAAGCAAAACTTTTCAGCACATCACATATTTTATATTTTAAAAATAGCATAGTGAATATACTATATTAACAACACTATTTAAAAAAAATCAAAAATAAAGATTGAAATTTACTAATTTTTATGGTTGTTACGGAGCTATGTCACAAAATTTCCCGGTGAGTATATCTAGATTTTCAAATAAATAGATGCTTATTGCCCTATACTACATGGTTGTATTCATGTCAACGCTACTATAAAACCGAAGATACCTTTTTTATTATCGGATTTTCAAGGCAAAAATAAAATAGGACAAAGGTGAATGTAAATACGTTAAGGAAAATTGGATTTTTCGATTTTTTTGTCGTAAAAAATAAAGTAAACTAAAAGAATTACAGTACATAATTAGAAACAAATTTTCTATTTGAAAAAAATTGTCCAGGATATAAATTTATAATTCTTAATTTTTATACGAGCTCTCGCTGAAATAAACGTACTAGGGTATTAGTACCACTATTGTTTTCTGACTGAATGTGACTCATAAAATATGTCATGCCTAATAAATGAAAATGACTCACTTGTAAGCCGTCGTAGGTCCAACTGCCAAATTTCATTTCGCATCTCTGATCGTCGAAAGGGAACCATGTAATATCGATTTTACATGTACTTTTGAATATTCCTGGAGGCAGGTAAAAGCAACTGCCGTTATTTCGAACTACTACATTAGTTGGATAAGTTCCATCGAAACCCTCGTCGGCACTAGAACAATGAAAACACAATCCCTGATTCGTAGTTTTTTTCATCTATATACAATAATTAAATTTTATATTTTTAAACTCGTTTGCTGAAGATGTCATATTGCTGATTCTTGCAAAGGGTTTCTTATTGTTTATGACATGTATTAATGGAATTTAAGTTTTTTTATACCTTAGATAAGTAAATAGGTAGAAGAAATAAGATCAGCAGGTATGCGATCTGTACATCAAAAACTCATTTGCTTTTAATTTTCAATATTTCGTTATTTTTTATTAATTTTGTCAGGAGGCGACTGAAATTTACATTCAATATTAGAAACAATTAATAGAATATAATATAACTACAAACAACAGAGTATGTTATCCATAAATAAAAGTAAACAGTGCCCATAGTTAGCACAAACAGATTTAAGAGTTTCCTAACACTACAATAGGGATTCAAGATAGAATTCATATCTCAATAAATAAATAGAGACCAGAAACAGACAAAAAACAGTATTGTACCGTGTGAATTTTCTATAGTGGGTGGTACATTTTGTTTATTTTTATTAAAATTATTTTTATAAAATTGCGGGAGGGTCTGCAGTTTAACACCTACTCATAATTAATAATGAGTTCAAAAATATATTATAAACAGAATTTTTTTATATTAAAGCCCAGAATAGAAAAGAGTAGCTGTATTTTTAATTACCACGTTCAATCGACTAGCTTTCAGTACTTTCTTTTTTTCTTTTTTTCGTTTGTAGTAACTAGTATCCGGCGTTGAAACTGTAACGACGTGACATTTTACACAGAGGAAGCCGATTTTTCCAAAATAAAAGTCTGGACATTTAATTAGTCTTTGGACAGAAAGAGAACGGAATTTCAAAGAGGTTTTTAGTCAATAAGTTCGGCCGGAAATAGAGATAAAAGTGAACATTCCGATAGCAAAACGTTAATAACATATTTCGAAATGCCTGTGAAAAATTCCGCGTTATAGCTTTTTCGAATGTTAACAGATATTTAGCTACAATTTAATTGAAGGTTTTAAAACTTTTGGATGATAAAAAGCCAAATAATTTTTGAGATTTCGTTTTGTTTCTTTAACTAACTTTTTGTATAGTGAAAAAACACATAATCTGCATAAATATCGAAAATGTTAAGCAAAGAAAATATTTGAGGCAAAGTATCTGTTTTCTTTGATGTTTTTGCTCCAGAAGTTTAACACAAATTCCTGCAAAAATGTTTTTCTTTGAGATTAAGAAATACAGAATATTTTTAATTACCATATTTTAGATGGACCCTAGCTTAAATAATAAATAAAAACATATCGCTCTCTCTGTCAAAAGGAAAAGATGATTTTTTGCAAAATTTTGGATAAAATATGAGTCTTTTTAAATGTTTCTTTTAGCACCGCACTCGAAGAAAGTTTGAGAGCTCAGTTTATTAACAAATGTTGGGGTTTCGTTTTATTTCTTTTTAACTTTTTATAAAGGGAGGAAATAAACTTGGTAAATATCGAAAATATATTTTTAAGGAAAAAAACTCAAAAAAACTGTTTGCTTTGATGTTTTTATTGAAACATCTTAAAACTTGGGAAACTCTTACAGAAACATCGTTTTTCTTAATGAATGCCAAATTTACGAAATATAGCACATTTTTAATTGCCTTATTGATCAGGAAAGTTTGAAACATTCTCTTTTCTTTGGTTTTATTTTGGTAAATAATATTTTGTTGAAAACGCTGTATTTGTTTGACCTTTTCCACTGAGGAAACTGATTTTTCCGACTGAAAGTCTCGACATTTAATTAGTTTGCGGATCGAAACAGAACAAAGATTCAGAGAGTTTTATCCAATAAGTTTTACCAGAAATACGAGATTAATCAAGTATTTTCGAAGACAAGCAATTTTTTGATTTGTCAAAAATTTTAAAGTCGTTAATATAAAATGATTATAATAAAATTGAGTATCATTACCTGTTGTACATAAGAACATCAGGCTTCCAAAGTCGATGTGGTGGTATACGAAGATCTTTCACCCCACCAAATTCAGAAGAATTCCATCTAAGGTTTACGTCATTCCATTCCTGTGTAAAAAATAAAGTAAAATAGTTACAGGTTTAATATTAGTTATATTTAGTTCAAATCATAAAGTAATATAAAGAAACAGTTTTAAGTTTAGCTTAGTTTGCTTATATCTCAATAATCAAAAATGGCATCTTCGTGCAGTTTAGTTCCTTTTGAAACCGGAACAGCAGAAATACTGCTCCGAACTATATCTCTTATAAATTCACAAACTTTAAAAAGTTTCGACAGACGTTCTAAAATTGAGGAAGTTGTAAATTTGTTTTTACCAAGAATGCAAATTTTACTTTCCAAGAAAATAATAACCTATTTGTAAACTGTAGATGTTAAAAGAACTAGACAAAGTTTTTTATCGTTTTTGTTATGAAGATACTGTAAAAGTTTGTGAGAAAAACTAAAAGACTCCTTTGTTCAGTGCCGGAGATCTCCCACGACCAGGTCTTCATATAATTTTATATTTATTATTAACGCAACATTCTCTTAAATTCGATTTTACGTTAACATAAAGTTTAATCTCTCTTACACAACCCTAGGAGATACGCAAAGCTATTACTTATATTAGTATTTGGGTTAAGTGGTTATTCGAGATCTGTAATTATAAATATTTTAATTTAAGTTGTTGCTAATGAGCATATTCGGGTGTAGACGCCATTTGAGATCTGCAATAATTATGAATCTTTTTAATCATAAAGTGCTTCGTAATTAAAAAACCTCACTGATAAAAGTTTATTTTGGAGATCTTGAAGGTATATAAAACTAAAAGGTTTTAGTAATACCAGTTACTTTAACTATATAAAAATATTAATTATTCTATACAAATTTAATAATAATCATATATTATGTTTCTTACCAGTTTTAACCAGATATTTGTGATCAGAAGTTGGTTCTTTTCATCCTGAAAACAAATATATTTAGTAATATAATGGCTCCATTCCAAGAAAAGAAATGTATTGGTAAATATGACTATATTGTATAATTATTTAAAAGAAATCCTAGAGTATATTCTTGCAATGATAAATGGAATTTCGAAAATAAAAACTTCCAAAACTGGATTAAATTCCAAACAACTCAAAAGATCTTTCGTGCGTATGAAAATATACGTATCCGACTCACAAAATCAATAGACCATCTTATTTTTAAGCAACAGAAAATATCACTTGAAGAAGATAAGCCGATAATGCTTTCTTATACTTGGTGTTTTTTAAGGGTGTCAACTTATAAGTGGCACATTTTTTACTGTCAGATCTTTTTTGATTTATATAGATAAAATACGGTACGGATTCGACGTCTCGGAATATGATACAACTTGAATTCACCTGTGAATACGTCGCATTTTCAATTTTTAATACTTACTCGGTTATGGAAAACACTTTTTTTTCGTTTTTTGTATTATTTTTTTCCTAGTCTTTATATAGATCCATTTTTGACTTACATTGGTTTAGGCTTTAAGTTTTTTTATTTAAAGGAAAATTCTTTGCTTAGGAAATATAACGCTTACTAGAAATTATTTATCCGATATATATAATTCCGATCATTGCTATATGGGTCCAAGATTGACACAGTTTATTACTTATTCTGATATAGAGTAGTTTGTTGTGTTCTTGCGAATTTCTTATAATCTGTAGGATACGTAGACACAGTGTCACCAGAATTGAAGGATTTCCTTCAATATGAAAGATTTCACAGTCAAATTTCCTCCGTTGAAGCGCTAAAAGATTTTTATCCAAAAGTATGTAGTATTTATTGTTTTTCCTACATTTTTTTTTTTTTACTTTAACGGTGTTTAATTAAGGATGCCTCAGTTTAAAGCAATGTTGCTGTGAAAAAGTCTACAATTCGAAAGTTTTTAATATTTAACAAAAAAATAATAGATACATTTTTATTTTTTTAACACACGTCTTATTACACACATACCATAACTAAACCAAAGTTCTTGATGTTGAAAAGAAATAAATAGGTAAACGGAAAACATATCCAATAAGTGAGCTGATCATGGCCTTAAGTCCATCTATTGTCCGTCCTTCTTGCCAGGTGTCCTGTCCATTTCTACTCGAGGGATTTGATTCTGCGAATGACATCTACTTTTACGGTCTTTCTTTGATATTCCCAGTATATTTAGTTCCATCGAGCGTTGTATGACGTGCGATTTCCTTATGATGTCGTCATATGATCGTTGGCAGTACATATTGATCTAATGTTTTCTTCTTTAGATAAAGTGACATTCTAGATTTGAATAAGAGTGAGTTTCTTTCAAATACACTCCATGCTAACTAAATTCTTCTGTTCATTTCTGCTAGTAGAGATCCTGAGGTTACTGTTATTTATTATACAGGGTGTTTCAAAAACTATGTGCCATCTCTCGTGGGGAGATTCCTCACGTAAATATAGGATTTATTTTTTATATCAACATAGGTCAGATTCTGCTTTGTTTTGTAGCTACAGGCACAAATTAACTACAACAGATGCGAAAGAAAGCGACTGCATCGGAAACCGCTCGGCAAACCCGACACGCCTATTGAGTGGTGTAAATACACCAGTCGTTTAGTCCGGAAACCTATGCTGTGTCGTATTCGCTTGCTGGAATGACATAGTGCGTGGTTATATGTTTCTTTTTAAAAACGCGTGTAGGATTTTTGTTGAACTTTTGAACTGTTATTTCTAAGTTTTGGTAATTTGTATATCTTATTTAAAATGGGATGCAAATGTGTTTATTTATAAGGAAGAAAAAGATATTTATAGTATAAAAAATTAATTTATTTAACAAAATTTAATTAAAAATGTGACAAAATAGTTACCTTTCTATTGGTTCTATCGGACTTTTTTCGACTATATAAATCTTTATTTGTAAACTTTAATACATCAAATATTTCAATCTAATAAATCATTAAATGATGTAAATAAGAGGAAATTTCTCACATGGGTGGTCAAATTTTATAGTTTTCATTATATCAAACAGCCTCTGAGAAATGTTTTCAACTCAAAATGCCTTTAATTATGTTTGACTACATCATTAAAAAGAGTCTTCAAATACATCAATGTGATATTTGTCTAAAATTTGCAAAAGAATCCGAATCTCTGGATAACTCGAAATTATTTACCCATTTAAAAGCCTTTGATCATGAAAGTGGAAAAATTTGTTCATTTTATTTACAGGCTGGAAAATTATTTATATTAAATTTTGATGAGTTTTGCACTGAAGAAATATTCAGAGGCTGTTTGATATAATGAAAACTATAGAATTTGACCATCCATGTGAGAAATTTCCTCTTATTTACATCATTAAATTATTTATTAGATTGAAAATATTTTATGCATTAAAGTTTACAAAAAATAAAGATTTATATAGTCGAAAAAAGTCCGATAGAACCAATAGAAATGTAACTATTTTGTCACATCTTTAATTAAATTTTGTTAAATAAATTAATTTTTTATACTATAAATATCTTTTTTTTTCCTAATCTCCTACGAGCTGATATAATATGACGAGCAATCTATTAAATTACTGTGAGATTATACAGAAAAGTCCACAGACTTCGAGACATAGGAAAATCAAGTCCATTTAACGTGTGTCCAAATTTTGACAAGTTTTCAAAAATGACAGTTTTGTTTAGACTGACGTTTAATTTCACCTGACTTCTTGGTTAATGATTTCTTTTTATGGCCATGAAGAAATTCAAAACTTGGAGCAGTTAAGGCAGAAAATATTTAATGCCTTTGACACTGTCACCCCTGATATGTTATCCAATGTGAGGAGGGGATTTTATGATCTTTTGGTTTAATGCAAGAGGGAGGCATTTTGAACAATTTTGTAATTTTTTAAATTTCATTATCCTGTTTTTTTACCGTTTAACCATTACCTACCTTGATGAACATGGGAAAACGAAGGTCCTTTTCAGGACCACAAATATTTTGATTGAGAAAATTGGTAACTTTTTTTGGATTAAAAAACAAAAGTTGTTAATATAATACCAATTTAAAAGTGTTTTAGTAGTTTTAATACACACTATGATATAAAATTTATTATTATTATAATGTACATTATTAATACTATTGTTCATTCGAAATGGCATTAAGGCCCAATTGCAACAATGATTTAAATTTTTCTTAAAGATAAGTAGAGCTTAGAATGGGCTGTATTTATATTTACTTTAATATTCACCTTAAATGAGGGAATTTGACTGATACAATTTTTGAATTTGAATTGTTTTTAATGATATTAACAATTTTAGTTCAATTTTTAATAAAATTTATTTAATATTAATAGAAATCCAAGGGATTTGAAACCTCTTTTAGCGATTTATAACATTCTCAAATGAATTACAGGTGCCCTTATTTTGAATGAAAATCACACAGCTTTTTTCATAGTCGCTGCAGTTGCTATAGCTATAAAAAACTAATTTTTTAAGGTGTGAAAATTGCGACACACGCTAAATAGACTTGATTTTTCGTATGTCTCGAAGTCTGTGGACCTTTTTGTATGCCTCGATAACATATTGGTGCAGATTATTTTCACCCAAACAAATAATAACCCAAACTATACATTGATGCGGATTGTCTATGAACTCTTTCTGAAGGTCACAGAAACCTGAACGCCTAATTCGGTGTTCTTTCGCATCTGTTATAGGTAATTTGTGCTACAGGGGATTAGTAATTTGCACTCACATTGCTTGCTTTTAGCGATTCGCATGAAATTTTGCGGGTAAAAGTTACTATAAGCGCGACATATTTTATTGCTAAAAAAGTATCGACATATTCACCAGGAATGTGCACATGGGTTATCACTGGAATATTTTTCTAAAAAAAATGTGAGCTACTGACTTTTTCTTTTTAGCAAAATTGCATTGTCAATTAGCATTTGTCAAAAGTGTTTTGGTGTATTATGGTGATTTAGTGTTTTGTTTTGCTGTGTAACACCAAAGGTTCCAACCCCCAAGTGTAATCCTGTAACTTTAAAATATTTCCGCACACATGTTTATAGGAAATTTTTTCATATTTTTTGATGAGAAATCAATGAGTACTTATTTAGCACTTTGGCCAGTTAATGATATTAAAAAAAAAATCAATCTCATTAGGGAGATCGAAATCGACAAAATATCAAGAGACAACTTTTAATTGGCATTAAACAGTCTACACAATTTGGCTAACAAGAGAAAAAAAGTCGTTGCGCACATGTTTTTCTTAGAAAAATATTTCAATGATGATCCATATAATTCATCACTTCTATAGCATTAAAACATGTCGGACTTTTAGTAACTTTTGCCCTCAAAATTTCATTCGAATAGCTAAAAACACTTGTTAGAAAATTATAATGAATCGAAAAAATATGAAAGACTTTAACCCCCTGTAACTACGAAACAAAGCAGAATCGAGCCTATGTTGATATAAAAGTAAATCTTATTTTTATTAAAAGTAAATATTTAATGTATATTATTTTAATCTGTATAATTTTAAGCTTTAATAATTTCAGGGAACGATTTTGCGAAATTATTATTTGCAATCCGGTGTTATAATTTCTCGATCCATACACTGGAAATAACGCATCGCATTTTCAACGGCAATAATTAATAAATGTTGAGCATGCTTTCGTTGATAAATTTTTATTAAAATTTATTCTATTCTATTTTCCACGGGTTTCGATATTAACGGAAAAATCATTCGGCTTTAAAATTAAATTCTACGTTTGAATTATGCGCTCTCAGCTTTTCCGATAATTTTTATCACCTGTATTAATTAGCCTCCGTTCATAATAATAGCCTATATTTAAAGGGCTGCGTCGATAATTAGGAAATTAATAAATAATTAACAGAGAGAGATTATTTTGTATTTAATATACTAATTATTTCTCCGTTACTCACTTAGGAAATTATGTAAATAGTTATGTGTTAATTAGTAGCCTATATACCGTATGATCGAAAAAAAAAACGGCGTCCAGTTCGCTGGGAAATAACGATCGATGACATTTTCCATATAAATTTACATATAAAATGACAGCGATCTTCATTTCATAGCCATCGCTGACGCTGTTTTTTTATCTTAGGGTATTTGGCTACTAATTGTATCTCTAATTTGATCACGTTTAATTTCAACATTCAATATTTTATAAAATCTACGTCGATATAAAAAACAAAAAAATATGACGTTTTACCTTTCTAATAGATAATATAAATTATAGGGGTAGATAATAATTCCTAATTTTATATCTGTGTAATGTCAGTTTAAGCCGCTAATATTCCGAATAGGATTAATTAATTACTAATTCCGGGTAGTGCTCCAATTACTTATGTGGTTGAATTGTTTATCAAAGATTTACCACAATATTAGATAATAATTTAATTGCACAGCACCCTTACTGTGAGTCGAGGGTTTTCTAATGTGAAGAGATATCATTTTACAATTAAATAAAGTACTTAGAACTAAGCTGCAAATATTTTTTTGATAATTTCAATAAATTGGTTAGATATTGCATTATTTTTCGATATACGAAACACAGATTTTTATTTTAACCAATATTTGGCATATATAACATATATGTTACCCTGTAAAATATGATCACAAGCAGTTAATTACAATTGTGAAAGGCCAATAGCATGATAGATGGAGAAGCTCGTATTGTGAATAGGTGTAATCAAAGGTTGTTAATTAGAATAGTACTCCAATTACTTATGTGGCTGAACGGCTAGTTATCAAAGTGTTACCACAATGTCGGATAATCGTTTATTAGGACACACTTGCTTCGGAACTTAGATTTACTATGGATGATTTATTGAGCACAAACATACGAGTTTTAAATTTAATATTAAACAAATGTAAAATTTTTAAGTCTCTTTTTAAGTATTTTAGCAGTCCTTCTGAAGAGATTTTATACTCTTGCCATAGACAAGCGTAAAAACTTGATTAATCATATACATACATTGATTTGTTTTGACAAACAAAATGTCTTCAAAAAAATTCTCGAACCCTGGCACCATTCCTGTTGATTCTTATTTAAAATGACGTCCAAATAATTCCAAAAATAGTCCCTATTTTCTTCTAGTACCCACCATTTTATGAGAACTCCTCTCACTATTTTTATCAATTTTCGTGATAATAGGTAATAATAATTTTATGGACATTAATTTAATTTAATGAGGTGAATAGAATGATTTCAGCTGTAAACAGTAATAAATAAAAAGATCAAATCAAACGGATCAAATGGAGCTTAGCAATGTCTTGATGGAACCGCTCTTTGTGTTCATCCGTGCTCCTAAATTTTCAAGGAAAAAGTCCAGGTGCGAGTGAAGGAAATGTTGGCCTCCCATGGCCTTGTACGCTAACAACACTTCCTCGGCCTGAGCGACATAATCATGACTTTATGGTTAGATACCTAAAAAGTTGTTGATCGTCATGATAGTGGGCGATAAAGGAAAGCGGAGATCATATTTGGATTCCGGGGGCTATTTTACATAAGAATCGACTAGAATTGTGAATTTTTCTGTTTACAATAATTGATTTCTATATCCGGAGTACCTTCTTTTTGTAGAGTGAAACTTTTTTATTTATATCATTTGTTTGAAGTTTTTTAGGGGGACGCACACTGGTCGCAATCGCTACTTTACGATGCAAAAATTGTAATGTTCGATAGTAGTAAGACGAAAATTTTAACCTAGTTTATATTGAATATACCATAAAATGACAAGATAAATCTAAAAATACAAATAAAAATGTTAGCCTTCATGTTTCAACCCCTTAGGAGGGGTGAATGTTACCCTGAGAATATTAAATGAAAAGAGGTGCAAGATGCACATCATTTTGAAGGTCTCATCGAGTACTTTACAATTTTAAAATCGTACTTCCTATTATCGTCAAATAAATGGTGACATACTGTAAAAAAAAATGACATGACAGGCTACTAGAAACATAATCTGGAAGCCTAAAGTACTCGATCAGATTTTTAAAATGATGTGCTTCTTGTCCCCATTCCCAATTAAGATTTTAACGATAACATATACCCCCACGCTTCCAGGGAAGTGAGACACAAGGGTTAAAAATTAATAAGTTTTTCTCTTGCACATATAATTATTGAAAAAACCTAGAGATAACAGAAAGAGAATACTAGATTAACAAAATTTGGTTTGTTCATCTGGATCAAAAACTATGTTGTCATTTAACCAATCTGAATTATTTGTTTCGAATCGACTTAGAATTCTATAAGACTCTTTTCCACTTTTATTGCAGTTTCCTAGTGAAACTATTTGCTGTGCGCTTCACTACAAGATACTTTTGGTTTGGTTGTTGTCTCTTTGTCTTCGGGTATACCAAGTCGGCGAATAGCATATGAAAGGACCGCCGAATTTTTTTATTTAAGACCACTTTTCCGTCGCCAAACTTCATAAAGCTCCCTTCTTGTCAACGACATATCTATTAGATAAATGTGTGTTACTCCGAACCGTGCACCTAGTAGCAGTTAATTATATAAGAAAATGTCTTACCAAAAAGCCTTCTAAATCTTGAAAAAAAAATTGTATCGAACACGACCGGACAAGGTATGGTTTACGTTTGCAAAACCTGAAGAAAAGAAATATAATTTTTGTTTTAATCACCAGTTTAGTTTTGTTGAAAAAATAATAGACAAAAAACTATTTGCTCACCAAAATTTGGTCCTAACTATTACAAATTCCCAGCAAAACAACATAAATCACAAACACGTTGATTCACGTTTGCAAACGTTACTAGATTGCAGTCAATATTAATGATTAAATATTATTTCAATTTTTCGTGTATGACTTCATACAATTACTACCTGTTATCTAATTAATAAAATACAACAAAGACAGCTATTTCGCAAAAAAATATGTCACCTGCGCCATCTTTAGACCTTCCTTTTTCGCATTTCATAGGTCACAGCCAACTACGCATCTTTAGGGTTTCCTAATATTTGCACTGTAAAGTAGCGATTTCGACCAGTGTGGGACGCACAGTGCTTCGAACATATAGCTCTAGAGGACAAAAATCCAAAACTTCTCTTTTATTGTAAGCAATTTATTCAAACTAGGTTTATTTGACACAAATGATGAGTACTCTCATTGTACTAAATGATGATGTTCTTAGTCCCACGTTTATGAAAAAAAAATCTTATTATATTATATTATAAATAATAATAATGTTGGAGCTGTGTTCCATCTAAGCAAATAATAAGTTATAGTATGAAAACGGTGTAAGTATTAAATAAATTCCTGTGATAAAAAAAAATTGAAATAACATTAGAACATGATTCCTACAATATAAGCCTAATATAAGATAAAAATGTTTTTCTTTAATGAAAAAGAAACATTAATGTTATATTTAATTAAAAAAAAAACTTAAGATGCTATAAATTTACTTTAGGACAACAAAATGCATAGATCGTAACTACTCTGATTCAGGAGAATCACTGCTGACAGAATCTTCTAAATTTATAGTATCTAAATCACAGGTAGATGAAGTATCCTCACATATAAGATATTTCTGTACATCATTTTCTAATATGTTACTTTTTCGCGTTGTTACTGTTCATTTTGTCGGTATGAGGGGTTCGGATGTTAATAGTTACCTCTTTAATAGACCATATGCATATATTATTTTTTCCTTTTCTTGGGTATGAGATTTTATAATAAACTGAAAGATGGACACTTTTTTTATTCGACGTTTCGCTCCAACATAGTGGACTTTTTCAGGCACAAGTGGTGTCTCATTTGACTGGAAGGTTCATCAATATCTAATAAGAACATATTTTTTGAAATACTAATAATTTTGAGTTCTTGTCCTTATGATCAAGCCAAGTATTAGCCAGATCGGCATTGCTTATCAATCTTACTCCATCTGAAAAGTATTATAAAATAAAGTTCGTCGCAAGCAGACGCAGGTGAACTATACAAAAATTAAAAGTGTATGAATATGGCAACAAAAATATTCAATAAATACGATATGTTTTGATATGTTTTTTAAATGCCTTTTGAAGTTTGAAAACGTAAAATTTTTTATGCCCATTTAAGAATCATCTTAAAAATAAATAAAAACTAAACAATCACGAACTTGTTTAGAAATAAATTTAAAGTACATACCTTGTTTAACAATATCCATAGTGGCTTTCAATTAAGTACGTACCCGTTTAACTCCATAATATACAGAACTACTATGAATGTTATTCTTTTCACTGATGAGATAATGATCGCAAAATTTATTTTTAGTGAAAATATTTGCTAACAAAAACGCTGTTTATGAAAAATAATATACAGGATGGTTGAACATTGCTATAAGTATAAAATTATATATTCAGATAATAGTAAATTTTAACTTATTTTTTGATTTTTGTCCATGGGACAAAGCACTGTGGGACGCCTGTTAAAACGCTCGCCTCGTCTAACGTCGCTTAACTATTTTGTTCTATCAGCTGTATGCTGTATGGAATGTTAAGGGTGTGTTTGTACTTACCACGTCTATTATTTGCATTAAGGTTATCCCAAAACTCAGTTGGAGCGGATCAGTCTCGTTAGCAACTGGGCGTTCTAGCACGTTGTAGGTATCTAGTAGTTTATGCAGAAGCTTTTTTTCGAAATATCCTGCCCAAGAACCTGAAATAGAAAGAAAAACAATAACATTTTAATAAGGTCTATCCTGTTTTACTACCGACAATTTTTATAGTATTTTTTAATTTGTCAGTACCTAAGGTCAGTACTGAGAATACCCAAATGTATTGCCCGTAGTGCAGTAAAACTTTGAATTAGAGAAAATCAGACCTCCCACTGGAGAAACAGACAAGGGCACAGGTGTAGAAAGCTCTTCATCCAAGGATCTAATTCTAAAACCACAAAGGACACACTTTTTACAAAAAAAAAGCTCAATCTGCATCTAGGAAGTATTTGCTGCAGACTCAGCGATAAAGATCCTGAAACAGCAAGCACGTAGTATGTCACGGCCAGGCTCTGAACCGCAAGCGGTACTTTCTGTTTGAAAAAGCAAGTCTAGAACCGGAGGAAGTATGCTTCCATCCTATCAAGGACATGCACAAGCTGGTGCAGGGTACATGGATAGGATAGTGGGTGCACAATAGATTTTAATATTGAGAAAAAAAGTCCATTTAATGATGTATTAATATCAATTATCAATATATCAATCATTAATATCAGACCGGCTGCTATTGAAATATTTTATTCTTAATCATTTTGTCGTCAAAAAGTTTTAAAAAATCGCATCGCGTCCTAAGAAAATTTATGGTACACAGTCACTTCAGTAAGTGCTTTATCACCAAAATGACTTCAAACTCTTTCGACACATTGCTTTTGATTAAAGGAACTTTGAAAGTAATAAATCATCTCGTGAAATTTAACCCGTTAGATGCATTTTAACCGCAACGTGAAAACTTTAAGAATTTATTACAAAAACGTCGCTCCTGTTTACGATATGAACACGCAGTGTGTAGTGACCTTAATTAAACATTATTTATTATATATGTACGTTCTATTTTTCTTTTCTTTAACGAATTTCACCAGCAAATATGATTCTACTCATTAATTTTTTTTATAATATTGCTGTTGATTTTATTAGAAATTTCGACAAGAAATGACACCTTTTGACTCCCTTATCCTTTTATTGTGTTTGTTCTCTGATATTAATAAATCTTTAGAAGTCATCACTTTCAAAGACTCCACGCTATTTAGCTTTATTTTAATATCTTTCGGAAGTATAATTAATTTTTCGAACATTAAACAAAAGGTTGAAAATCCAAAGTTATTTGCTTTGCAGTGATTTTTAATTAAATATTTTTCGGTTTGTTCTCGGCATTTATAAATGAATTTGGAGAATTTTAGGTGTTTATTAGAATTAAAAGGAAAAAATTAACACACAATTATTAATAATTCCAAAATATAACATAAAAGGGGGTAGCTATTTTGTTTGTTAGGTATTTCCTTGCGGAATGTTTCTATATTTATTTGTGGCTTTTATAAGCATTTATAAATGAATTTGGAGAATTTCGGAGGTATATTATAATTAAAGAGAAAGAACGATATATCAGTTTTATTAAACTCATCCCATAAAAGCAGACCGCATGTTTGTTAAATGTTTGATTTAAATGTAATTAGATATATTTCTGGCATGTGAAAATTAAGAGAAAAGCTTTATGTGGCAACAACAATATTTAAAAGAATTAATTGTGGTCAGAGCTGCAAGCTCACCGAAAACTTAAGTCTTTTTTTGATTTCAATTATTTTAATGACTTAAGTCATATATGGATAGCTAACTTAAAATTTAAGTAATCTTTAAAATTATTTGTTATTTAAGTCTTAATTTCGAAATAGGACAAGACTTAAGTCATTAAAAAAGGAGCCAAGAGTCAAAGACATATTTTTTTTCGTATATTTTTATAATACAAACCATAAGTGGTTTTATTCTAATATGTACAGGGTTGGTCAAATTCGACGCTTTTAAATGGAAACACCCTTTTCTATAGGAGATAGACAAAAACTAATATCGGTGTCTGGAGCCCAATTTTTGTCAAAAACATGATGGTGAAAACCGCATATCGATATCTGTTACCGATTCGGAGTTACGGGGTGTTTTTCAAAAATGTGCATTTTTAACAAATCGCTGTAACTTTTTTGCTATGGAAAATTTTGTATTTTTATGAAAACATTTCCAAAGCACCTTTTTACGTAGAATTTAATGGTTTAAATATAATTTTTTAAAAATTAATAATTTAAGAATTATCAATAGAAAATTTGATTTTTTATATGGGACACCCTGTATATTTTTAATTTATTGAAAAGAATTTAAAATTACCTTTCCAAAAATATAACACACTTGATATTTTGCTCGATTCCTCTTCGAGATATAGAGTATATAAAAATTCGCCCGCTTTAAATAAGTAGGCTTTGAACGGCACCGGCTGTAATGCAAAAGAAATCTAGCTGTGAGCATCAATTAAAACGAAAATAATATTTGCTATGAGAGATGCAGAATTTTATAACAATTTAAAATATATTTAACCAACGTCAACACATTTAAACTATATCTAATAACAATAAAAATAAATAGCAAATCAAGACATGAGATTTTGCTACATGTGTTCGACATGTCGACTGTCTTCTGTTATGAATAGACGGGGCCGTTTTTGAACATTCATCGCGGAATTCATTAACTCAGTGGGGGTGAAAGGTACCCTCTCATAACTTCTAAGTATTTCTAATTCTTGTCTAGATTATACGGAAGAATAAGGAACCTTTATTCTTCCGCAAATATATCCATAGGATTAGATCCATGGGCACTAAGTCAGGCGGCCTCGACGGCCAACGGCTGAGATCTTGGTTAGCTATACAATTATTATTCCTGAAATTGGCTGCAAAAATTTGCTGATAACTTCAGCGTTCAGAGGCGGTGCGGCGTCTTGCTGGAAAAATATGTTTTCGAGTTCCATTAAGGGCATATCATCAATAAGGGGTCCAAAGCCTACTAGTTAAAAGTGGCGAACTTTTAAAAATTCTGTATTTCGAAAGGGACTTTAACAAAATATCAAGTGTGCTATATTTTTGGAAAGGTAATTTTAAATTCTTTTCAGTTAATTAAAAATATAGAGGATGTCCCAAATAAAAAATCAATTTTTCTGTTGATAACTCCTAAAATATTAATTTTAAAAAAATTATACTTAAACCATTAAATTCTACGTAAAAAAGTGCTTTGGAAATGTTTTCATAGAAATACAAAATTTTCCATAGCAAAAAAGTTACAGCAAAACACCCCGTAACTCCGATACGGTAACAGATATTGATGTGCGGTTTTCACCATCATGTTTTTGATGAAAATTGAGCTCCAGACACCGATATTAGTTTTCGTCTATCTCCTATAGAAAAGGGTGTTTCCATTTAAAAGCGTCGAATTTGACCCACCCTGTACCTACAATAAATTAATAATATAGATAATAAGAAAATCGGTAATGGGTTATACTATAGAATATTAACATTTAAAAAATAGGTACTTGAATTGAATTCTGGTTATCTTGACTTGGAGGGCAATGGGCAATTAGATTGATTTATATCAATATGCTGACTTAACTTGTAGATCATCATGATTTAAGTCAAAAATATAGACTTAAATCATAAAAACGACTTAAGTAAAATTATATATTTATATCATTTTTGTAAAGATATAAGTCTTTATAAAAATGATTTGACCTGAAATAAAATGATTTATGTCAAAAACTTAAATCATTTGAAATTTACTTTGAAATTGACTTAATATTTAAATCATTTTGATTTTAGAAATTAAGAGACTTAAGACTTGAGTCTTTTTAAAACTGACCTGTTGAAGTTTTGATTGTGGTGTATGTCCAGCTCCTGTTTTTAAACGCATTCTTGATGTTTTATAATTTTGATCTAATATTTTTAAGTTTTAAAACTTTTTTGCCATGCCTGTAAACTATTCCGAAAAAGTTTAACTTGCCACATAAAATTCAGTTTCCAAACTCAAAAGTTTTGCATGAATTGTATAGATATTGTTACTTTTCGTTATAACATGAAAGTTTGAAAAATGATGTCGATTATTGGGATGTAGGGAGCATTTCAATAAAATCTTACTTGACGATGCAATCGTGTTTCGCATAAAATCAATTTTTCCGCATATACATATTATATCGAAAAATGAAATATCCGTTTAAATACCGTGTTCTAAAGGTTAAACAATGGGATTTAATGAAATATATTTGATTGTCAGGACCCCTTATTTGTTTAACTTGTTTGCTCTTAGCAAATCTCATTTTGCCGTTCTGTGGTTCAACCGAAGCTAATATGAAGGTAAACCTCAGACATCGCTGTCTATTTGTCATATTTTCATATAGAATACAACTTAGCCTAGACTTCTTCATTGTTTGTTTTTATATAAGTAATTATTTATTTATCCTTAAAGGAAAGTTGAAAAAGATTTTTTCTTGAAAAGACTTTTCTTAGTGATGTTCCCAAAAATTTACTTATTTTTTTTGTAGATTTTGTTCAAAGTGGCAAAAAACCTTTTTTGAGAAATGAAACCTACACAAAGGTTGTCCGTTACACAACACTAGTGTTTTGAAACTTTAAACAAAAACTTATCAATAACATAAGTCGTATAGTTTCTTTTGGCATATTAAATTGTTGTCAATTAAATTTTAGCTTAAAATATGCAGAGAAAATACTTTTTTCTGCTCCTATAATTCGTTAATAAAATTTATAATTTTTTATTGATATTCAACAACTTTCCTGATATATAAAATAACTGAAATTAAAATTTGTTTTATTTTATTAGTGATCAGAGGGGCAAACAAATAAATTGATACATGAATTGTAATCAATATTTTATGTCAAGCTGAAAATCAAAAAAACATATATCAAAGGAAAATATTGTTAAGTGTTTCGAAATTTTGTTTGTCTCTATCAATATCTGTTTGATTTTCAATATTTTTGATGCTTTTTTACTGAACCCACTTATGTTTCTTTTACGAAATAATGCCTTTTTTTAAAGTAATGTTTTTGTTCGGTTTTGTAAATTTACATACCTTTATATTGTCGAAATTTCGGCTGTTTATTTTTCTGTCGAGGAGGAATTAAAA